CAACACAGTAAAGAAGAAAAGCTAGATGATTATATCAATTGATGCAGAAAAGACATTTAATAAAATTGAGCATCCAATCATAATAAAAACTATCAGTAAGCTAGGAATAGAAGGTAATTTTCTTAACCTCATAAAGCACATCTAGAAAAAGTCTACAAGCAATATTCTTACTAGTGGAACACTGCTTTCTCCTAAGATCAGGAGCAATGCAAGGATGTCTACTCTCAGCATTCTTTTTCTTTTTTTTTAAGGAAGATTAGCTCTGAGCTAACATCTGCCACCAATCCTCCTCTTTTTGCTGAGGATGGTTGGCCCTGAGCTAACATCCGTGACCATCTTCCTCTACTTTATATGTGGGATGCCTGCCACAGCATGGCTTGACAAGTCATGTCCACACCCAGGATCCGAAGTGGCGAACCCCAGGCTCCCGAAGCAGAACATGTGCACTTAACCGCTGCGCTACCAGGCTGGCCCCTCAGCACTCTTATTCCACATCATATTAGAGGTTTTAGTCAGTATGATAAGGCAATATTAACATTAAATATTTTTAATAGGCAAAAGATATATATTGTAATCCCTAAAGCAAACATACATGTACATCTCCCCCGACCCACAGATAGGTTAAATGTGAAAGGATGAAAAGAGATATATCAAGTAAGCTCTAATCATAAGCAAGCTAAAATGGCTATATTAATGTCCGACAAAACAGACTTCAAGACAGGGAGTATCACCCGAAATAAAGAGTAACATTTTATGATAAAGTGTTAATACATCAGAAAGATATAAGTATAAATGTGAATGCACCTAACAACAGATTCAAAACCCATGAAGCAAAAACTGACAGAACTAAAGGAAGAAAGACAAATTTACAATCTTAAGAGATTTTTAAGATTCTGACGACTAGACAAAAACGTGTAAGAATATAGAAAATCTAAAGTACACTATCAATCACCTCACCTTATTGACACGTATAGAAACCTACACTCAATAACTATAGAATATATATATTTTTACAAGTACACATGAAAAGTTAAACAGAATAGAGCATATGTTGAGGTATAAATAAAACAATCTCAAATTTCAAAGGACTGAAATCTTACAGAAAATACTCTGTAAATTAGAAATCAATAACAATAACATCTAGAAAAGGATCAAATATTTAGAAATTACATTTTAAATATTTTTAATAATTCATGGACCAAAGAAAAAATTACCAGGGAAAATAAATACACTTTGAACTAAATGATAATTAAAATACAATGTATCAAAATCTGTGCTGTTGAGCTAAAGTCGTACTTAGAAATTTATATCTTTGAATGTTTATATAAGAAAGGAAAAAAGGCTCAAAAACAATGATCTATGCTTCCACCTGACAATACGAGCAAAGTAAATCCACAATAAGTAGAAAGAGGAAATAACAAAGAATAGAAAACAATGAAATAAAAAACAATCATTTAAGAGAATTACCAACAGTAATTTTTTAAATAACCAACCAAGCAAACAGTTGGTTATTTAAAGTGATTAATAAAATTAATAACCCCCTAGCAAGAACAGACTAGCATAAAACAGAATAAACACAAATTATTACATTAGAAATGAAAGAATAGATATAACTACAGATTCTACAGACTTCAAAAGGATAAATTATGAACTTTATGCCAAGAGATTGAACAGTTCAGATGAAATAAAGTCCTTGAAAAACAAAAGTTACCAAGACTGACACAAGATCAAACAGAAAATATGAATAGACTCGTATCAGAGAAATTGCATTTATCTCCCTACATAGTCGTTGCTAGGGGCCAGAAATGAAAACAGGGATTGACTACAAATGGACACAAAGGATCCGGGGTAATGGAAATGTTCTAAAACTGGATTGTGGTGAAGGTTGCACAACTCTGTAAATTTATTAAAAATCATTGAATTGGACACTTCAGTGGGTGAATTTCATGGTATACAAATTATAGTTCAATAAAGGTATTAAAAAAATCTCTACAAAGAAAAATCCAGGCCCAGATGGTTTCCATTATGAATTATACCAAACATTTAAGGGAGAAATGATTTCAATTTTATACAAATTTTTAGAAATACAAGAGGATGGAACACTTCTCAACTCATTATATGAGGCCAGTCAGTATAATTCTGATAACAAAAGCTAACAAAAACTTCACTAAAAAAGGAAATTATAACCAATATCACTCATAAACATAGATGCAAAAATCCTTCACAATTTATTAGCAAACTGAATTCAGAGGTATATAATAAGGATAATACATCACGACCAAGTAGGCTTTATCCCCAAAATGCAAGGTTGACTTACTCTGGGAAAATTCAATGTAATCTACCATATAACAGTGTATACTATATAGTTCCTTTTATATAAACTACGTTCTAGAACAGGCAAAACTAATCTAATGTAAAAAAAAAAAAAAATCAGAACAACAGTTGCCTGGGGTGGATGGAAGGGACTGACTGGCAAAGTATAGAAGAGAATTTTCTAGAGACATGGAAATGTTCTGTATTGTGATAGGGTTGTGGGTTTTATATGATGTACATGACTGCATTTGTTGCATTTCAATACACGTAAATTTTACCAAAAAAACTTTTAAAAGTAACAATAACAAGTAGGAGGATGGGGAATGGGTGGAAATATATTTGAAACAAGAATGACAGAATATTATTGTTAAGTGTTGAAGCCGGGTGATGGGTCCATGGGAATTCATTATACTATTGTGGTTTTGGATTTGTTTTAATTTACATAATAAAAAGTAAAAACAAATCAAAGCTTAGAGCTTTTAGCTTAAAACAAGTTAAAAGAGTCAAAATGTTTTGTACTGCCCCATCACCACCAAAAAAAAAAGTTACTGTAATTTCCCGAAGCATTTAACAGAGGTGCAGTCACTAATATGAGTACAATGAATATTTTTTGCCTTTACTTTGTATGCAGGTTAAAGCAAAGAAAATGGTTAGGAGGACTTGCTATTACATCCTCCACGAGGAACTAGGAAAATTTATTAGGGATGAGAACTCTCAAGAACTTAATAGCTTGCTTTTAATATCTGAAGCATTATTACTACGGAGTTCGTTCAGCCAAGAGGCATAAATAGGAATAGTGGGTGGAAGTTTCAGGAAGACTTTTCAGCTCTATAAAAAGAAGAACTTTAACAATGGCGATCTCAAAAAGTAAAGGGGCTGCCTCTAGAGATAATTTCCCCATCCGTGGAGATATTCAAATATAATTTGGAGATTTGTACACTGGCAATCAACACTAGAAGAAAACAGCTATTAAAGTTCTTCTAGCACAGAGATTTTGCAGTTCTTTGCACTACTTTCTTATTTTAACCTAAAATCAAATGTATAAGGCTTTGTGGGGATGTGTTTTAAAAAGAATTCATCATGGGGGGGGGGGGGATTGGAAATATGTTGTTTAAGGGTACTACCAACTTGCAACCAGTAGATAAGTATGTCCTGGAGACTAATGCACAGTATAGTGATTACAGGCAACAATATTGTATTATAAATTTAGAAGTTGCTAAGAGATTATAAAAACAAAATAATTCAGCCAAAATGCAATGTCATGATAAAAGCTGTAATACAGCTACAAACCCCAAACAGTATTTTGGCACATATGGTTATGAACAGTATGCATAGAATTTTTTGGAAATTACCACAAAAAATGAGATTTCTGGGCTGAAATGAAAATTTCTAAGTTAATCTTTCTTGATAAAGTAATAAGACAAATTATAAAACCAATCATAACATGCAGCCCTGCCCCAGGTACTGGTCTCCTTTCCTCAAAGAATAGTGATTATTGTGGGCCCTCCTCTGAGCTAAGTACGACGGAGGAATCCAAGTATAACACACAAATCTTATCCCAGGGAACATTACAATTTAACTACAAAGGCAAGACATGCCTGAAAAATAAGCCATCACCACATATCAGTACTTGGTTGAATGCCAGAAGAGAGTACAGATAGAACTACTAAGAAATGCAAAGAGCATTTTGCTGGGGTGGTTTCAGCAGGCTGTCTTAAGGTTAGGGAACTTAAAGTGAGACAAAGAATTTAGACAGGGAGAAAAACTAAATTTAGTGTGGGAAGGGAGCAGGCACTTCCAGGGCAGGAGAACAGGGTAAAGCAAGCACCGTGATAAACTAACTTGAAAATAAACCTGTATTTTATCTCCAGAGAACCCCCAATATCCCTCCAACGCCCTTGTCTGGCTCTTCCGTCAGTTCCTTCCCAAACCATTAGATCAGTGGTTGCCAAAGTGTGGTCCTTGGACAAGCAGCATCACCAACTGTCTGGGAATTTGGGGAATTATCCCAGACCTAGAGTTAGAAAGTGGGGAAGTGGGGCAGCAGTCTGTGTTTTAACAAGTCCTTCAGGTGATTCTGATGCACACTCAAGTTTGAAAACCACTACTCTAGAACTACGGGCACAACCCCCCGTACAAGAAAGTGATGTTCTGAGTGCCTAACTCAGACACTTTGCTGAGTGCAGAAAGGGAGTTGAAAGCGGCTCTCAAACCTCTAAGAGTTCAGTCTCTGGACCAATTTCGCTTTCTCTTCCAGTACACCTTGTTCCAATCACTACCCTCTAGGCCACCGCCTCCCGTATTACTTTACCCTCTTAGGGCCCGCTCCCGTCCCTCCGTCGCCCTACCTCAGTGTCAGAGGGGACGTGGTGCTGGCAGGGAGGGGAACTGCCCAAGGAGACAGGAATAGATGTGGCGCTTGCCCAGAGCCCGCCCAACAGGAGTAAGACGCCTCGGACCCACAAAGAACCTCTCCAGCGCCCGCAGTCAGGGCCCGGGCCTGAACCCGAGAAGCCCGTTCCTTCACCCCACTCGGCCGCCATCTTTGGGCCGAGCGTCGTTACCATGGAGTACGCGACGCCTCCGCGCTCGGCGCCAGCCCCGCCCCTCGCCGCTCGGGGCGGGTGGAGGGACCAGCCGGCGGAAAGATGCTTTTCGATTGGCTAGCGTCACCATAAGAAGCTCACCGCGGAAGATGAGAGCTGCATCACGTCCATCGTGTCTCATTGCGCGAAGCCGGCCAATAAATGCGGTTTAGTGGCCCACGTGAGTTCGGCTGTGGGAAGATTAGTGGATGTTGACGGCAATGGGTTAGTGGTATGTGGGTCGTGTCTTTACTGAGGCAGTTTTTCAGTCTAATTGTTTTTCATGGAAAAGATATGCACCCACTAGATGCCAGGTGGCTTAGACAAGACATATAAACTGCTGAACCTTTTATGGTGTAGCTTTCTGTATAAAATGCGAATGGAATATAATTTCCATTTTTACTCTAGCCTGACTCACCAATTTTAGGCCCATTTTTTTCTTAACTAAAGTCATTTCCCATAAAATCAATGATGTGTCCTTTACTATCCAACCCCATCCCTTAACTTCTGTAAAAGCCGACTTGCAACTGCATTAACCTAGAAAGAGATTGGGTGGACCCTTCCAATTAAGGAAACTACCTCCAAAACTGAGCTGTGAAGAACTATAAAAAATTGAAAACTGGGACAAATCTCCTTGTGGCACATGAAACAAAGAATTAAAACTAGGAACTGAAAGCACAGAGCTGGAATAGTCATTCAGCATGAATTCAATATTGTAAATTGCTATACTAGAAACTATAGGGGCAGGAAAGTATAGAAAATCCCCAAGAATTTACATTCATTGGTGAAGATCATGTACTCAAATAATAAAAGGGTGGGCATTTTACAAGTGAGTAGACTCATTAGATAACGTGTCTATCATCCCACAATTAGTGGAAGTTGGGATTCCAAACCAAATTTATCACTTTCAGAACATGTGCTCTTTCCACTACACGACCACAAAGAAATTGTGAATTTAAAACAAAGAAAAGCACCAGTTACCTTCAAGTTCCTAGGTCTAACAATACTGTCATCGCGGAGAGAGGCTGTTTGAATGGTCTGCTAGCCATTCAAGCACATTTGTGAAACATGAGACTCCTTCAATTGTAACTTTGGCTTGAGGACTACCTTTGCACTGACCAAACCTCATTAAGGGAGCAGAAGAGCATAAGGAACCCTCTCCTCTACAAGTGCTGCATGACATCAGTGGAAAAGAGGATGAATTTGCCAGTAAGGGTTGTTTGCCACTGCACTTAAGTTATCCTAAGGATGCTGTCTTGTCTTCCCTGCTTTGTCCAAATGCCTACCACTTCTTCATCCACTCCCATTGTTCTCCTACCATCATCTATCCCACCCAGAATACCACACATTCACCGAACTCCTACAAAAGTGACAGGCCTTGGGGATTCTTTCCTCTCCTCTATATGCCTAATCCAGACTTGAATACCCATTTGCCTTTCTGGACATGTTCACAGCTGAGCATCCTCCAGCTTCCTCAAACTCATCACTTTTCCTGCCACAAAACCATCTCCTGGTTCCCCAACGTTCTAAATGCACTATTACCCAGCAACCAAAGCTAGGAACATGTTACCCTTGAAGACTCCTCTCCACAATTAATTGGCTTTAAAATTCTGTTAATGTTTATGGAGTCTGCTCTATTTCAGTGCTCAAAAATCTTGAGTTTAAAACTGCAAAGCCCGGGGCCGCCCCGTGGCTGAGTGGTTAAGTTCGCATGCTCCGCTTTGGTGGCCCAGGGTTTCACGGGTTCAGATGCTGGGTGCCGACATGGCACCACTCATCAAGCCATGCTGAGGCAGCATCCCACATGCTACAACTAGAAGGACCCACAACTAAAAAAAAAAATATACCACTATGTACCAGGGGGCTTTGGGGAGAAAAAGGAAAAAAATAAAATCTAAAAAAAAAAAAGAAAAAAAAAACTGCAAAGCCTACCTGGCTTTCTCTTAAGTTTATGCCAAGTTGCTACTGAGATCTTTCTAAAATGAATTTGCTCATCCCTGTTAATCAAGTTCTTCAATGACACTTTATTACATACAAGAATAATGTCTAAAATCCTTAGTACAGTACACAAGACCTTGCAATAATCTGACATTTCTTAGTTTTCTGGACTTACTTTCCAATTGTTCCCCACAAGATTTCAGTCACAGTAAATAACCCAGTTGAATGGTTCCTCAAATGACTTCTTCTTTAAGAGTAGTGATACATCTGCCTAACTGGCACAGAAAAGCAGGTACTTTTGTTTACTTTGGCTCGTTTTTTTTTTTTTAAGATTTTATTTTTCCTTTTTCTCCCCAAAGCCCCCCGGTACATAGTTGTGTATTTTTAGTTGTGAGTCCTTCTAGCTGTGGCATATGGGTCGCAGCCCCAGCATGGCCCAATGAGCAGTGCCATGTCCTTGCCCAGGATCGAACCAGCCAAGCCCTGGGCCGCCAAAGCAGAGCATGCGAACTTAACCACTCGGCCTCGGGCCCAGCCCCACTTTGGCTGTTTTTTGAAGGGGGATAAATCTCACTGTAGTAGGTCTGAGATTGGCACTTTCTGCCATTGACCCTAGATTTTACAAGTTCATTATCTTTCAGGTTCTAATAACCAAATTTCACCTTGTGGTGACCTGAACACAGAGCTAGAGAAGACAGCCTAATTGACCAATGGCCCCAAGCTGCTTCTCCTCACCCTCCACCTCGTTTGCCTTGAAGCCATACTTCCCAAGGGTTGCTGCCAGCAAAATGAAATTGGCAGTAGAAACACAAGCCCATTTCTGTGAAACATGGGACTCTTCCAACAGCAACTTTGGCTTGAGAACCACTGGACTTAGCAAACCTTAGAACTGCCACGTGCTATTAGTACGCAATCCTTTCCTACATCCTCTTCTTCTAGTCTTTCTCCCTCCCTCCCAATACATTTTTAGCATGCTGATTGTTTAGCACCTGCTTTTGAGAACCCAAATAAAAAACTGTAAAAGAGGTTTAGTTTGGCAAACTCCTTTTCCTGTTGACATTTTCCATAGAATGTCAAGATTTATTGGTTAATAAAAAAGACTAGCTGGGGCCAGCCCTGTGGCCGAGGTTAAGTTTGCAAGCTCTGCCTTGGTGGCCCAGGGTTTCGCTGGTTCGGATCCTGGCTGTGGACACGGCACCGCTCATCAAGCCACACTGGGGCGGCATCCCACATGCCACAATTGGAAGGACCCACAACTAAAAATACACAACTATGTACCGGGGGGCTTTGGGGAGGAAAAGGAAAAATAAAATCTTAAAAAAAAAAAAAAAAAAAAAAAAAAACTAGCTGCTACTGCATCAAACATCTACAACCACATACTGCAAACTGATACCTTGGTTCAAACTCTTATTTCAACATTCTGAGACTTAAAATATTCTGCAGCCTGGATTAGTTTCCTTTATATTATGCTAAAATATCTCAATCCTGCACTTCACTACATTAAAACAGGGAGCCAAGGAAAGCCATACCGTCCTAGCAATCTTGACCCCCACAGACATACTTTTTCTTAAGCATGTGGCATTATTTTGACATTTTCAACTTACACATTATTCCCAGTCAAGTGTTATATACCGGAATGCTTGTCCAGTCTCAAATCCCAAGGGTATCTTATCCCTGCTTTTCTGAATGAGCTGCCAAATACCACCAACATAATCTCCATTTAAATTTCTCCCAACTACAATTTTTAACAGGTTTTTTTTTTAATATTTGCACCTCAGCCAGCAACCGTTGCCAATCTTCCCCTTCCTTTTTTTCCATCTTCTTCTCCCCAACCCCCCGCCCCCAGTAGAGTTGTGTACTGTAGTTGAGTGTCTCTGGCTGTGGCAGGTGGCATGCCGCCCCAGCATGGCCCAATGAGCAGCACCATGTCTGAGCCCAGGATCCAAACCGACGAAACCCCAGGCCACCAAAGCCAAGCGCACGAACCCAACCCCTCAGCCATGGGCAGGCCCCCCCAACTCTGATTTTTAAGTCACAAGTTTCCCAACCAGTCTATATTGAATAAATGTATACTGTTAGGAGGTCCTTTAAGAAATTGTCAAGATAATTTTGTTTCTTTCACTGACTCCCAATCTAATGAGGGCAGTTACCAGTACATTTAATAAACCTCAGTAACAAAGTTGAAATATACTGTTATGAGGAGTTACAGATCCATTTTGATGTGGAAATCTGGAAGTTCTATGGTATGTATCTACACTGGCTAAAATTTCTGGCTTCGGTCCTTCCTGGAATATGCTGTTTCTCCATTTGTCCAAAAGCTTTTCAGAGGCTAGGTTCAAGTGCTCCATCACTACAGACCTTACAAGCTACTCCTTTCAAGTGTCCCCAGCCAGAGCTTACTTGTACCACTCCCACACCCTGTAAGGCCTTATATTAAAATACTTATATTCTGGGGCCAGCCCCATGGCCCAGTGGTTAAGTTCACACGCTCCTCTTTGGTGGCCTGGGGTTTCGCTGGTTCGGATCCCCGGCTCGGACATGGCACCGCTTATTGAGCCATGCTGAGGCAGCGTCCCACACAGCACACCCAGAGGCACTCACAACTAGAATATACAACTATATATTGGGGGGCTTTGGGGAGAAGGAAAAAAAAGAAAACTTATATTCTATCCTAAAACCCTCTTATTGCCTAAATGCCTGTAATAACCATTACAGGTAGCTCTCTGGGTTCCTTATACTCTGAAAATGCCTGATGACGACACATTTGAGCACAAAGCAGCTGAATTTATGGCACAGATTTTTAAGCCATTTAAGAAAAATACAAGAAAACAAATCCATACTTTTATTTATTTACTTTTCAATAAGTTTAAATCCTTGAAGGGTACAGCATCTGGGGGAGGAAAAAAGAACACAATGTCATCATGTTACATACAAATTTACAAATGTTATTAAGTACTACAATATGGATAAATCTCCTCCCACTGTCCCATTACTCATTTCTGAAAGGCATTCAATGGCAACTTTTACCCTGGTTGGGGGGGATTGAGTTTTTATAGCCTTCAGTTTCTGGGTGAACATGCTTTGATTAAGAACCAGTACTGGGAGCACTGAAAGTCCATTTAATTTTGTTTCTTCTAATAACAGAGTAAAAACTTGCTCTGATGAGAAATCTCAACTGCTCAGCAGGGTTCAAAAAGTACCCTGGGACCTCAAGAATATGGCCATGTCTACTCTAAATGAATCCTAACTAAAGAAAACAGGAGCTATTTTAGAAAATCACAGGATCTGGAGTCAAAGACTTAGGCCAAAGTCCTGGGACCTAGAAATAAGAGCATCAGGTTTCTTCCATAAAATAAAGCTAATAACACCTCTTCTAACAAGACTGTCATGATGAAGAGATGGGAAAATATTAAGAATTATACCAGGAAAAGGTGTGTTGAATTTTTACTTTCTAGAAATTACTTCAGTGCTCAATGAACATCTTTGCCAGAAAACTGTTCATTTAAATACGATTTCCCCCCCAGGTAGCTTTAACAAAATCTGAAATCCAGCCACAAGCCATTTGAATACTTTGCCTTCACTTTCCTTCTAATGCCAAGAATCTGATGTTCCATAATACATTGACATAGTAGCCAATAATTGTGCAACATTACTGGTGACATTTTATAATCACAATAGTTCTTAGAGTCAAAGCCCAAGCCTTGAGCCGAGTTTGACTCAACTGGGTGCCATATTGCTAATAACTGTACTTACCACACGGATTCTGTGTCCAATGGCCTTCGCAGGAAGGTTACTTCGGAATTTGGCACGAACCATGCCACTGTTTCCATGAGCACGAGTTACCTTTCCCCAGATTACTCTGGTTTTGTTAGGTTTGCCACCAGGAGTCACTGTGTTGCTGATTTTAAAGAGATTTAAAAAAAGCATGAGAACCCAGGCAACCAATATAGTGTGACACAATTTCAAGGTGACCGACCTCTAGACCAGTGGCTCTCAACTCAACTGTAGTTCACTACTTTGGGGGTTTGGGAGGGGACAGGACGGGGGCATCATTTAACAAATATTTGAGTACCTATACAAATGAAATTTTTTGTAATTGTGTAAACTACAGCCATTTACAAAGCATAAATCCCTTTCAGAGGATATTCAAGTAACAAGTAAAATATATATAATGTCAGATGGTAATAGCTACAATATTGGGGGGGAAAGGGAGACAAGAAATGTGAGGATATTTGTGTGTAGGGAAAGGAAGGAATTTGCTTGCAATTTTACTTTTTTTTTGAGAAAGATTAGCCCCGAGCTAACATCTGTGCCCATCTTCCTCCACTTTATATGTGAGATGGCTACCAGTGTGGTTTGACAAGTGGTACATAGGTCCGCACCTGGGATCCAAAGCGGCGAACCCCGGGCCACACAAGTGGACTGTGTGAACTTAACCCTTGTTTGGAATTTTAAATAGTCAGGGAAGGCCTCACTGAGAAGGTAACACTGGAACAAAGACTGGAAGATAAGCGAACAGCCTGTGTTAAATATCTGAGGAAGCTGTGGCCCTGGCTTGTGGAAAGGCAGAAGATACCAAAGGGGGAATGCTAGCTGGGTTAAGAGTAGAAACAGGGAGCCCTGAATGTACAGAGGCTTAGGAGCTCCTTAATGACTTCGGCTTTTACTAAACATGATGGGGACCAGTTGGGAGTTTGAGCAATGTACAGATTATATGACTTATAATTTGAAAGATCACTCTGCTTGCAGGAGGAAAGGGGGGGCAAAGATGAAAGCATGTCCCTAGAGATCTTAACTGGTTTGGGATGGGTTTAAGAACCCAGGATTAAGAAACAATCAATGCTCGAGAGACATAACATCTTGAAGCATGTATATAAAATATAATTTCGAGGAATCAGCAAAACGAGTTAGGGTACACAAAAAGTGCTCTGAAAAACCTTAAGATCATAATACAAGGCATTGGCTCCGTCCTTGAAACAAGTAACAGCTGTAATTTTTTTAAATGCAGAAGACACCTAAATCCAACACCACCCAGGGGAGTAACATCCTTCTATGACCTACCAAGACCCCAAGTAGAAGCTACAACAGTACCAATTAGTTTACCAACATCTTTTGTTTATTCTTCTTTGAATAGGAAAATGAGACAAAATTCAAAAAGCATGAGAAGACTATAAACTTACTTCTTTGCTTTGTACACATAAGCACATCGCTTGCCTAGATAGAACTCAGTTTCATCTCGAGCATAAACACCTTCAATTTTAAGAAGGGCCGTGTGCTCCCTCTGGTTCCGGAGACCCCGCTTATAGCCAGCAAAAATGGCCTTGGACCACAGCCTACGACACAAAACACACGTCAGCCATAAGCTCTTAAAAGATCTCGTTTAACTTCAACAAACCACCAGTGCGAACTGACTTGTAATGACACCTACCCAAAAGTCACCTACAGCAAACACCTTATTTTTTCCCCAACAGTTTTAAGCTTACATTTAGCTTCATGCCCCATAAACAAAAAAACTCCAAGTACAAAGCAATGGTATTTAAAACGCGTACCTTCCAGACATACTGGTCGTTTTAGAAGTCCTGTCTCCGGCAGGCCTTAAAACAAACAGAATCAGTTTAAAATCTTGCAAGGCCCGTTTCCCACCTAGTCCCCTCTCGTTTCTTAAACCTGTCACAGGCAAATTCCTTTTTGATCAGCATTTCACGTTAAGAGTGTGGGGAGACGTAATGATGCCACAACACCTACATGAAGCGCGGTCTGGCAAGACACCCCAACCTCAGAGAATGCCTGACACCTAGGCAAACTCCAAAATGATGACGAAAATAAGTGTCAAGACTCCAAAAGAAATTAACTCTTAGAAACTCCAAAAGGAAGCCCTAAGAAAACTCATGCCACGATCAACAGAAAGAAATGAAGACCAAGGAGTCAGAGAATCATGCAGAAACAAGACTTTTAAGCAGTGAATGGGGGGGAAAAAAGCTGAGGAAAGGGGAGAGTGTAGTGAGCCAGATTCGGAGTAAGAGCAAAGAGAAAAAGAACCCAGACTTTAGGAGGCACTGCCTCAAAAAAGGGACTGCAGACGGACAAAGTGCACCTATTCCACTCCGCTAGGGTCCAGGAAGCAACTCCGACCACGGGAGCACCCGTTCTCCGGGCGTCAGGGGACCAGCACCATCAGTCCCACATCTCCTCCATCCTGTCCTCTCTCTTGCTGGAATCCACAGAAATCATTGACTGGCAGGGCCTCCGAGCCGCACCAGGGCCTCGCGGACGCATACGATTGAGCCCATCCCAGTTATTTGCCCCCAAACTTCAGCAGCAGGAGCTTCCCTCACCTCCACAGCCTCCAAGATGGCGGAAAGAGAAAGTCGAGGCCCGGTCGTGTGGCCTTGTGGGATAAACATTGCTCCGCCCCCAGTTTAGGCGTCTTCCGCGACCGCCCAAAAAAAAAAAAATAGACCTCAGAAATCGTCATCTGACTGAAACAAGCCACATTTAAAAACACTCTTAAAATTCTTTCCCTAAGTCGTTTTATCTTTGTAAGCTGCAACATATATTACTTTGGAACAGAGGAAGGCAACGTGGTAGCCAGCTAAAGGGTAGGAAAAGGTCCTCCAGGCTGACCGTTGCCATAGAAACACCTTAGCGTGGTCCCTGGGTTGTCGGGCGCTGTAGCTGCAGAAAGGAAGCCCGAGGGCTTGCTGTCCCTCGGTGTCGAGTACCCCAGATTTGATTCGCCAACAAGGGGGTATCTTTCCCGCTTACCACACAGGTAAGAGGCGAACAGAGATTCTCGGAAGAGAAAGGCCGGGAGCACGAAAGCAGAAGGAGCTCTTCCTTCTTTTCTTTCTTTCTTTCTTTTTTTTTTTTTTTGTACTCCTTTCCTTCTTCTACTTTGTCTTTTTCAAGAAATGACTTAAGTTCTTACCTCCATCCTTCTTTTTGACCCCGACGGTGAAGAGGACTGCCCTGAAAAGACTTTACTGCCTTTTAAGAAGAACTCATTCTGCTGCCCCCACCAACTTGGGGGCGCCAAGCCCCGTGCCCACACATAGTAGGTCTTCAGTAAATACTTGTAGACTAGAATAAGATAGATTAGTGGACATCAGAGATTTACATTTCCTAATTATTGCACATTTATTTGGGTTCCCCTATGGGTTCATTCATTTTTTTCAACAAACAGTTTATTGAATGACTGCCACGTACCAAGCTTTGTTCTTAGCTCGAAGGATACTGCAGTAAACAAAACAACAGGAATCTCTCGCCTCATAGAGCTTACATCTTAGTACGGGGAGCAAGATAATAAGCAAGTAAATGGCACATTAGAAGGCGATGTGAGAAAAACTTTCTCAATGGAGAAAAATTCAGCAGGGAGGCTTCTGTAAAGGAGGCTTTTACTCTGAGACCGGGAGCCGTTTGAGGCTTCTGTACAGAGGAGTGACTCAGTCTGACTTCTGTTTTAACAGGGTCACTGTGTGGAGGGTGAAGGAAAGCAAGAGCACCAGCAGGAAGATCAATTAGAAGGCTGTTATAATGACCCTGATGAAAGATTATGGTGTGTAGACAGGGGTGATGAGTACCGAAATTCTGAATATATTTTCAATGTAATGCTGACAGGATTTGCTGATGGATAAGGAATGAGAGAGGGAAGAGAAAAGGATGACTCCAAAGTTTTATGAAATAGATGTACATAAATCATATTTAAAATCAGATCCTCTCTTAAATACATCAAGAAAGAGTTTATGTACCGTAGAGCCCACTCCCCTATCCAATGTTCTGTGTCCCAGAAATATACTAGAAATCCCATTAGTAGAGAATGTACTAGAAATCCCACTATTAAATGTGCTAGAAATCCAAATGTAAGTACTCTTGGGAAGAATAACACATTAAGTGTGAGTTTCATTCCTTTGTTCATTCGTTCATTCATTCTACAAATACTTATTTGAGCACAGTGCCTGAAATTTAGGATACAATAGTGAGCATCCTTGTCATGATTCCAGTTCTCAGGGAACTTAACAGTCTAGTGGGGGAAACTGACGTAAACATGACAATTGTGAAGAAAGCTGTCTAAAAATAAGAGTGCAATCAGTGCTTGAACAGAGGAATCCTGATCCAACCTGATGAGTCGGTGGGAAAGTGTCACTTGCAGAAGTGTCATTTAAGGCATTTTCAAACTTCAGGTGTTGGCCCATTAGTAGATCATGATTATAATACTTTTTTAAGCAAAATATGATAGAATCAAAAATAGAATGTTTCGCACGTTAAGGGTAAGTTGTTTTATGAAACTTGTTTCAGTTATTTGTATGTATGTATATTCATATATATGCAATATGTAAAAATGTATGTGTGTCATTGTATCAGTCAGTGTTGCCCTGGAAGGAAATGGTTGGCAGAGATGAATATTTAATAAAGGATCTGCTTACAAAGGTGTAGGCAGGAGTGAAACTATAAGAAATGATGCAGGGGCTGGCCCTGTGGCTGAGTAGTTAAGTTTGCATGCTCCACTTTGGTGACCCGGAGTTTGTGGATTTGGATCTCGATCATGGACCTACACACCACTCATCATGCCATGCTGTGGCGGCGTCCCACATTCTAGAAGAACTAGAATGACCTGCAACAAGGATATGCAGCTATGTCCTGGGGTTTTGGGGAGGAAAAAAAGTAAAAAAAAAAAGCCCTGAGCTAATATCTGTTGCCAATCTTCCTCACCAAAAAAAGCATACCTTTAAAATATCTTTTTAAAAAAAGAGGTGATGCAGTCTCCAGGGACATGAGGAAGAAGTAGTTACCTGATTCCCAAGAGAGAGCAAGATGGAGAGGCTTGCCTGACAGTAGCCTTGGCCTTTGATAGAGAAATATAGCCAACCACTGGTGACCTGGCACGGGTGGAGCTGGGAGAATAAATATCTGACCTCACTCTCCTACAGTTTGTACCTCTCTCTGGAATCTTCTGTTGATGCACTCCATATGGGTCAGCCTCTCAGGGCACAGAAAATGGTGGAGATTCGATCTAGAGGGGCAAATGGAAGATAGCTGCAAAATGCCACTGATTTCAGCTCATGCTTAATAGATCACTTGGACTTTATAAGGTGAAGAGGTGAGGGGAAGAGTGGTTCACATTGAAGGACTAGCATCAGCAAAGACCCTGAGTTGGAAGGGAGCGTGATTCCATAGAAGAACTGAAAGAAGCCCACTGAGGCTGGAGCCATGAGAGCAAGAAAAGGGCAGTACCAGATGGATCTGGAGAGGAACGGAGGGGGCCAGATCATGCAGGCTTTATGGGCCAAGTTAAGAGTTTTAGTTTTTGTCCTAAGGCAATGGGAAACCATTGAAGGCTTCTAGGAGAGATATGATCAGATTTTCAATTTTAAAAGATCAATCTTTCATTTTAAAAAGATCACTTCCACTTCGGAGGCCAATGGAGTAGTTCAAGGAAGAAACAACAGTTAGGTCCAGGATGGTGTCAGGGGATATGGAAACAGAAGGTAAAATCCACAGGACTTGGTGATGGTTTGGAGTGGGGGGATGCTGACTCAAGATGAAGGAGGAAGCAGGAATGACTCCTGGGTTTCTAGCATTCAGGAATAAGGAGCCGGAACAGCATGAAAGCACTGGGTACTGCATAAGCATACCCCTACCTTACCTCTGGGAAGCACATTTACCTATGCCCCAAGCCTAAAAAATGGAGAAATAAACAACACAATGAGAACAAAATCTTCTTAACACCACACTACTTCCTCCTAAGACTGCTGTTGCACCAGAAAATTTGGCTAGTTTTGAGTGTTTTTTTTTTCAGTTAACATAAAGATTCTGTTTTATATGTTTGAATTTTTGCATATGAGATTTTTGTTGCATGAGATATGCTTGTACCACCCTTCTCAGGATCACTTTATTGTGGATAAAATCACACTAGAAACTTTCCATTCACTATGTATTCAGTATAGAGCAAAATTCTCCATAGGGTGTTTCTCATTGTAAAGCTCATTTAAGCCGAAAGGACTTTGGTTTACGAGGAGGGGTAACATCTTGATAGCAATTTTCAGCTGATTTTCAGGATAAATACAGTTTTTCTAAGTGTGATCTCAAGTAGTCTTCTAAGTCCAGGTGCAATAAATTTTGTTGTTTGGTAGATGTGGGGAATGGAGTGATCTGATTAAATATTTTAGTAATCAGAATAGTGGAAAAGTACATCTCTTATATAGAGATTGCTAATTAAAAATCAGAATACAATTTAAAAAATATGAAAACCATGTTGAATAATAATCTACCTTAAGAAGAGACTCAAAGGATGCATTTATCTGCCAGTAATTAAGCTGACTACTTGATAGACCTGTACCACGTGATGTCAGTGGTTCTTCCCTCTCTGGGACTGCTCTAATAAACACAAAGAAGGGATAAGCCACAGCTCTTGTAATTCTTTAATTTTCTCTTAATGAAAGGGCATAGAAATAACGTAAATGTCATTCAACACTCCCTTAAACTAATCTCAATGTTTTCTTCCCATTTTAGGTAACTGCATTTTTGTGAAATTATAATTGTACCATGGATGTTAACAAAACTAGCTCAAGAAGAATGGAACAGTATGTTCAAAATTTCCAATTTATTTTGTGTGTGTGCGTATATATATATATATTTAAATTATATCTTATGTTAAATTTCTGTGTATTATGTATCTATTGCTGTGTAACAGATTACCCCAAAGCTTGGTGACTTAAAATATAAAATTTTGAGGCTGGCCCCGGCCCGGTGGCGCAGTGGTTAAGTGCACACGTTCCACTTCAGCGGCCCAGGGTTTGCCGGCTCAGATCCCGGGTGCGGACATGGCACCGCTTGACAAGCCATGCTGTGGTAGGCGTCCCACATATAAAGGAGAGGAAGATGGGCACGGATGTTAGCTCAGGGCCAGTCTTCCTCAGTGAAAAGAGGAGGATTGGCAGCAGTTAGTTCAGGGCTAATCTTCCTCAAAAAAATAAATAAATAAAATTTTATGATTTCATACAATTTCTGTGGGTCAGGAATTTGAGAACAGCTTAGCTGGATGGTTCTGACTTGGGGTTTCTCATAAGGTTCAAGTTGGCCAGGGCTACAGTCATCTGAAGACTTGGCTCGGGCTGGAGGATCCACTTCTAAGATGGCTCATTTACTGAGCTGGCAGGTTGATGTTGACTGTTGGCAAGAGGCCTTAATTCCTCACCTTCATGAACTTCTCCCCAGGCTGCTTAAGTGTCCTCATGATCAGGCAGCTGGCTTCCCATAGAGTGAGAGAGAGGAGAGAGCAGGGAGAAGCTTCAATGTCTTCTATCACCTAGCTTTGGAACCCACAATATCCTTTTGGTTACATAGGTTAAGTAGTCCTATTCACTTTGGGGGAGACTGCAAAAGGGTATGACTACAAGAAGGTGAGAATCCTATGGACCACTTTGGAGACTGGCTACCACAATCTGTTTTTCACTAATCATCAGATACTTTTGGTTCTCATCTAAAGATGTTGCTAGAAAAAAAGTTAGTTTTGGCTCAATTCAAATTGGTTAAGCATAGCCAAATAGCATGGACTACATATCTTTATTAAACAGTAAGTTGCTTGACTTTGGTTGATCAAAATGTTGCTAGGAGGTATTTAACAGAATCACATACAAACTCTGACTTTTCTTCTTTATCTTGATTATATCATGTGACAATATGGATTTCCCAGGAGCCAATCTACGTGACGCCTGTGCTTTTGAGTTTAAGTAATTTTTAAACATTTGGTGGCTGATTTATTTTTCTTTCTTCTTTCTTTAGAGACAGACTGGAATCCTCAAATCTTCCTCCAAAAGTTTGGCATTCTGAGGTGACAATGTCAGTGACAGGTGAAGCACCTAGGGCTGTGGAAGAAGAAAAAGAAACAGGCAAAGGAACCGATGTAGAAGTCATCCCGGAAATCACAGAGCCACTCTTCATTCTAGATGTGCTGAGAATCTCTGCAGTTCTGGAGGATACCATAGACCAGCTTTCTATTCTGAACTATATCATGCCAGTTCAGTATGAAAGAGAAATAAGCAGCGACACGGTATATAGACTCACCATTATTTAATTTTTGCTTTTTCTTTTTCCATCATTTACAGTACTTATGCCATTAAATTTAACGTGAGAAGTAGCATCTTTGTCTCAGATAAAGGACTATAATAATTACCTGAGCTATGTACTCAGTTGATGGACTGACATAGACACAGCTCAAGGTACATTACCAGTCAGAATATCCTTTTCTTCCATTAAATTGGCATTACTCAAAAAGGTCTAACATGCCACAACTAGAAGCACCTGCAACTAAGATATACAACTATGTACCAGGGGGGATTTGGGGAGATAAAGCAGAAAAAAAAAAAAGATTGGCAACAGTTGTTAGCTCAGGTGCCAATCTTTAAGGGAAAAAAAAAAGGAAAAAAAGGCCTATAGTTAAGTCAGTATAAATATAGGATATATACGGAGATCAGGCAAATTGCAGAGTTGTCCCATCTATCTTATATTTCTCAGCTGCTAAAAGGTAACTGAACACTAGGTGCAGGAGATTCAGCTGGACCCTCTGGACACTGCCTTAATCTAAAATGACTTTGTTGTCATTGCTGAATATGTTGCAACCTGCCTTTCTGAATATCCAGCCACATCATTGTGTTAGCCATTACATTTTTAGTGATATTATGGGCTCCTCCTTAAAGCACTATGGAGTTACAAAAAACTCAACTTGGTAGTAAGCAAAATCTTTATAAGTTCTTAAGCTCTTGTAAATTTTAATAACTTAGGTTGTAGATATAAAATAGAAACTATTTTTTAAATTGCAGTAACATTGGTTTATAACATTATATAGATTTCAGGTGTACATCATTATATATTTCGATTTCTGTGTAGATTACATCAAGTTCACCACACAGAAACAATTTATAAATAGAAGTACATGTTCATTAAGTTTAGCAAAATTACATTGTATAATTTGTACAGAATATATTCTTATTTTTGATTCTATGACAAATGAAAATTGCTACATAAATGAGAGGGTAAATTGCTTCCCGTGTCTTTTTTTTTTCCTTCTTCCTCTCCCCAAAGGGCCCCAGTACATAGTTGTATAAGTGCCTCTGGTTGTGCTATGTGGGACACCACTTCAGCATGGCCTGATGAGTGGTGCCATGTCCGTGCCCAGGATCTGAACCAGTGAAACCCTGGGCTGCTGAAGCGGAGCGCGCAAACTCAACCACTCAGCCATGGGGCCAGCCCCTGCTTCCCATGTCTAACAGAAAAGAAGTCCATATATATTGTGACTAGATATTAAATTTCCCTTTAATTACCCCTTGCAATTTTTAAATTATTATTATTTATATCTATCTATCTATCTATCTATCTATATATATATAGTCTGCATTTGTAAAACTTTTGTTGAAGTTTAAAAGTTTATACAAGATTTTAATGGAACACTGGATTTGGAGTCAGAAGACCTTTGTGGTTTAGTTGTGTGCAATAAGCAATTCATTTCACTTTCTTGGTCTTAGTTTTCTCATTTGTAAAATGTGATGAAGTTTTAACTCCATATGATCCATATGGTTCCTTCCAATGATAGCATTCTTTGAGTTCTGGGATAGTTTTAAAACGATATTAATGGGTATTATGGGAATTTTATAACAAATTAACTTCCTTATCAATTTATGAAAGGCAAAGAGATTGGAACCCCAAGAACTAAGCCTTTCAATGCATTTAAAATAAGAGTCTGATTCATAAAATAAGCTAGTTAATAAATAGTACAGAAGAAACTAGTGTTTCCTTCCTATTTATTGTCTCCTTCAATAAGAATCAAAAATGAAAAGAGAAGATATTCAGTTAACACAATGAAGTCTTATCATGATACTTATCAATACTTGCTGTCAGGCTTAAAAAAGGGTAATTTGCCATCATAGAAAGTCAAGAGAGAAGAATCTCAAATTAAAAAAGCATTCAGCAGTGATCACCACTCCAGTAAATAAAAGAATGAACTTTTGCACTGTTTTATTCTGGTTTATGATAATGATGTTCATTCACAAAATTTTGTGATTTAACAGAGGCCTTGCTTTTGATTTTATAGTAATATAAATAACAAAGGCTTGCACTCTTATCTTCATTCATAGCAGCTTAAAAGCCCCTTTCTCAATATGTTAGTTCCATAGCTTTTAAAAATTGTAAATCTCTTAATTTTCTGCTTTTTACATCATAATACTATAGTTGTTCCAACTCATGAATTTTACAATGCCATCGCCCTAAAGGGCATAGGATATATATTTTAAAATCTTAATATGTATGTGAATGTCTTTTTTCTCCAAAACCTTTACATTGTTTAGCCTTATAACAACCTTAGGATGAAAGGTTAGCATTACCCCTCTTTTATAGCCATTTTTATAGCTAAAGATATCTCCAAGTGGATTTTCGTTTATCAGAATCACGGAATGGAATGATGAAAAATGTTCTAATATACCACATTCTATCAGAAGTGGGAGTAATTAGACCACAATTTGGCAAGAGCTCCCCCCCCAGGGAATACTGTTTTTCTTATCTTTTCCCTTAGGGTCTAATGCCTTACCTTGTACATAGCATGTGCTATATAAAAATCTGTTAAGGGACTAAAACATTTAGCTGGTTTCTTTAAGTTCTCTTCTTTAAAAATTCATATTTATTTGCAGTAATCAGTATATCGGGCTGCTTGACATGTTTGCTTCCTTTTCGAGATGCTCAAGCTGAAAGGTAGAGGAAAAATGGTTAGGGAAACCAGAAAAATGGAGCTTCCTAGGCCTTACATTTTCGCCTTCCCTCCCTAGACAAAATCCAAAATAACAACCATCCATATACTTAAGGTTTTCCTTATGTCCAAATAAGTTTCAATTCAATTGTTGAAATTCTATGGCTTCTGTTCTCTTTGTAATCAGTCATATCAATTTTAATTTAAAGCAGTATTTTACAATTTAATTCTTAAGGCAGTATTTTGTTTTACTTTCCTGCATATGTTTTCCTCCGATCTGAATTTTTGCTTATTGTTGATACAAAGAAAAATGGTGTTGAGTCTGTATTTGGTATGCTTTCAAGGATAGTTTTTTGGTTTTTTTTTAAGATCATCTTTATTTTTTTTTCTGCTTTTTCTCCCCAAATCCCCCAGTACCTAGTTGTATATTTTAGTTGTGAGTCCTTCTAGTTGTGGCATGTGGGATGCTGCCTCAGCATGGCCTGAGGCGCAGTGCCATGTCCACCCCTGGGATTCAAACCAGCAAAACCCTGGGCTGCTGAAACGGAGTGTGCGAACTTAAACACTCCGCCCCTGGGGCCAGCCCCCAAGGATAGTTTTTTAACATTTCTGGGCTAGTTGAAGTTTACCTAAGAAAGCCCTAGGTTTTATGTATCAATCTGCACATAAACCTTTCTTCCGTGCATGGGATCAGCACAAGAATTTAAGTAGTCATAATAAACACAGAACTTCCATAGTTCTGTATACTGTTCTAAATTTATGTATCTTAATTTATTTAATCCTCATAATAACTCTTTGAGGGCAGGTACTATTATCCCTCTCTTACCAATGGGAGAATGGAGGCATAGAGATGTTAAATAGGTGCCTTAAGTCAGTGCAGTTTAGTAAGAGATCAAGCTGGGATTCAAACAAGGAAGTCTGAGTTCACAGTCCATATGCGTAATCGTTATGTTATATGGCCTCCCAATAGCTCAAGCTTTTAGCCACAGATTACATAGGAATTATCAATTGAAAGACATATGCTGTTCCTATGGTGATGCTTACCCCTTAGTATCCAAGTTTGGGTCGAAAAATAAAATTATTTTGGCTTTTCCCCACATAACCTTTGAAAACAATACCACACCAGTAAATATACTATCAACAAAAGAAAGGGGAGAGGATGAGAGGAGGGAGAAGAAAATCAATCAATCAATCAATCAATCAATATACTGTCAACTTCTCCTCTCTGGTGCGATTCTCCTTTCATTCTTTATATTTCAAATTCATATGTTCAATGAACATTTGAGTCTCTGCTGTACTCTAGGCATCGTCCTAAACAATGAGACTGTAAAGATGGCCACATTTATTATCCAGTCTTGTTCCAAAAAGAATTTGAGGTGAACCAAGATCTCTAAGACACTGTCCCTTCCCTCATAGAATTTGCAATCTAATGGAGATATTTATACAAATGGTGACAATATGGTAAATGTCTGTAATAGAGATATTTCACAAAGAACTTTACCTTTGATCATCGTCTTAGAGTTCAGCAGGTGGTAAGTCGGGGAATGACAGAGAGGGAATATTATCTAAAGGCAGGAAGACACAAAACAGCAGGGCACGTGGTTTGGTGTGGCTGAAGAAAAAGAAGACTCTCCCACTTGTAGTACAAGGCACGAGTGGGAAAAGATGGGGTTGAAAAATGTGGGCAGAGGCTCTTGTATAGCATTGTTTCTTTACTCTTTTAAAATCTGTCTTATGTAAAACATCGTTTATTGTTTTTAGAAGCAAAACAAAGAAAAGAGTTTAGAAGGAAAACGCTTAGAAAAGCTTTCAATGGTCTCAAGAACCTCGAAAATATCCAATCTATTCTTACCTAAAGAAGAATTCCGGTTCTCAGAAGTCAGACAAGAAGGCCAATTTGCCAATGAGTTTAACAAAGTGCAAGATCTTGTCTTCAAAAAACCTACAAGGCAGGCCGTAATGACTTCAGAGACACTGAAGAAAATTCAGATTGATAGGTAAGGAAAAAAGCATATTTGGAAATGTAATAATATATCTACAGATGGATGAAGAAGGGGTACAAGTGTGGCTCACTGCTCTCTTCTCTTACAGATTGGTCATTATAGCCAGAGAGACTGCTGATGTCAGGATTAGCTAAAGACTGCCCAGAGGAAGTGTGGTATAATTGGCAGTACGGTGGCTCGATGATCTTGGGCAAGTTATTGAGCCTTTGTTTCCAATTTATAAAAATGAGAATAATGATAGCAACCTTGCCACATTAGTGTGAGGATGAGAAATAAGGCTCCAGCCCAGTGCCTGACCCAAAGTGGTAGCCCTTGTGATGCTATTTCCCTTAATAAGAGACAGACACCATCAAGCTAGCCAAATTTTAAGCTGTATTTTAATTACGAAGGTTTCTTAAAGGCAGTCTCAATTTCCATTGACTCATTATTCAGTTTTTTGTTGTCAACTGGCTTACTGACAAAGAAGCCTATTAAGTTTAAAAGAGTGCGTAACATTATGATAAGGGTTTTTTGGTAAATGAGAGTTGATAGCAATTACCAAGGGCCACTAGCCAAATCTGGCCTATGGTCTATTTTTGAAAATAAATTTATTGGAGTACAGCATTGCCCATTTGTTTACATGTGGTCTGTGGGTGCTTTCATGCTACCACAGCAGAGTTGAGTAGTTGTAACAGAGAATTTATGGCCTGCAAAGCCAAAAATATTTACTATTTGTCACTTTACAGGACAAATTTGCTGAGCCCTGCATTAGACCCTCACAGGAAGGGTAATGTCTCTTGCTAAAATCAGTCTGTCCCAGATTTGCATACATGACAGAGAGGTGTTCTGCTTATAACCTGCCCAACCTCGTTCATGTCCTTGGTGTGATGGCACATATCTTTTCCATCAGTTTCCTGACTTCAGTACACTTAACTTTTCTTCTTAATATAGTTACTGAATCTTTTTGTGTGAACTACTGTTAATAAATTATGTATAAAATACTAAGGGTAATTCTTACTGATCTATATCAAAACATTGAACAGCAGATTTTAAAAGTCTCTACCTAGGAGACTGTTATAAAGAGCAATGGACTAGGAATCAGGAAGCCTGGATCACATAGTTTTGGCTCTTTCTCAAACTGGCTGTGTGACCTTGGGCAGGTCATTTAACCTTCCTGAGCCTGGGTTTGCTCATCTCTAAAATGTGAGGGGTTTATTAGTTCTTTTTTTAAAAAAATTTTAAATGATTTAATTTTTTCAAAATTATGAAATATTTCAAAAATGCAGAAAAGTATAAAGAATAAAATAATGAGTACTTATGTATGTCACCACCAAATCTTAACATTTTACCACGATTGCGTTTGAGGTTTTTTTGAAAAAAATAAAATACTTCAGATATAATTGAAGCCTCTGATCCTAGTCCCCTCACTTTTCCCCCAAAGATAAACTCTCCCCTGAATTTGGTGTTTTTTATTCTGTTGCATATTATGATACTTATATTGTGTATACATGTGTTTTATTTAAACGATACGTATAGTTTTACATGTTTCTAAATGTTGTATACATATTATCATACTGTATATTCAGTGTTTGTTAGTCCTTGGTATGTAAATTTTTTCAGGTTAAGGAAGTTCTCTTTTATTTCTACTTTGCTAAGAGTGTTTCTTATTTGTTTTTTTTTTGTTGTTGTTGTTTTTCTTTAAAGATTGGCACCTCAACTAGCATCTGTTGCCAATCTTTTTTTTTCTTCTTCTTCCCAAAGCCACCCAGTATGTAGTTGTATATTCTAGTTGTGAGTGCCTCTGGTTGTGCTGTGTGGGATGCTGCCTCGTGGGTTGATGAGTGGTACTAGGTCCACGCCCAGGATCCAAACCGGTGAAACCCTGGGCCGCTGAAGTGGAGTGTGTGAACTTAACCGCTTGGCCGCAGGGCTGGCCCCTGTTATTTGTTTTTTTTGTTTTTTTTTTTTAAAGATTGGCACCTGGGCTAACAACTGTGGCCAATCTTCTTTTTTTTTTTTTTTCTGCTTTATCTCCCCAAACCCCCCTGTACACAGTTGTATATCTTAGTTGCATGTCCTTCTAGTTGTGGGATGTGGGATGCCGCCTCAACATGGCCTGACGAGTGGTGCCATGTCCGCACCCAGGATCCGAACCTTGGGCCGCCGCAGTGGAGCGCGCAAACTTAACCACTCGACCACGGAGCCGGCCCCTGTTACTTGTTTTTAAATGAAGAGTAGGTGTTGAATTTTGCCAGATGTCTTTTCTGCATCTGTTGCATTGATTGTATAGTTTTTCTCCTTTTGCCTTTATTAATGTGATGAATTCTACTAATAGATTTCTAATACTAAACTATTCTTGCATTCCCGGAATTATTCCGACTTAGTTATGATGTTCCTTCTGGGTTTAACTTGTGTGACTTCTGTAGTCCTTTGTGAACGTAGGGAAATATATCTTATTGACTCCTCTTTTTGTGTTTCTTCTTCCAGGCAGTTTTTCACTGACATAATTACAGACACCATGCAGGAGCTGGAAAAGTCAGGCACTTTCAACACTCTCCTGAATGCTTTGAGGAAAGAGAGGGAAAACAAAATGCATTTCTATGATATCATTGCCAGGTCAGAGTAATCTTAGATTTATTTGCTTTGTTGTATTTTAAAGTGCTGGAACACTCTTACCAGGAGCCCTTGATTCTAAAATAAATGAAATTTGTGCTTTCCAGGGACGATAACCAGAAGTCAGAAATTTGGGTCCTATTCCTGGTTCGGCTGGGACAATAATTCAGATTTCTGGACTTCAGTTATCTGTATCTACAGTATATCAAGAATATTCTTCCTCTCCTACAGTAGTCTTTCTTAGGGCTGACTCCACTGGAAATCCCTGAACAATAACAAGTGATAATAAAAAGCATACCAATGGAAGTTTTCTTTTCCAGAGCCTTTCAACTAATTTCAAAGATTTTCATACCTTAAGAAATTCAACACAATCAGAATGCTTTGGGACCAAGATAAAATTCTCTTTATATAAGCCCTGAGTAGTCAGAATGAGAAAGTATTTATCTTGTCTGCATTGTTTTTCCTTGAGTTTTTTCCTCTTCCTTTGTTTCTTAGTTTTGGTAATGAATTCTGTACTAGACTTATTGTGAAGATTAGATTAATTAATAGATGTAAAGCACTTAGGATAGTTGCTGGCACATAGTAAGTGCCTGATAACAATAATAGCTACTGTTATAGACCTAACATTCGTTGCTGGCAAGGAAGCAAGGATATGAGCACTTACGTACATTACCAGTGGGAGAATGAATTCGTTTAATTCTTAAAAAGTGATTTATCTATGGTAATAAAAATATATATACCTAATTTTAATTTTATAGTATTCACTATTACATGTGTATTATTCCATAATTTATTTAACCATTCCCCGAGTTTGAACATTTAGATTGTTTCCAAATTTTTGCTAGAGCAAATAATGTGTCAGCGCATATGTTTGTACGTAAATATACGTCAGCGAACGTCTGAGTCTGTTATTATTCCATTAGGTTGAGTCACTATATGTGGAATTACAGAATCAAAGAAATAGTCTATAGATTAATGAATGATATTATGAAGCTATTTAAAGTATTGTTTACAAAGTTGTAATAACATGGGGGAAATGTTCATGTTGCAATTTTAAGTAGAAAAGGAAAGGCTGGAAATAATATAGGATTATCACATTCATATAATAAAACTACCAAAAATATGTATAGAAAACGAGACCTGGGGGCCGCCCCGGTGGCACGGTGGTTAAGTTCGCAGATTCCACTTCGGTGGCCCGGGGTTCACCAGTTCGGATCCTTGGTGCGGACATGGCACCGCTGGGCAAGCCATGCTGTGGCAGGCATCCCACATATAAAGTAGAGGAAGATGGGCATGGATGTTAGCTCAGGGCCAGTCTTCCTCAGCAAAAAGAGGAGGATTGGCAGCAGATGTTAGCTCAGGGCTAATCTTCCTTAAAAAAAAAGAAAAGGAAAATGAGACCTGGAAGGAAATACCCAGTGCGTTAACAATGTGGGTAATTTTTTTTAAAAAAACCCTTTAACTTTTTAGTATTTTCTAGATTTTTACTTTATCAAGGGAGAAAATAAACTTAGCAAAAAAGCTAAGCAAATTGCATAGTATACCCTTTGATGTAGCATTCCTACTTTTGGAAATCTAACCTATAGAAAAAAATGAGTTCATATTAGATGTATATACAAAATGTTTATTGCAGCATAATGGCAAAAATCTAGAAATAGTGTAAATGTTCTTCTATAAAGGAGTACTTAAATGATTGTTAATTTTATGAAGTAAAAACATACAGCTATTAGGGCCAGGCCTGTGGCTGAGTGGTTAAGTTCGCGTGCTCTGCTTTGGGTTTCACCGGTTTGGATCCTGGGCACAGACATGGCACTGCTCATCAAGCCATGCTGAGGTGGCATCCCACATAGCACAACCAGAAGGATCTACAACTAGAATATGCAACTATGTACCGGGGGGATTGGGGAGAAGAAGAAGAAGAAAAAGATTGGCAACAGGTGTTAGCTCAGGTGCCAATCTTTAAAAAAACAAACAAAAAAACATACAACTATTAAAAAGAATGAATTAGAGCTATATGATTGGTCTGGAGGGATGTTCCTCATAGATAAATGAAAAGAAGTTACATGTGTATAGTGTGATTTTTATTTTTAAAAATCTTCTCATTCATGTATTAAGAGCCTAGAGAAGGATTTGGAAGGATATACATCAAAAGGCTTAACATAGGCTGCCTCATAGGAATGGGACCCGAGGGGAGAAGGGAGATGGCAGATTGTCCACTTTTTCCTTATACCTTCCTATTCTGTTTTGAAATTTTTTTTTTTCCCAGAGATTGGCACCTGGGCTAACAACTGTTGCCAGTCTTTTTTTTTTTTTTCTGCTTTATCTCCCCAAACCCCCCCTGTACACAGTTGTATATATCTTAGTTGCACGTCCTTCTAGTTGTGGGATGTGGGACGCCACCTCAACCGTGGCCTGACAAGCGGTGCCATGTCCGCACCCAGGATCTGAACACTGGGCCGCCGCAGCAGAGCGCGCGAACTTAACCACTGGCCATGGAGCCGGCCCCTCTATTTAGTTTTAAATGAAGCTTCTTTTGGTGGTAATTGTCTTCACTGTACAATAAAATCTTATAAAACAATAAGAAAAACACCAGTATATAAATACAAAAATGGATAAAAGATAGATGTAATGGGTGATTCTTGGGAAAAGCCCCACTTGGGGGCTGCCATGGAATGATTTTTCCTTCCTCCAGGAACAGAGAGTGCTGAAGACATCCTCAAAGTATGCATTCTATCTGTGAGATGTGTGCATATCTGCCCCCAAGGAAGAATTAATAACGTGCCAAAATCCTCTACTTAAACCCCCTTTCGTTAAGAATCCTTCTCACTTATTTTTAAATATGTATCCCTCTGCAGTATTATTCAGGGGAGACAGACCACTTTGTTCAAGACAGATAGTTCACTTTGTTTCTTTCAAAGCGAAAGAAAGTCAGGGGAGAATTTGCCAGGTTTTAAGGCCTTTTGAGATTTTGGTCAAAGGGTCAAAGTTCATGAGGTATAAATCTCATCATAGTCACTCAGCCTCTGCTCCAGAAAGGCAAACAGAAGGAGCCAGAACAGCCCCTCTGCTTGCTGAAGTGGCAGCCTGGAAGCTCCTTAGCGGGACTCAGCTGGAGAGTATAGGTCACATCTGTCATTGGTCCCTAATAACATGCAAGCCTCACCAGGACTGTTCCCATTTGTGGCAGACAGCTGCACAGAACTTGGATCTAAGTGAATATTGTTTGAGCATTGCTTTTTTTTTTTTTTTTTTAGTAAATAGGTTTTCGTTTTAGAGCAGTTTTAGGTTTACAGAAAAATTGAGCAGAAAGTACAGAGTCCCTATATACCCCTTATTATTAATATCTTGCATTAATACAGTACATTTGTTTTAATTGATGAGCCAATATCGATACATTATTATTAACTAAAGTCCATAGTTTACGTTAGGGTTCACTCTTTGCGTTGTACATTCTGTGGGTTTTGACAAATATATAATGACACGTATCCCCCATTACAGTTTTATACAGAATAGTTCCACTGCCCTAAAAATCCTCTGTGCCCCACCTGTTCATTCCTCCCACCCTCTCCCTGAGCCCCTAGCAAGCACTGATTTTTTTACTTTCTCCTTAGTTTTGCCTTTTATAGAACGTCATGCAGTTGGAATCGTACAGTATGTAGCCTTTTTGGATTGGCTTCTTTTATAATATGCATTTATAATATGCATTCCTCCAGGTCTTTTCATGGCTTATACTCATTTCTTTTTAGCACTGAATAATGTTCCGTTGTCTGAGTGCACCACAGATTACTTATCCCTTCACAGGCTGAGGACCATCTTGCTGCTTCCAGGTTTGGGCCATTCTGACTACAGCTGCTATACACGTCTGTGTGCAGGTTTTTGTGTGGACATGTTTTTAACTCATTTGAATAAATAAGGAGCACTGTTGCTGGATTGTGATGGTAAGAGTATGTATGTTTAGTTTTGTAAGAAACTGCTGCACTGTCTTCCAAAGTGGCCGTACCATTTTGCATTCCTACCAACAATGAATGAGAGTTCCTTTAGCTCCACATCCTTGGCAGCATTTGGTGTTGTCAGTGTTTTGAATTTCTGACTTTCTATTAGGTGTGTAGTGGTCTCGTTGTTGTTTTAATTGGGCATTGCTTTTGATAGAGAGGAAAGAGTGGGCTGACTGGTCTTTGTCTCTTGGTGTCCTGAAGTTTCCTTCCATTGTAATGATGACTCAAAGTGCAGTCTGATCTGGAGAGGTGAGGCATCCTTTGATGTGGCATACATAAAATGACAGGAGAAGACAGTTCACTGAAGGGAACACACAGCGGGTCAAGAAACATATGAGAAAAGTTTACCTTCAAATCAGTAGTATACCATTTTTCATTTCTCACACTGGCCAGTTTTCTTCTTTTTTTTTTTTTAAAGATTTTATTTTTCCTTTTCCTCCCCAAAGCCCCCTGGTACAGAGTTGTGTATTTTTAGTTGTGGGTCCTTCTAGTTGTGGCATGTGGGACGCCGCCTCAACGTGGCCTGACGAGCGGTGCCATGTCCACGCCCAGGAACCAAACTGGGGAAACCCTGGGCCACCGCAGCGGAGCCCCGAACTTGACCACTTGGCCATGGGACCAGCCCCAGTTTTCTTCTTTATAGCAAACAACACTAGTGGGAATGTAATTTTAGATGTAATCTATTGAGTTTCTTCCATATCCCTAGAATAGTTATGGCACAATTTTTGGTTAAATTAATATTTAATGTTTTGATTATTATTATGTGTAAATAGTTCATAGATGGGACAGGTAGTATATATAATGATTAAATTTTCTTTCTTGAACTATTTTTCTCCTAGAGTTAAAATTTGACCCTCCTTTTTTCTTTTTTTTAAAAAAATTTTATTGAGGTCCTATTGGCTTATAACATTGTGTAGATTTCAGGTGTACGTTATTATATTTCAGTTTCTGTATAGACTGCATCGTCTTCACCACCAATAGTCTAGTTTTTATACTTCACCATACATATGTACCCCTTTACCCCTTTTGCCCTCCCCCACCTCCTTCCCCTCTGTTTTCCAATCTGTTTTCCTTATCCATGTGTTTGTTTATCTTCCATGGATGAGTGAAATCATACAGTGTCTTTCTCTGTGCAACTTATTTTGCTTAGCATAATACCCTCAAGGTTCATCCATGCTGTTGCAAATGGCATGATTTTGTCTTCTTTTATGGCTGAGTGGTATTCCATTGTATATATATACCGCCTCTTCTTTATCCAATCATCCACGTCTTGGCTATTGTGAATAATGCTGCGATGAACATAGCGATGCATACATCTCTTTGAATTGTTAATTTCATGTTCTTGGATAAATACCCAGTAGTGGGATAGCTGGATCATATGGTATTTCTATTTTTAATTTCTTGAAAAATCTCCATATTGTTTTCCATTACCATTCTTTTTGTTTGCCAGTTTTTTGACATTTCTATTCCAAATCCAGCACCCAGCTCTTCACCAGAGCTCTAAAATTCTCTAAATAGAGTCATACATATTAAGCTTTCCCTTTTTTTTCTTTTGAAACTTTCTTCTGTTGTCTTGCTCCTATCTGCTGGTTGCTCCTAGAGCCTGCTACATTGCCATTGTCCTGGGCCTTCCCTTCATCTTCTGAGATTCCCTTTTAATCTGTTTTCTAGACCCCATTCTTCTTCTTTGTGTTAGTCCCTCATTTTGTTGGAACATGTCTTTCTGTAATTTCTTAAAGAAAGGGTGCATGGAAGGTAAATATATTAAGATCTTGCATGTCTGAAAATATCTTTTTTTGTCCTCATGCTTTCTTAGTAATTTGACGGGGTACAGATTTTCAGACTGAAAATTATCTTCTCTCATAACTTTTGAAGGCAATACTCTACTAACTTCTAGTTTCCATTGTAAATGACATTTATTTATTTAATTGAATCTGTCCTTGGGGTGCTGAGTATATCAGTAGAGATAAAGTATTTATTCTTTATCTTTCTTATCTATTTCTTATAATCTATAAATGGGAAGTATATAATCTATAGTTTGGCAATGACAGTCTCAAGATTCTAGTTAAGTATGTGCTTTCTAAAAGTTCCTGAGTAGCAATTCTTATCTAGATGCGATTTTGTGATAAGTTTTTTTTGGTTGTTGCTATAGACTGAATGTTTGTGCTCCCCCCCAGCCCAATCCATTTGTTGAAATCCTAACGCCCAACGTGATGGTATTAGGAAGTGGAACCTTTGGTAGGTAAGTAGGTCATGAGGGTGGAGCTCTCATAAATGGGATTAGTGCCCTTATAAAAGAGACCCCAGAGAGCTCCTTCTCCCTTTCCATTATATAAGGATGCAAATGAAAATGGCCATCTGTGAAACAGGATGCAGCTTCTCACCAGACACTGGATCTGGTGGCACCTTGGTGTTGGATTTCACAGCCTCTGAAATGGGAGAAATAAATTTCTGTTGTTTATAAGCCACCCAATATATGATATTTTTGTTTTAGCAGCCCAAGCTAACTAAGACAGTTATTGTTTTGTTTGTTTATTCTTGTATTGTTTTGTCATTTTGTTTGTTTTAGGCCTAAATGATGGTATTGCTGGAGATAAACAGAATTCTGTTTCCAGAGAGCAAACAGAAACAGTAACATGAAGTAGTTAGTTTCTCATTCAGACAGGACTGAGTCTGAATCCTGCCCTGCCATTGACTGTTTGTGTGACCATGGCACGTGCATTAGTCTGTGTCTTCTGAGAGCTGGATGCCCAGATGAGATCATTCATGCAAAGATTTTATCAGGGGAAACACCTGTGAGGGAAAGTGGGGAGGGAGCCTTTAGACCCAATGCTTTATGGACCCCAAGTGAAGGAGAGGGAAGGTCGGGTGGAAGAGACTCCCCTGCAGTTTGAGGATGGTTCGGCAAGGGCATCCGGGAACCGTTGAGCCAAAGTCAGCTGTCAGAGGAGTCCTGGGTCTCCTAGGAAGGGCCTGCCTTAGTATCCTTGCCGCACACACACATGGGCTGGGAGCAGTCCTCGGGAAGTGTGGCCTCAGAGCACACACAGTGAAGGATTCCAGAACCTAGAGCTGGGACCCTTATTCCAGCTTACACTGCCTGTAGTTGGAGGCCTGTGAGGCACATTCTCATGTCCACCACAGCAAGTTACCTCAGCTCTCTGAGCTGCGTTTTCCCCGTCTGTAAAATAGGGGTAATGATAGGGACTGCCTCAGAAGGTTATTGTGAGCTAAGAATATGTGAATCAAAAGGACTCTTCTTCTTCCTCTTCTTCCTCTTCTTAGCTTTTTCTCAGCAACGGCTATTTTAGATGCAACACTGATAAGCCAGAAAATCCTCCTCCAATTTACTAGGACAAATCACAGTCTTTTTAAAAGTGTTTCTGAAAGTGTGTTCTGTGGACCAGCACCATTGGCATCACTTGGGAACTTATTACAAATGCGAGTTCCAGGGCCCTGTCCCAGACCTGCTGTATTAGAGTGTCTGGGGCAGAGCCCAGGACTCTGTTAACATCCGGGCCATCCTTGTGCACGCTAAAGTTTGAGAGGCACTGCTTCACACACAAATCATTCTTATTTCTCCTAGGGAGAAAAAAGGAAGAAAACAGATAAAATCTCTTCAAAAACAGCTAATTAATGTCAAAAGGGAACGGCAAGCTGAAGTGCAGGTAAGAATGACCTGGGCAACGCGGAAGGTTACTGAGCTGAAGGCGCTCTATGGAAGCCAATGTTCTTAAGCAAAGAAAAGTCATGTAGGAGAAACTGTGGTTTCTCTGAGGGTGCCTTTACTACTGAAAATATAGAGAGAGTGACTGGGGAGTTGGCCTGGGATGTACAAGTGTGTCCAGAATAGAACTCTGGGGGAGCCCATCCAGGGCGCTCTTAGTTTGTTCTTACCCCTCCCGTCCCACCATCCACACCATCCTGTCCTTCCCTACGTCAGACCTTGTCTCTCGGACTCTCTTGTATTCTAACATCCCAGATGAGAGACTTTAGTCCTAAGTAGGACATTCACCACATTACAAATCTCCTTATACGTGACGCTCAGGTTTAATAATGTCATTTGTGTTGTATTTTCAAGTACAGAGTGGATGTAATGAGCTTTTATAGTCATTAGAACCTAACCTTATATCTAATTTACCTCTGTAAGAAAATTCATCCCAAGTTTTAAGCAACTGACTTGCAAAACAATGATCAGGCTACAATCTAGGCAGTTAGAAATTAATTCTATTAGGATGACTAACACTATTCGCAGTTTAGAAATTTACAAAGTATGGCCTGATATCAGCTTTTTATTGCCTAGCTATTTGGATAAGTTTATGCTTCAGATCAGGAAATCTTCATTATTCCCTACATAGAAGTTAGAAGAATATTTTAAAAATGTATTTGGAAGAATTGTTTAAAAAAGGCCGCTAGCCTTTCTTCCAAGATATTATCTTTAAGTCTTCTGAAAAAATTGTTTAACATCATCTTTTATTTTCTATTTACCAATTACAAAGTACCTTTGGTATTGATTTTTACGGGAGTGTCTCTATTAACCCTCTGTTTATAGTTACATTTTTTGAAAACCATTTTTCTTCTCTGGAACATTTCACAAAAATTGGTGTGTACTTAGGTTTTCTCTCTAATGAATATGCCTTCTCAGAGGTTTCTTAGCTTTTTTCCCTGAAAAGCTCTCCCATTATTTAAAAATTCCTTGAGGATTAAAATAGAAGATATTTATATTAATTTCCTTTTAAGCCTTCAAACCAAACAATGTCAAAAGAAGCCTCAAGGGGCCAGCCCAGTGTTGTAGTGGTTAAGTTTATATGCCCCACTTCGGCTGCCTGGGGTTCACAGGTTCAGATCCCAGGCACAGACCCAGCACTGCTCATCAAGCCATGCTGTGGTGGCATCCCACATAAAATAGAGGAAGATTGGCACAGATGTTAGCTCAGTGACAATCTTCCTCACCAAAAAAAAAAAAAAAAAAGAAAGAAAGAAAGGAAAAACCCCTCAGGTTTGGCACTCTACCAGTTAACTCCCCTGTGCTACTATCATGACCACTTTTTGTTTGTTTGTTTTGGTGAGGAAGATTTGCTCTGAGCTGACATTTGTTGCCAATCTTCCTCTTTTTTTGCTTGAGGAAGATTAGCCCTGAGCTAACATCTGTGCTAGTCTTCCTCTATTTTGTATGTGGGTCGCTGCCACAGCCCGGCTTGACAAGTGGTGTAGGTCCATGCCTGGGATCTGAACTCGCAAACCTGGGTGACTGAAGCAGGGTGCAGTGGACTTAACCACTACACCACAGGGCTGGCCCCCATGGCCACTTTTTTTCTCTTTCTTAGACACTTTGGTAATAGTTTTCCAGCTAACACTTGCCTGTGAAACTTATCCTCTTGGATTACATTCTCAGCCATTACATTTAGTCAAAATAAAACTAAATCAGAATATCACTCAGATCTTTTGATCATCAAAAAAGGGAAATATAAAATAGGACCAGAAGATCCAAGGCAAACCTTGGAACCAAAAAACAGCCATACAGATGAAATCAAGTTAAATCCCTAGGATTACTAAAACAGCAGTGAAGTCAGGCCTGGAAAACAAGACAATGGTAGGAAGGACACTAGAGACCTGTGGGTCAGAAAATTATGGATGGCAGGTTTGTGTGTGTGAAAGTGTGTGTTGTGGTCCCTGGAATATGACAGAGTAATCACCTTAGAGATGAAGCTTCCTGCTGGGTCCCCAGGCAAAAAGGAAAAGTCACAAAGGAAAAAAAAAAACCAGGTTGCTGTTAGACTTCCAAAGGACATCAACATATAAAGCAAGGTAACAGTGGAGCGGCATTTTCATGAAACTAATGGGAAAAAAAGAGAGAACCAAGATCAATATATAAAAATCAATGTATCTTCTCCATACATTGGCAGCAGACTTAGAAAAGGAATTTGAAAAAAATATATATATTATTTACAACAGCATGAAAAATATCGAATACCTAGCAATGAATCCAACAACAACAAGAAAATATCTGGGACTTCTTTGCATGAAACTATAAAACAGTATTGAAAAATTACATAATACTTAAATAAGTGGAGGGATATACTATATTTATGAATTGGAAGATTCATTATTATAAAGATATCAATTCTTGCAAAATTGATTGATACATTGAATTCAATCCCAGTTAGAATCCTGATTGGATTTGATTTATTTATTCACTTATTTTTGTGAAAGTTGGCAAACTGGTTCTAAAATTTATATTGATATGCCAAGGATCAAAAATAGTCAAGACGATATTGAAGAGGAACAAAGTGGGAGAACTTGCTTTCCTGAATTAAAACAGTGTATATTTGTGCAAGGATTGAAAAATAAAGCAATGAAACAATACAAAGAGAACCTTTATGGATTTATGGCAAGGGTGGCACCACAGAGCAGTGGCAGGAGGTGTTTTAATAAGTAATGCTGAAGAAATTGGGTACCTATATGGAAAAATTAAAATTTTACTCTAATCTGACCCCATACACAAAAATCAGTTCTATAGATCTAAATGGGAAAGGCTAAAGCATAATATTTCTCGACAACATAGGAGACTATTATCTTGCCTTTGGATAGGAAAAGATTTGTTAAACAGATCACAGAAAGTAAAGTTACAGAGGAGAAGGTTGGTAAATTTGACTACATTAAAATTAAAAACTTCTGTTCATCAAAAGACATCAATAAGAGAGAGAAAGAGTAAGCCACAAAGTGGGAGAAGATATAGCACATATCCAATAAAGGGCTTATATTCAGAATATATAGGGAACTTCTACAAACTAATGACAAAGGGACAGATACCTAATGGAAAAATAAGCACAAGGGTGCAGAGGCATTTTCAAAAAGAGGATATCCAACTGGCCAATAAATGTATGAAAGTGTGTTCAACTTCACTTGTCATCATGGAAATGCAAATTGAAACCGCAAGGAGACACAATTATCTTCTCATTAGAATAGCTAATTCTATCATATTGGTATTATATTTGGTATTAATTTATAATACCAAATGGTAATGATGTGGAGTAATGGGAATTCTAATACACTCATGCTGAGCGTTTATAATAGTATTAGCAGTCTGGAAAAAGTGTAACAATATCAAAGTTAAAAACAGGTGTACCCTATGACCCAGCAGTTCTACGCAATAGAATCTGTATGCATGTGGAATCATGCACAACAATGGCCAATAAAGCATTGGTGGTAGCTAGAAATGAAACAACCAAAATGGTTATCATACATTATGATATATTCATTCAATGGAGTACTAAAGTTAAAATTAATGAACTATAGCTGCCACATCATAAACTTAATGTGGATCGAAATAGTCCAGACACAAAAAAGACACACTGTATGATTCCATTTTTACAAAGTTCAAAAAACTAAACTATAGTGTTTAAGGATAAATGATTAGATTATAAAACTGTAAAGACAATTACCATAAAATTACAGATAGTAGATACTTTTGGGGAAGAGAGAGAGCAGTGGTTGAGAAAGAATGTAACGGAGAGCCCGTGTCAATCCTGTGTCTTAGCCTGGGAGATTGTTATGTGGGGTTTACTCTGTGATAATTGAGTTAGATGTTTATTTTTGTGCATTTTTTTAAAGCATATGTTCTATATTCACACACACACAGAGTTAGAAAAAAGTAATTACGTGTGTGCTGTGTGTTAGAGGAGAGTACGAGGGGTTATGGATGCATCGAGGAAGGAGCTTCAACCAAGGGTGGCGAGTCGAGGAAGGACACCCTATAGAAACTGTATTTAAGCCGAGGCGTAAGGGATGTCTCCAAGTTAGCCAGGTGAAGAGGAGGAGAAGAATGTTTCAGGCAGAAGGAACAGAAAAAACGTATTTGAAGATGTCATTATGTCTTCCTGATGAATTGATCCTCTGTCATTGTACTTGGAGAGCTCAGTGCTGTCCTGGAAGCTTTGCATGATATCTTAAGACAGGCCTGAACTACTGCATCCTCGAAGCCATACTTTGTTTTTTCTCTGGCCACCCTATTACTAACTTTTGCATGTTACCTGCCTCTTTTCTTTACCCAGCCCCTCAGCTTTTTGCATCTTTGATGACTCTAATTTCCTTTTTGGGGGGAACAGATATGGAGAGAGTACCAAATGGAATAGTTAGAGATGACTATGCTGATATCTAGGCTTCAAAATGGATTAAAGAATAAAATGAAGCTGTAGAAAGCATGCTTGCTAAGTTTGCAGGCAACTCAGAGCTGGTATACGATAAGTAATAGGTATCAGAATTCAAACCTCTGCTGCTTATTGGAACACTGAACTGACTCCAAGAAGAAGCGAAGGTTAAACTAAAGTCCTGACTTTGAACAACCGTCAAGTTGGGAATTGTGAAGACCTAACTTGTCTTCAACAGTTTCGTCAGAGGCTTAGCTAGGCTCTAACATGAGTCCCTGAGGTTCGGGCCCCACCACTGGCTGTTGTTGTCACAGCAGTTTAAAAAGGTGCCTGCCGTCCCCTGTCTTCTTTAGACTTCTCAGAGTCTTCCATTCACAGTGCCTCTTCTAATGGCTTTCATCTGAGTCTTAGCAGTCATGACAACAACGTATTACCATACAATATTGTGAAAAGCATTTGGAATGCTTCCTCTTTGTTTTGATTACTGCAATTTGTGGCACTGTGTAATGTTTATACAACAGGGAAAAATATTCCCCTATCCTCGGTTGTGGTTAGACGTCTGTAACAGTGTGTACAGTTTCAGGCATCACATTTAAGGAGCTTACGCAGAAGAGATCAGCCAAGACAGTGAGATGTATGGAAATGTTATTACAACAGGAAAGAAAAGAGGAAATTGGCATGATTGGAAAGGGAATAGTTCAAATGGAAATGAAATCAGTGGGTGGAATTGGAACCTGAAACTTCAGAAGTTTGGACTTGATTATGTTTCATCTGCATTTTAGAGTGGAGACTGTTTAGCTCAGAGTTTGTTCAGAACCTCTTATAGAGTCAGCCAGTATTCTTAGTCATAGACAGACAGACAAATATAAATGTTAATTTAATACAGAACTGTATTTTTTTTGTGTGGCTTTTATAACTTTAATAGACCACATTCCCATTTTCCTTTTTCCATCCAACCAAAGAGGCAGCCTGAGGCAAGACAAGCTCCAACTTCTCCAGATAGGAGCTTCCAAAAATTCCAGAAACCAGTACTCTCTTCCCTACTTTGTGTTCAATTATGAAAATAGACATTCCCATTAGAAGCCTTTGGCTCACAGTATTGTGGCAGCCATCAGAGTCTTATGAACTCTAATTGGCTGACTGCTTCTTTCCATTACTAAATCATGTTTCTCTGAACTCAAATAACAAGTCAGAAAGTCTAGATCTGAAGGAAGTTTTGGGATTTGGAAGTAAATTTTGGTCTGCTACAAAAACCTACAGATATGCTACATCTGTCCACAGACCTTGATCACGGGGAAAGCTCCAGACACCATGGACGACCTGGGTTATGATGGTGGGTTGTGGTGAAGGCAGATCTTTTCTTAGTGAGAATCTTAAAAGAAATTTATACAAGTAAACACCCTTGGCCTATAACCCACTGCTTCTAGGCTGGATCTTTGTTGCACACTGGGAAGATGAAGAAATGGAATGGCACTTCAGTTCACTTTTTAGTATGACTTGATCATGATTTTACCATCACTAGCATGTGAGTATTTTGTTTCCACACTGTCACCATGGAAAGCTATAAGTCTGTGCAGAATAGCAGCACCGGGAGGAACTCAGAGGAATCAGAGGCCCATGGCAACAGCATCAAAACCAGATGTCTCTGGCTTGGCACATGTGATTATAGACCAATGTTGTATAACCTTAGAAACAATTACGTAATATAATACCTTCTGTTTTCTGTAAGAAGAAACTCCTAGAGTTTTAACTCTGCATTTCTGATCTTCATGTTGTTACTCTGAGGAACTTAATATTCAATTTGATGAGGAAAACTGGCCAGAACGTTCTCTTGAGTTTTTGAAAGTATAGTTTTGTGTGGACACTATTTAATAAATACCGAACCGTTCAACACTATTAGATTCTGTGCGAAACAAAACTACAATTATTTATGTGGGCTGAGATTTTCTGGAAAAGGTTTTATGGACTTAAGCGATGTATAAGCTGAACCTTGAAGAAAATCTAGGCCATTAAGTAGGTAAAAGGATTCCAGTTGATGAAGAAGAGAAACTATCACATTTTACTTTAACTCGTCTTCCTAGAGATTCAAACTTTATATCACTGACTGCCATACAATTTGGAAATAGAAGGGAGGAAAGAAGAGAAATGGAGAAGACAGAGGAGAAGGGAGGAGCATGTAAGAAGGGAAGAAAAAATGTGAGCCAAAAAAAGGCATATCTTAAAATTCATTTAGTGAACATTTATTGAGCACCTAAATTGTGCCAGGCACTGAGCAGGATTAACAGATGAGAAAATGGTCTTAGAGAGCTTAGGTAACTTGCCCACAATCCTCCAACTTGTAAGAGGTTCTGAAGTACTAAGATGTATCATCATCTGGGCTCGTAGCATGTTCTTCGTCAGAGATTCTCATCTCTTTGGAATGGTTCTGATGCAGTTGGGATAATTGTTATCCAGTTGGAATGGTTCTGTAGAGTTACACCAAGATATCAGATAAAATGACTTGAAAAATTCCTTTCTAACTATTTTAAGGACCCATGATTCTTTAAACTGTGTTTGCTTTTTGTTATGGATGATCTTGACCAATTTCTGCTTTGTTTCTCCTTCTAACACTTACTTAGAACTAATTCCACCCAGGTTACATGGTAAGATTAAGGTTGGCTGATACTTAGAGAAACATAGATCTCTGATTAGAGCCATGCCTTTGTGTTATTAATAGTATGTTCACTGTTGTGCTGTCCGCTCACTCTGACTACCTCTCTGTGAAGTTACTCATACGTTGTGTGGTTCATTTCGAACAATCAAATGTTGCCTCCCTGAGCGACAACCGTCCAAGGCTTCCCAGGGCACTTGGAAGAAAATTCAAACTTCCTAACAGTGCCTCTGAGGTCGTGCTGGCTTTCTCTTACCTGCCTCTCCAACCTCATCTTGTCCCAGTCTCAGCTGTCTCTGGGCTACAGCCTCCAGAGTTTTCTTTCTGTTCCTGTAATGTATGCGGGTCTTTGCTGCCTCAGGACTTTGGTACACATTTTCCTTTTTCTTAGAATTCCCTTTGACCGCACTTTTCATGTGATGGACATACTTTTCCTTCTGGTGTCAGATTTAACATAACTTTCTCAGAGAATCCTTTTTAGATCATCCAGTCTAACGTAGGTCTCCCTTCTTATTTTCTCTCATAGCCTGTTGCCTTTTTCTTTCATAGCATTTTGCACATTTAAAAACGTTTTTACATATTTATTTCCTTTTAACTACATCTCTCCTACTAGATTGTAAGCTCTGTGAAGGCAAGGACTATCTCTACTTATATTTCCACGATTTACCTGCTGTCTAGCTCAATGCTGGCACTGAATAATTGTTTTTTAATGAATATTGAGACCTTAAAATTGCCAAGCGCTTTATAACCTACAAAGAATTTTCACACACATTCTTAATTGATTCTTATAATGACTTGCTGAGATGTTTCAGGCAGGGTAGATATCACTGTTTCTATTTTATAGAAGGTAAGACTTGAAAAGCTTCACTGACTTGGCCAAGTTCACACAGCTGGTGGGTCTTGCATGGAAGGTCAGGTCTTTTGATCATTTAGACCAGTGCTCTTTCTACCAATATGAGACAATAATGGGAAATAATGGGAAAATCTGTGTGGATACAGAGTACCCAAATGTGTGCCTGGGAAAGAATCTCACTGTCTTGATGCTTAGAACTACTTATCTTGCATTTTCATTTATACTACGCGTGATTATTGACCAAATTTCCCATAGTGTCATAGCAGAGAAATAGATCCTTGTTGATTTATAAAGACGAAAGGTAAGCTTAAGTCACTGATTGAACTGAATGGAGGCAGAATGTGTCTTAATTGAGAAACCTGGTCTTACCTCCATAGGGTAGGAATGAATACATTTCTCACCTCAAGGACCAGTTGCAAGAGATGAAGGCAAAAACCAACATGGAGAATCGCTATATGAAGAAAAACACTGAGCTGCAGATTTCCCAGACACAGAAAAAATGTAACAAAACAGAGGAGCTCCTGCTGGAAGAGATCGAGGTGAGCGCTGCTACCTTAGGAGCGACCCAGGTAGGTGGTAGGAGAGCCCTCGCTCCTGCTACTGCCTCAGCTGACAGAGGAGGAGCGAGACGGAGATCTTCCTCACCTCTTTCTCTCTCTCCAGCAACCCTAGCAGTTGAAGTTAAGAATGAAAATGGAATGAAGACTTGCGTCTTTGCAAGCAGAGATTCTGATGGGCTGTAGCCTGTTTTTTTGTAATGACTTTGAAAATTGGTTGTACTTTCTTCCCTTGGTCACTTTATCCTTATTTTATAAGCCACCACCCTTTCTCCTGGGGAGGGGGCAAAACGAGATGCTTAGGAAGTGCAGGTTTTTGCTTCTACTTTCCTCACCCGCTGGTACCTTTTATCCCTCCATTAAGAAATGCAAAACTTAGGGGCCAGCCCGGCGGCGCAGCGGTTAAGTTCGCATGTTCAGCTTGCCTGTGGCCCAGGGTTCGCCGGTTCGGATCCTGGGTGTGGACATGGCGCCCGTTGGCAAAAGCCATTCTGTGGTAGGCGTCCCACATATAAAGTAGAGGAAGATGGGCACGGATGTTAGCTCAGGGCCAGTCTTCCTCAGCGAAAAGAGGGAGATTGGCAGTAGTTAGCTTAGGGCTAATCTTCCTCAAAAGAAAAAAAAAGAAATGCAAAATCTAGACAGCTGACCTTCACTGAGACCCAAATTGATAGAGATGAGAAGTCCCAGTGAAAAATACCAGGAGAAAGAAAGAAGGGGTAGACCCTCCTTGGAGCAGGAGGCTAAATGGCTAACAGAACCGTAGGTAGGTGAGAAGCAGACATCAGTAGAGGGGGTCACAAACATCAGCAGAGGGGTCACGTGTGCCAGAGGACTCCTGTCTCTGAGCCGCTGCTTGTCTGAGCGCTGGCTCCCCAGGTATAGCTGAAGACTGTGACAGCAGCCGTTTTTCTTGTGCTTTGGAATTTCCTTTTCTGGGCCTAAGAACCTTGTGCCCTTAAAGCATTGTTTCTCTCCTCAAATTGACATCACATTCCAGGCAACAGGATTATGGTCTTTTTGTTCTGGGTACTTGGGTGTATCCAGCACGGTGCCAGACACACGACTCAGTGATGTTTGTGAACACGAATTGAGTTGAAGGTAACCCAGTTGCTGCTCTGCAGCAATACTGCGAATTCTTGGGGTCCCAGCCGGTAAGGAAAACCTGCGCTGCTGTCACTGCTACACTTCTCACCTTGAGAACTCTCCTTTCCAGCCCTGCTGGGAAGAATGCCTGATAGTGGTTTATTGTTCTCACAGAAACTAAGGTCGAAAACCGAAGAAGAGAACCGGATTCATATGGAGATTGAAGTGTTCCTTAGAAAGGAGCAGCAGGTGGGCCCCCAGCACTTCTCTATCCTCTGCCGCATTTGTGTTCCACTTATCAAATACTAAGGACAGCAAAGTAATTGTTTAAGGAAGGAAAAATGAACCATAATTCTACCAGCCTAATGAACGAGCTATAGCCCATGTTTTCTTTCAAAGTTATCCACCTGAATAAATATTTTATAAAGCTGTAGTTTGAGTACGGGTCAAATTTTGTCTTATGCCCGTATCATTTAGCATTATATAAAAAAGCTTTTCTTATTCCTATATTGCTTTATAGTCATAATTTTAAATTAAAATTTACTGATTCTTTAATTATAAAAAGAACATATTCTTAGTTGAGGGAAGATTTTCAAAAAATCGCCAGTTGCTTTTTCTCTCATTTTTTAATGTTATTATAGTCTCTTCATAAAATAATTTAAATAGTTTTTTAATGTTACATTGAATGGTTATACCATAGTTTACTTGTTACCCTTCATTTTGGATTTTAGGTTATTTCCAAAGTTTCATTGTTATAAATAATGCAGTAATGAAAGCTTTGCCCAAATAACTTTTTCTTCTTTGCAATTATTTACCAAAAGTAAATCTCCAGCATGAGATGATTAAGTCAGAGAGACTGGTATTTTGACTCTTGATGAATATTGCTAACACTTTCTAAGTTATGGTCATCAGCAGTGTGTGCAGACACTAATTCCAAGGCATCCTCAACAGCACTAGCCATTTTAGATGTTTTTTAAAGTCTGCCAATTCAATGAATTGTTTTATTTTGGTTTTTTTGCTTACTAATAAAAACTGGCCATTTTTCCATATATTTATTTACTCATTTTATTTCTTCTCCCGTGAATTATATGTGACTGAATGGTTCTAATTAGTATTTCCAATGCTGAGAACAAACCAAGCCAAGTGGAGCCTTTTAAAATATCCCTGTTGGATGAATAGGGAAAAAAATTTCCAGTTTACTCATGATACAGTCTACCTTTGAGAAAGCTAATGAATTTTCAGTACAAAGTTCCAAATTTGTGGTTAAAGAAAAGGATTTCCAGATGCTGTCTCACAGGCTTTACTGAAAAAGGTGTCGAGTCGGTTATTAGAATCAGGGTCCTGTAGTCCTGCAATTTACGGGGCTGTGAGCCGTGGTACCTGTTTCAGGTATTAGACATCTAGCAGGTATTTGATGACAATCAGATCAGCAGGTGGATAAATAGATGATGGATGGATGAAGTCAGGGTTTCCCAGATCTTCAGCCCAATAAAACAAGCAATACCTAAATACTTTTTAATGCAGATTTGAAAAAGTATGGAAATATAATAAGGATTTTTAAAAGTGAAAGCTCTCTTAATCACTCCCCTTTCTGAAGATTTCTTCCACCTTTTTCTTTTCATATATATACTTGTATATGTACCTCTATACTTACATGTTTTTAGCATTTATTTATATTTGTTTTTGACATAAATGGGATCATACTATAAATATTGCTGCAGACCCTGTTTTTCTTTTTTAAATTTACTTTGTCTTTAATGTTTTCTATAGCAGTACAACTGTTAGATAATATCCCATAGAGAGGAGATACCAAAATTTAGTTAAGCATTCTTCTGTCAGTGAACATTTAAGTTGTTTCCAAGTTTTGCTGTTATAACAATGCTAAACATTCCTGGACGTGTCTCTAAGTGCATGGTATACAGAAAGGCTATTCTCTTTTGTATATTGTTCTAGATTCCTTGTGTCCTCTCATATTCATTTTAATGGTTTTTCAGTTGATCTGTTTGGACTTTCTAGGTAGAAAATCTTATTGACTGCAAATAACAATTTTATATTTTCTTTTTTGCTATTTATATGTCTGTTTCCATTTTGTGGCTTATTGTATAGATAGAATGGCAAGTGTGATGTTGATTAGTTGTAGTGATAATAAGGCACTATTTTTCTATTCTTAGTTTTAATGGTATTTCAGTCAGTGTTACACATGAATTCATAGTCATGCCAAGTTCCTTATGTGCAAGTTAGGGCATTCATTGGGAAAGAATGGGACCCTGAAACTTGAAATGGGAACATCTGCTTGAACTTAGATGTAACTGACAATCTTGAACCCCCAAGTCACGCTGAGCCTCCCTTGCCCGTGGAAGCTCCTGCCCTCCCGTGTCTGAGGTTAGTCTTCCTTCCCCTGAAAATCCTGTGAGAATAACTTCATCTGAGGCAGATGCCTTGAAAAGGGATGCTTATTCTCAAGACCTAGCACAATCAGCCCTGTTGCCTCTGGATCCATAACCAGGGTCAAATCTCAGCAAGTTCCAGGGGAACAGATAACTCAGATAACTATAGCTCAGAAGGAAATAGCTTATACACCAAAAGAATCACAAGACTTTGCTAATATATATTGGCAGAAACCTAGGAGACATTTCTGGGCATGGATTCTAAGGGTGTTGGTCCAAGGAGGATGGAATATAACACCAGGTTGGGTCAAGTTCATTGATATGGATATACTTACTACAGATTCTGGATTTAATGTGTTAGCTTGTGCAGCTGGAGGTGACTCTACCAGTTTGCTTGGTTGGTTACCTGAAACTTAGACTCATCAATGGCCCACATTTAATGAGGTGGAGATGCCGGAGCTTCCCTGCTATGATGGAGAGGACAGCTTCTAAAGACTTAGGGAGATAGGAATATCGGAGTGAATTTATCATGTGTGACCTACAAATCTGCCTCCAAACACCCGCCTCTAAATAGTTTCCATGAGACACTCCTTCCCAGAATACACTCCTTTCCTAAGACATTGAGAAATGCATTAGTGAAGGGAACACCTGCATCCTTGAAATGCTCTGTGGCTGCTTTCCTATGTAGGACAGGTAAGACCATGGATGATATCATTGTAGCTATGGGCTGCCTAGTTTCAGTGGGGATGATGGGATTCTGGAGTGCCAGAGGACAAGTGGCAGCACTTAACTGCCAAAGACAAGGTGGACACGTTTACCATGAAGGGCAGCAGGGATTTGCTGGAATCAGAATGCCTTTGCCCACAGGAACATTTGGCAGTAGCTAATTAATCATGGTATTCCTAGGAACAAAATTGATGGGTAGGGCCAGCCCTGGTAGCCTAGTGGTTAAGTTTGGTGTGCTCTGCTTTGGTGGCCCAGGTTCCGTTCCCAGGCGCGGACCTATACCACTCATCTGGCCGTGCTATGGTGGCAGCTCACATACGAAAAATAGAGGAAGATTGGCAACAGATGTTAGCTCAGGGTGAATCTTCCTCAGCAAAAAAAAAAAAAAAAAAAAAAAATTCATGGGCAGCCTGATAAAGCATTACTTGGTCTATATAAGAGAAAAAAAGTCTGAGTCCAGTAGGCAGAAACCTGAGTTGAGTTACCACAATGAAGAGTCATGGCCTCTCATTGAGTTTTCAGAACTAAGTCAATTCCCCAACCCAGAGCCCCTTGATTGAAAGGGGCAGGTCCTTCTGAGCGTGAACTCTGCAGCATTGCTGCAGGTATATACTGTGACTCTTCCTCTAAGCCTTACCCAGAGGGACCTGTGGCTCTATCAGAGTGACTGTGCACTGGAAAAAAGAAAATATCCAGATCTTCTGAGATTACTAAACATTGGCTCTGCATCGATGTTAATTCCTGCGGACCCAAAACAACACTGTGGCCCCCACTCAAACTGGAAGATTATGGTGGGCAGCTGATCGATTGAGTCTTAACTCAAGTCTGATTTACTCTGAGCCCACTTGTTCCGTGGACCCACCCCATGGTTATTTCCCCAGTTACTGAACAAATAATTGGAATAGACATACTTGGCAACAGACAGAATTTCCACATTGGCTCTCTGACTCATGGGGTGAGGGCTATTATGGTAGTAAGGGCCAAGTAGAAGTCTCTGGAACTTCCCCTCCCTAACAAGACAGTAAATCATAAGTAATGCTGCACCTCTGGTGTAACTGCAGAAATTAGTGCCAACATCAAAGACTTGAAAGAAGTCGAGGTGGTGATCCTTATCACATCCCCATTTGACTCAGCCGTTTGGCCTGTGCAGTTGGATGATCTTGGAGAATGACTGTGGACTATTGGAAATGGAATCAGGTGGGGACTCCAGTTGCAGCTACAGTTCTGGATCTTTACTGGAGAAAATCTTCAACAGCCACTGGCACTTGGTAGGCAGCTATTAACCTGACCAAAGCGTCTGTCTCCAAATCAGTTTGAAAAAAGCTCCAGAAGCAGTTTGCTTTTGCCTGGCAGGGCCAATAGTCCACCCTCGCAGCCGCACGTCCGGGCTGCGTCCCTTCAGTTCTCTGCCGTCATGTGGTCCGCTGAGATAGTGCTGGCTTTGACTTTCCCCGAAACATCGTAGTAGTTCACTGCATTAGGTTGATTGTATCTGGTGAACAGGAAATAGCAAGGAATTTAGATGCCTTAGTAAGAAATATGTGAATTAGAAAGCGGGAGATAAACTCTATTTTGGGTACCAATTCTGTATCTTTATGGTCCAAGTAGGTGACAGAAACCACAGTAATTTGAGCAGGGAACATTAACAAAAGAATGATTGCTAATAAGGGACTGGCTACAAAGAAGGGATGAAAGAGCACCCTGAAGAGCATGCTAGGGCTGAAGGACAGGGTTCAAGGAAGGAAGGAGCAGACGTTTGCGTTGCTGCCCTCAGGCAGAGCTGCTTCACAGCCTGTGGGATAAAGCTGGCAAGCTGGGAACTGTGGACGGACTGTGTCTGGCGAGAACCCTCCTGTTGTGTCAGCAAAACTTGTTGGTGAATCACTGCCCCTGAGTGACCCCCACACATGCCACTGTCAGCTGTGCCCAGGAACACAAGAGGAAGCACGCTGGAACCAAGGAGAGCAGCTCTCCTGTCACGCCCCTCCAGTGCCCTCTACTGACAACGCTAGACATCGCGCCAGCTGGCGAAAGAGAAACGTTCACAGCCAGCCTCCATTTTCACACAGCCAGCCAGCGAAGGATGAATTTGGAGTTGAGAGGCAATAAATTGATAACGGGCACAAATGGAGATTGTATGAGGTTTACGTTGTAGTTTTATGGTAGATAAACTTCATCAAGTTAAGTTTCCTTTTGGTCTTACCTTGCTAAGTTTTTTTCCTTTTTAATCAGAAATGAGTATTCAGTTTTATGAGATGGATTTTTTTCATCTATTGAGATAATATATTTTTTCTCTTTCAATATATTAATAAAGTAAAATATAATAGATTTGTTGACGGTGAATCATCTTTAAATTCTTGGCATAAAACCTACTTGGTCATAATATATTATTCTTTTACTAGACTGATAGAATTGATCTGTAGATTTTTATTTTGTGTTTATATCTTTCATAAATGATATCAACCTATAGATTTATTTTTTGGTGCTTCTTTGTTCTATTACCATCAATTATGCTAGCTTGGCAGCTTGAGTTGGGGAGCTTTCCATCTTTTTATGTTCTGAAACCTAAAATTATAAATAGAACAAAATAGATTATTATCTGTGCCATGAAACTTTGGTGCAATTCAGTCATAAACAGTCTTGTCTGGGTGTTATTTTAAAGGGGAGATATTTGGCTACCTTTTCAATGATTATTGATGTTTTCACTTAAAAATCTTTTTGAGTCACTTTTGGTAACTTATGTCTTCCTAGAAAATAACGCATTTCATCTAAATATTCCTTCCAAATTTATCAGTACAAAGCTGTGCCCTGTAGTCTCTTACAATTTAAATTTTTCCTTTATTTCTGTAGTTACCATCTTTTTCATCCTGTATTTTTAAAATTGTATGTCTTCTCTCCCTTTTTCTTGCTGAGACTTGTCAAAAGTTTGACCATTTTGGGGGCCAGCCCGGTGGCACAGGATTAAGTTCACACGCCCTGCTTCAGCAGCCCAGGGTTCGCCGGTTTGGATCCTGGGCACGGACCTACGTACTACTTTATCAAGCCATGCTGTGGCAGGTGTCCCACATATAAAATAGAGGAAGGTGGGCATGGATGTTAGCTCAGGACCAGTCTTCCTCAGCAAAAAGAGGAGGACTGGCAGCGGATGTTCGCTCAGGGCTAATCTTCCTCAAAAAAAGAAAAAAGTTGACCATTTTATTGGTCTGACAGAAAATCTCTTTTTGGTTTTATTGAGCAAATGTTTTTTTCCCTGTCACATGGGTTTTTGCTTTAATTTTGAGTAATTATCATCTTGTACTTTCTTTGGGCTTATGTTGCTAATCTTTGTCTAGTTTCTAAAATGCTCAATTCATTTATTTTCAAATTTTATTATTTTCTAGTAAATGCATATAAACCAACTTATTTTCTGAGTACTCTTTGTCTATAATCTAGAGGTTTTTATTCATGATACTTACATTGTCATTCCTTTCCAAATAATTTCGTTAATTTTTCCCCAGCATTTTACTATGAGTGTTTCCAAATATACAGAAAGTTGAAAGAATTTTACAGTGAATACCCATATGCCACCATCTAGTTGTAGATTATACCATTAATATTATTATTCTTGCTTTATCGTGTATCTATGCACCCTTCCTCTATTGACCCATCTTATCATCTTCATGCCTTTAAAAGTAAACCATATGCATCATAATTTGTAGTTTATGTTATTTCCTTTTCTAACCCAAACATTATTTTTATTTATTTTTATTTTTTGCAGGGGAAAATTCACTGTAAGCTAACATCTGTTTCCAATTTTCCTCCTTTTTTTCTTCTTTTCCCCCCTAAAGCCCCAGTACATAGTTGTGTGTAGTTGTACGTTCTGGTTCTTCTCTGTGAGCCGCCACCACAGCATGGCGACTGACAGGCAAGTGGTGTGGTCCCACGCCCAGGAACCAAACCTGCACTGCCAAAGTGGAGCGCGCCAAACATTAACTGCTAGGCCATCAGGGCTGGCTCAAGCCAAGAGTTACTTTAAAGGATGTTTCTTAAAGGTCCAATTTGTTGGCGTTGGAGAGGGGAGAGTGTAGGCTTTCTACTGCTCACAACAACCCTTTGAGGTCTGTACTCTGTCTTGCACTGTGGTCTCAGAATGTGAGATGTAAGGTTTACGCTTGTTGGAATTTGTTGAGTGCTTACTGGGCTTCATGTGTGCTCAGGCTATGGGACTATTCCTTGGGCATTTGAAAAGGATGTGTGTTCTCTGGTAGGTACAGAGTTGTACGAATGTCTGTCAGTCTAGCTGTCAGACTCTTCATACTGTTGTTTATTTTGGTCTACCTGAGTTACTAATTTTAGAGAAGTGTGATAGTCTCTTAAGATGATTGTGGATCTGTCAAATTCTTATATGACTAATAATTGTTGCTTTATATGTTCCAAAATATGGTATTAGAATATAAATGTTTAGGGGCCGGCCTGATGGCACAGCAGTTAAGTTCACACTTTCCACTTCGGCGTCCCTGGGTTTGCTGGTTCGGATCCCGGGTGTGGACATGGCACCGCGTGGCAAGCCATGCTGTGTTAGGCGTCCCACGTATAAAGTAGAGGAAGATGGGCTCAGGGCCAGCCTTTCTCAGCAAAAAGAGGAGGATTGGCAGCAGTTAGCTCAGGGCTAATCTTCCTAAAAAAAAAAAGAATATAAAAGTTTATAACTGTAATATTTTCTTTATAGGGTGTATCAGCAGTGTAAAATATCCCTTTTGTCTCATTTATTTATTCTGGCTTGAACTCTATTTTGCCAGATTAATTGCTAAATCTGCTTTCTTTTTGCTTTTATGATATTGTTTTAGCTGTGATTTTTATAAATAGTTCATAGCTCGATTTAAAAAATCTGAGAGGCTCTTTCTTTTGATAGGGGAATTTACCCCAATTTATTTTTATTGTGATTTTTCATTTGTTTGTATTTAATTTTTCCATCTTATTTTATATTTGCTACTTTTCGAGCTTTCTAGTTGTTTCTTTCCTTCTTAACTTCTGTTGGATTGATGGAATTTTTATTGCTCAATTTCTTGCTTGCTAGTGCAAACTCCAGTTATTTGCATACCACTTTCATAGTTTTTTAATATCTATATACCTCCTGTGTTATTACTATTTTCTACCTATTTTCTCACCTAAACAACTATGTCAATTTATTTTCAATTAAGATTTTTATATCATTACTATAAAAGGAAAACCTGTATCATTTTCCATAAATAGAAATTAATGTAAATAGAAGTACAATAAATACCAAACGATGTTATTACAGTTTAGCCAGCTCCTTTTGCCTGCCTGGAGCCCGTTCTCTTTTTGTTAAAGAGTGCTAACAAGAGTTAGAAAGATATTAAGGACGTGATTGCACCAAACTGACATGTTCTGTAATCAGAATGACTTATTGTGAATCATGTTTTTAAAAATTTCATGTCCATATGCCACGCGAAGGCTCCTTGTGATGTCTTATCCTTGAGCTACGCGCTCTAGGAATTTGGAAGTTATCCATTCTGTTCTTGCAGTGGTAACCCTTAAAATTTGCACAGATATGTCTACACTTTGTTCTTTCTCTTAAGTCTAAAGTTAATATCTATATTTTCTTGCTTTATTAAGGCAAAGCTTTAACCTACCTCTTCTCCTTCTCCGCTACATGCCATCTTGAAATCACTATATATTTCCATTCTATAGACGAGGGAACCAAATTTAAGTAAACTTATTGGAGTGCCAGACTTGGGAGTTGAACTTAGGCAGTCTGCCTTCAGAGCCCGTCTGTGCTCTTTCCACTAGACTGTACCGCCTAATTTGGGATTTTAGTCCCAGATTATGATTATTAAAAAGTAGGATATATTGTATAGCTTAAATGTACATTTTACTGGTTTCCCTCCTGTTTCTAATACTTATCTCTTTCATTTTATTTTGCTAAAGTACATTTTTGAGAAATTCTTTCAGAAAGACTAGGTATATTCTTTCCCTCACATTTGAATACTAGGTTAGCTAGGGATAGAATCTTCGACTCACGTTTCTCATCTTGTAGAATTTTGAAGACATTGCACCCTTCTTGACTAGCATTTAGTGTTTGTTATCAATCAGAGGTGTCTGATGTCATTTCCTGTCCTTCAGAATTTTCTACCCACCCTTTATTCCTTTCCTCCTCACTCCAATTTCTCTTATCCAGACATCTGGAAGGCCCTCTTCCTCCTGTTTTTAAATTGAGTAATAACATACAGTAAAGGGCACAAATATTAAGTATATAGTTTGATGATTATTTATGTGTATACATTCCTGTAACCACCACTCAGATAGAAATCTAGAGCACATGTACAGCATCCCCGAAATCTCCTTCATGCCCCACTCCCAATCAGTAAACCTGCCCTCCCCCCAGAAGTAGCCATTATTCTGACTTTTATCACTGTGGAAAAGTTTTGCTTGTTCTTGAACCTTATATAAATAATTTCATACAGCGTATACTGTTTTGTGTCTGGTGGAAGCTGTGTTTTAATGTTCTTTCCAAATAGAAACTTGAGGAAAAGCTAGAGTTCTGGATGGAGAAATTTGATAAGGACACAGAAATGAAACAGAATGAATTAAATGCTCTCAAGTCTGCAAAGGCCGCTGACTTAGCACACCTTCAAGACCTTGCCAAGACGGTAAGGAAGCAGCGTCTCATCAGTGTAAGGCTGAGCGGGAGGAGCGGGTGGTCGCTGAGCTACAGTAGCTGGGCAGTGCTGTTTCGGGTTACAAAGTGGAGGTATGCCTATAAACCAATGGGATTCTTTTCCAATGGTGATGACATCGGTGATGGGGACAATGAGAGCAGCAGCTAACACCTGCATAGTGCTGACTCTGTCCCGGGCACTTCACTAGTATTTCACATTTACCTAACGCTCACAACCACCTCTTGAGATAGATATTATTATTATTACTACTTTATGGTCTCTGAAGACAATTTTTAAATTATGATATCTAGAAAGCTGCTGATTATGGTTTCATCATTGAATAAATGTAAAACTTTCCAAATTTCTCTTTTAAAAGATGGCTGCTATTTGTATGTGTACATTCTATCACAGTTTTTTTTTAATTATGTTATTTTGAGGTCATTAATCACATTTAGTATTTCATTTTTATTAAATTTTAAAGCAAATTTGAATTATTCAAACTGAAAAGATTTTGGGAACAATTATAAAGTTAATCTGTGAATATTTACAGTATAAGAATCCAGTAAGTTTTTTCTTTTCTTTGGTTTATCTTTAGATTTGGCATGCTTTATTTTAAATTTTTATATTAAAAGTGCAGGGCTGGCTGGGCCCCAGCTTAGCCAACAGAGTCCTATAACATATGATTAATGTCTCCTTCTGCAGCTAAGGGAGTATGAACAGGTCATCATTGAAGATCGTCTGGAGAAGGAGAAGACCAGGAAGAAGATGGAGCAGGACGAGCTGGAGTTAAAAAGCATCCTAAAGGTAGAAAGCCGTACTCGGCATCCGGGGCCCTTTCAGCTCCACAGGGGGCCTGACCCTGAGGAACGCAAGTAGTTCTCATTTATCATCAGACACGGAACCCATCTGTGAGGAAGCAGGGCTGGTTTGTTAGTTTAGGAATTTGCCAACACCGTTAACACAGAAAAGGGCATGCTCCCCACTCTTAATCTGGGGAAAAGAGGCGATCAGCAGTGGAAGCCAAACCTAGAACCTGTGTCCAGAGGTCAAATTTCAGAATACGATTCTCTAACCCAAACAGCTCTTGAAGGAATTCTTTTTAATATCCTACTGCTTCTCAAAATCCTATTTATGTAAGCCAGCCCAGGCTATCTGTTAGGTTCTGATAAGAGCTGTTTTTTAAAAAGGTAGAGGGGCTAAGTAGCAGTTTAGAAAAAAACAGATACTTTAGTTTCATATGAACTTGTGTAAATTAGTGATGATAAACTGGCAGGTCAGATTCTGGGAAATATTTTCAAGCAAAAATAACGTGAGCTGGGGGCTGGCCCCATGTCCGAGTGGTTAAATTCGCGTGCTCCGCTGCAGGCGGCCCAGTGTTTTGTTGGTTCAAATCCTGGGCGCGGACATGGCGCTGCTCCTTGGGCCACGCTGAGGCAGCATCCCACATGCCACAACTAGAAGGACCCACAACGAAGAATATACAACTATGTACTGGGGGGCTTTAGGGAGAAAAATAAAATCTTTAAAAAAAAAAAAATGTCAGCCAGACTGAAACTGCTGTTGTGAGGACTGCCCTTCTCTCTGAAAGGAGTATCTGCTGAGCCCCGTGGCGTGCAGACTGGTTTGGGAGGTATGTTCAGAGGTGGATTAGGAAGGTAAGCTTTAAAGCACATTCAGGATGGGGTATCCAACCCACACCTGAGCTCGCCGTTAGGACAGAGTCGGATGTACAGATAGCAAGTATTTACTGAGCTTCTGTGGTGTTTTCTATTTGTCAGGATTCCTCGATTTAGAGCGCAAATCTAAGAACCAGCTGATTGTTTTCTTTTCACTAGACGATGTGCTCCCAGTGTTTAGCGCGTAGTCTGATTTTAAAGTAGCCCAGACTGTATTCAGAACAGTTGTGTCTAATGACTAAAATATTCAAGGGAGCCACCTGAATCCTTTTTGAAAGAGTAGTGTTTGTTGATCCTTTAATTAATCATTAAAGATATGAAATGCACCACAAAGCCTACCGCTCATCGAGATTATGTGCACGTTTTTGACTGAGGGCTTGCCTTTTGCCCTTGGCCTGGGAAACCAACATTCCTTTTGGATCAAATGGTTGCTAGATATGGGGAACTTGGATGTTCATAGAGAGTAGCAGCAGTACAAGAGAGCCAGGTTCTAAGTGTAAGGAAAAGATTGGACTCATCAGATTCCTTTTCTTTACTTTTACTCCTTGAGAAGTTTGGAGTCCATGGCTGTCACTCTGGGTCCTACATGACAGGGAGCATTGCTGCAGGGAGAGCACACTTGGCCACTGCCGTGTCTCCGAGACCATTCTTCAGACAGAAGTGACTTCATCAAAAACAATAATTCCTTATGTAGAAAGAACACAGCTTGTCAGGCCTACTATACATTGTCCTCACTTCCCCTTTCTCTTCCAGCTCCAGGCCTGGTGGCGAGGCACGGTGGTACGGAATGAAATTGGTGGTTTCAGATTGCCTAAGAAGGACAAAGATGATAGCAAGGATTCCAAAGGTAAAGGCAAGGACAAGGACAAGCGCAGAGGCAAGAAGTGACTGAGTCACCTTCTATCTTTTCCTCTGGTGTTCTGGAGACAGAAGGAGGACTTGAAAGGAGTAAGACTCCTCTTTCACCAGCACAGACAACTCATCTACAGGTTGTTTCTTTGGACATTCTCAGGTGTGCCCTGGTTATTTCACTTTAGTTTTTCAACCCCTGAATTAGGATTATACCATTGATTTAGGGCTTCTTGATATTTTGAAAAAATTTTGCTGGGAAGAAGTATTTCTAGGAGCCTTGTGAAGATTCCTCTCACTTTCTTACCAGAAAAAAAGTTCATGGGCTTAGTTACAGCGATGCATTAAACTTCAGTAATTCCTGTAATGTCTCTGATTTTGTCTATAGTGAAAAAACTCTTATGAGCAAAAGTGAGGTGTTCAGTAGGAATTACAAGATGTTTATAAAGTGTCTAGCATAATATATACACAGTGAAGTTTTAATAAAGGTTGGTTTCTTCCTGCCTCTTAGATTTATTATCACTTTAGTGTTTTTATTGGGGGAGGATGGTGGCATGCGAGACATATCTTATTATAAGCTGCTTCAGCTCCTTTCCTGGGAAATAGGAGATATAAATTATGAATACAAGACAGAAGTGAGATGTTAGGACACACAACCTACACATAGTAAAGATGAGGGACACAGGTCCTCTGGAAGACTAGTTTGGAGATTTTTTTTTTTTTTTGGTGAGGAAGATTGTTGCTGAGCTAACATCTGTGCCAATCTTCCTCTATTTTGTATGTGGGATGCCACCACAGCATGGCTTTGATGAGCGTTGTGTAGGTTTGTGCCCGGGATCCGAATCTACAAACCCTGGGCTGCCAAAGCGGAACATGCAAACTTAACCGCTACGCCACCCCACCGGGCCAGCCCCTGGAGATATTTTTGATAAGACACTGCTTTGCTTACTCAAGAATTCTCACCTTCTTGGGTGTTAAGACCAAAAGAGACAAGGCATGTGAAAATACCTAACCTGTGTTTGGCAGATAGAGCTGATTGATTGTCATTCTTCCTCTCCCCATTAAGAAAAGAATGAGCCCCCTGGGTCATTCTTGCCTTGATTAATCAGAACAGAATGTCTTAGGATGCTAAAGCTTTCCCTACAGCACAGGTGGGAATTTCTGAGAGAAAAGCTGTCCAAACAGGTCACGTGGGTTTCAGGAATTGAGCCTTCTATCTGACTCCAAAATCAGGGCAATACTGATATCTGTACTTCCTTAAAAAAGTACACTTTGACCTCAAGGGCCTCTTATGATGACCCAGTTTCCACTGATGGTCCTTCAGGGAATTAGATACCCTTTCATTTTCGCCGAGGAAACCATGCTTTAGGTATGTACATTTTCCAGTCAGCCTTTATTTCATGCTTTTGAAGTGTTGGCTTTTATTTTAATGTCAATGTGTAAGGTGGGATACAGGCGATTTAAAATAACATACATGGTATTGACATATTTATACTTAGAACTTAGGCATTATATTTACAGACATACAAATATAGGACAATGTTTTACAAAATCTTTTACTAATTACATGTTTACAACATTTTCAGTAATAAAATGAAATCTGCTGTAAACCATCTCACTTCAATATGTATATAAAAAGGTTTCTAAATATCCATGTTTTCCTTCATTTCTATAACCATTTAAGCGCTTTGTTTTTAAAAATTCATCACACTCATCAGCGTAGTCACACAGCATTAGTCACTGCTACCTGCAGCAAGGAAGAGAACTCACCGACTCCCTGACTAGCTGTCAGGCGGGCTTTTAAAAAGCTGTTAAAGGAAGTGACCCTACTACAACACAAGCCTCCTCCTCTGTTCTAGCCAAAGCCACAGGCCCCTCCTCCCACGGGCCGTCTCCAGAGTGCTGAGTGTGTCTGAGTGGGAAGGCCCGGGACCTGCGGACTTTATTAAGATCTCTGCGGGCTGGAGGGGTCCCGGATGGGTGGGCACATAGCCTTTTCTTCGTTCACACTCCAGTACTGGGAAGGTCGGGGCTTCAGCAGGAAGCTCATAACCGGTCAGGTGGAACTGTTACACAGTCTGCTTCATCTTACACTGGAGTCCAGCAAGGCTACATGTTAAACTTTCTTTCCAGTTAAAAAAAAAACAGATACATACAAAACACTGAATACAAAAATTTTCCAATAAAACCATCATGATTTGTTTTCGCATCTTAACAGCAAAAAGAAATTCAATATATTTGATAATTTTCTTTACCAACCAAAACTGTACACAAATTTTTTGTAACAATTCAAATATAAATTTGAATTAGTTTGATAAAAATACATTAATAAGGTTTCTTGCTATGTGTAAAATCTGACGGAAGTTGAAATTTCCATTTATTTCTATGAGAAAATTAGTTGCAAATGTTCCACATGTTGTATTAAGTGTCTTCTGGGATTGCTCCTTGCATAATATGTGACAAACAGTCCTGTCCTTTGCTGAGTTTCACTTCAAATGGCTCTCTAGAATTTGGAGATTGTACTGAGGTTTAATGTTGACTAGAAGGAAAAACACCTATAGTTTAAAAACACACACAGCTACATTCTAAACATGATGGGTCTGTTTGGAACTGAAGTATAACGGGTTCTGGATCTAAGTACTTAAAAGACATTTTCCTGTTGTTCTGTGAGGACCCTGAAGGATTAGGCTTTGAGCTCAATGTATTAAAATTTTAAACTTGGACAAGTGGTAGTGTTCTGATGAACTTGCTACCCTGTGAGAAAAGGAGACAACAATATTTTGACCAGATACTCAACATGATTTTATCCAAAGTTACTATTAGATGCATTTACATGATAAAAAGAGAGAGAACATGTTCAAATGAATGCATTGCTAAAGAAAATCCAGAACAGTTAACAACAGAAAAAACCTAGATAACTAGTATCTTCACTTACTCTAATTTACTTGGTTTACAAAGGCAGTGAGTATCAGCAGATTCACTGACAACTCAAAGGGGTTCAAAAGACAGGGGAAGAAAGACCCAGGAGGCTCAAACTTGAATAAAGGCCCCAGGCTGTGTGCTGAGCGCCCTCAGGCCCTTTTACTGCACGCATGACTGAGTCAAGAAGGCACTAGTGGTGGAGCCGCTGGGCTGTGTCAAGACAGAGCTGTTTCTAAGATGCCACAAGGACTTTAATTCAGTCACAGAAATCGGCAGGTACCTGATAGAAATAGAAGAAACTTGGCTTTTCCCGTATTCCTTTTGCTTTGTGTTCATAATCTTCCAGCAGTTGGGGCTGGAAGTATATCTGCTGTAACTGGCAGGCATCCACAGGTCCAGGCATCCTGGGAGCAGCGTGGGGCAGGGGGTGCTCAGTGAAGTCACTGTAAACGACACTGAGGAGTGCCTGCTACCAGCCGAAGGATCTGGAACCTGTGTGTAGAGTGCCTGCTTGTAACACTGAGATAACAGCAGGATGACGGAAGCATCCTCTAAGTGGAGGCGGGCTGGAGCTGGGGGAAAGCCTAGGACACTGGCCTTAAATACAAATCTATGTGTTTCATTGTTTTACTATGCAAAATGTGGGCCTTCTACATTATTTTTGTTTTGCCTTAAACAAAAGTTTTTTTGTCCAAAAAATCCAGTTCTATGTTATTTTTGTTTTGTCTTGGCCAGAACAGTCCAAGTTGTATTACTATAGCTTTTGATTATAAAGGTGGCTGAAAAACACAGTGGAGTCATTACTCCCCCAAATCATACAAATATCCAGCTGGGATCAGTGGTCTCCACGACATGAAACACCTGCAGTGTCTGTTGAAAATGCAGATACCCGGGCCTCACTCTAGACCTAATGAACGAGACTCTGTATTTTAACAAACGCTCCAGGAGATTCCAATGAATAACCAAGTTGAGAAACCAGTGGACTCTAGAGGTCTTGGAAACAGGTAAAGGTAATAGCATGTCCGTGCCTTCACGAGAGCTAAACATCCTTCTGAGAAGACATTCTTTCTGATATGTGAAACAAGCCTGCTCTCGCGGAAAGCACAGCCAGTTTAGGCTTCAGTGCTGAGTTCTTAGTAATGACAGAATTAAGTTTCATTTGTGAAAACCAACCATGTCTTCATAAACAATTCAATGAAAACGGATATAACCTCCCCTAAAATGGAGAAATGAAGCAAAATATTCCTGTTAGGAATCATGGAAACAGTCCCTTTTAAGAACACTTAAGAGCTTTGTTTAAGCAGACGGCTGGCAGCAGCAATCACGGTGTCCTGTTCCGTTCTGGCCAGGCCAGCACCCAAGGTGCTGGAGTCCTTACACAGCAGATAACTGGTGCTGCTGCTGCTTGGGTGGGGCCAGTTCCAGGAGAGCCTGGACCGTCACTGCAACCTGGCTCAAACCTTTCTCTTCTAAAATGTGGAGAGGCAAACATAATTGCTCCTGAAATGGGACAACGTAACATAGAAACAAACAAAAAAAAAAAACAGGATGAACATCACAGAACTGAAAAGGAAAAACAAGCATCTCTTCTCTCCCTCATAATGACAAACTGAGATGTGCAAAGTCAGTACCTGGGAAACTGGCCTTTGTTAATAGGAGTTACACAGAGATGGTCTCTGACACTCACTGTCACTTTATTAATATAACTAAAATACATACAGATAATTTTGTAAATTGAAAAATGGACACATTACATACACTTATACATACAACAGAGGATAAACAGAATACTATGGAGTGAAGGCAACATCCTTCATTCCTGGTAAATAAAAGAGCAATGCAGATCAGTAAATGAGGCAGGTGGAAACAGAAAAGCAGTTCCAAGTTGTCAGACGGCTCAAGCCTGAAAGATACAACATTGCAGGAGAAAAGTGCTTTGGAAATTTACATACCGTAGGAATGCAAGATGGCTTCCTGCCCTTCCTCCACTATCTGCATTATGATCCTGACTGAAAATCAGGGCTCTCATACCAGGCAGGGCTCACAGGAAGAAATGGAAGTGTACCCTTGAGATTTAGATATATTTGAGAAACTTTCCCCTACTTTGGGTAATTCATGGAAGGGCCAATCTGAATTAGTTAAAAATCTGAATTACAGAATTAAAAAAAAAAGAAATTGTATTTGAAAAAGTAAAGTAGTATTATCCTGGTATTTAATGGATTAAATTATGCCAGACAACTATGATATGAGTTTAGTCAGGAACATTTTTTTTTAAGTCATTTTATTGGCATTAGAATGGTTTATAACATTGTGTAATTTCAGGTGTACATTATTGTTTACCAATTAGGAACATCTTAATTACTATGTATTTGAAAAGTGTTTACTTGTTTGCTTAAGGGAATTAAATACTTCTATCTTGTTTGCCTCATTAATTTGTTTGGTTAGTCCTTTCTTGTAAGAGAAAAAGGCATCTTAAGAATAACACCTATCAATGATTTTTAAGACTAAATATTCAGAAAGAAAAGAGATTGCTCTCACAAAGGACAGAAAGTGGAATTCTGGTTCCACTAAAAAAAGAGACCATACACATTTACTAAAGAAGACAACTGGATTTTTCTTAGCTTTTCATTAGCACTTACTATCTCATTAGGAAGTTTTACAAAACCGGTTGCAGTAAAAAATATAACAAGTATTTATTTTGAGCAGTTATTAGTACTTGTGCTTCTTACTTACTTTTTAATACTTGATAAACAAGGTAACTGCAATCTTTTGATCTTATAAAACTAGCAACTTTGTAGAAATACTTTGAGTGGCCTGCAAGTACAGATGAACTATTTAAAATGAACCTGCAGGGCTTCCGCTCTTGGGAGGGAGCTGTTCCCCGGGGCCGATGCCCCGCGCCCTGTGCAGCCCGTGGTTGAGACATTCCCTCAGAGCCTCAGACATTCCTCAGACGCTAACGCTCTCCAGACGCACAGTTCCTTCCAGTTGGCCTAGAGGGAGCACTGTGTGTTCTGAGGAGAATCGCAATCACTCCCCACAAGCACGCACGACATCATGTGTTTTTTATCAGGTGTTTTTTTTTTTAAAGGGACAAAACTCCACAAAACGGAATGATCTCTGACTCAGAGACGTCTTAAAAACAAGACAAACCAAAAGGCCCCAAACTCTGGAAGGCACCACTACAGTAGAAAACGGAAGTGTTCAACACAGTGTTCAATGTTTCAGCATTAACAGTAAACAGTTTTTGTAATGTGTTAAATAAGTATCCCATTTAATATGGAAGAAAATCAACGCCATCAGACCCCCAGGCTGACTCTACCACAGGATGTTACGATGTTCCCTGCAATGTCCCTTTGTACTTGCATTCAGCTGTCCAATTTTGTTAACAGAGTTCAGGAGATTCCTGACTGTTCAGACACTGTTTATGAGATCTAGAATCTGAGTGCAACGATAAAGTAGTTTCAGGCATTTGGGCCAGAAGCTAATACACTAAGCATTCTGAAAGGGACAATATTGACTGCCTTGGGTACAGAGACAGCTGACTAATACTTTCCCTGCTACTGTTCAAGTATAATCTCCTGAACACCTATAAAATACAAGTTCACCTATTGAGATGGTTCAAATACACTGGAAATTATGTAAATTCCAATTTTAAATTCTGAAGAGGATCCTAGAAGGGAAGCTGAGTTAAAGATAACAGCCAGTAAGTCTGGCCAGGTGCCTCCTCCTGAAGGGCCAGCCCCAGACCACGTGCTTGCTGGGTTCTATTTCCTATGTACACACTGGGCTCAGAAGAGCACTCCAGTGAACCTACAAGATCTGCAGACCGAACGTTCTGATCAAACTGAAATTATCAAAATTCAATGGCCAGTGCCTTCCAGGTGTCCAGAGAACAAATGCTCAGATGCACCTGCGCCTCCATCTCAGGATCTCAGGGCACAGCTCAGTGCAGAGCTCTAAGTGACCAGGTGCCCTCAAAACAGAAAGGGCACAACTATTTTCCTTATGAGCAACTGTTGAAAAGGTTCCACAACTCCCAGTTTTAACACTTCTCACAATTTCAACACATGAGTTGTGTTGAGGCATGGAAAAATGGTCAGATGGGAATTTTATTATGTCACTTGGAAATAAAGTTCTACGTCATATTCTAAGAAGAGGCTCAGGATTGTATTAATAGAAATGCTTCAGTGTTTCTTACGATAAGAGAAACAAGGCCACAGGCCAGGAGAGTGGACGAGTGGCCAGGAGAAAAAATGCTGGTCTTTACTCTTTGTTTAGCAATCATAAATGCTTACTAATGTGACGGGCTCCTCATGTGGACATATGAGGAAAGGATTTATCTACTTTATCGGTTAGTTCTTTGATGGTCAGGAAAAAAAAGCACATATGTCAATACTTCTGAACGAGAAACAAACCTCCTTTACCAAGCACAGGGATGAGGTGGAAAATCACGGAATGCGATCTTTCAGCTAGAGGGGAAAGATCCAGTAATAAAGCATACAGAGAGTTAACATTAAAGTACAATAAAATGCCACAAAACCCAAAAGCTGGATAGACAGAGAGACAAAACTGGATTCTTCTGAGTGTGCCCCAAGAGAAAGTAGTGTTTCAACAGTTCTTTTAACGCTGAGGTTTAGCTGAAGGATGTCAGAAGGGGAACAAAGACTGTCCTGTCCAAAGTGTGAGCAGCAAAGGAAAACAGAAAAACAGAGTCAGTGGGTCAGAAACACAGATTTGAGTACAGAATTCAGTATGATCATCTCAGTCATATTCAAAGAAACACATCCTGTAACATTTTTCACTTTGCTGAATGAAAATAAAATGCTCAAAAACAAAAAACTACAAAGTCCTCTATGTGCTATGCTTGATTTTCCTACTAAATAGCAGAATGAAATTGGCTTGTTGGTGACTAGCACGAACATTTGGGACACAATGAACAGAACTGGGTGCCGGCCTAGGACTGTGTGAGGCCCGAGAATGGCGAGGTCTGTGGGAGGCAACCTCTCCCTTAACTCTCATTTCTTCCCTATTAGCAAAAGAAGACAGGTCAGAAGGCAGGGACAAAACCTGGGGCAGGTTGAGGAGACGGACATTTTCAGAGAAAGCCAGGTAAATCAAGAAGGGTCAAAGAATGAGGAAAGCCTAATAACCAGGGGCAATGTACCAGCTGGAAGTGGGGGCACAGAATGACTGGTTTGCCTCTAAAACTCTGGTCCAGCCTGTCTGAATCAAGTCCAGTTCACTAACATGCAGAGAATGAACCCACAGCTGTGAGGGGCCTTAGAGAACATCCAACACTCCAGTTCCAGAAATTAAAGAAACAAAACATTCTTGGACTTCAAAACAGGAAAATATTCTTTAGTACATAACATATAATGACTCTGGCACATAAGATATTGGACTCAAATAGAAATTTTTATCATTATAGTTTTTTTGAGTGTAACATTTAATAAAAGCATAATAATAAAGAGAATACCCATATGCCCAACCTTATCAGAGGTTTTTAACCTTATTCACCTTATTCTTTAGTGTCACCTTATTCTTTAGTGTTTCATTCATAATTTAACTTGTAAACACTTGAAAAAGTGAGAATACTGAGAAGGGACAGTGTTTGCCTTTATAGATAGTCTCTGGACATAAAACTTAATATTGAAAGATGTCAGATTCTATGTTATACATTTTCAAAAGTGATCATTATCACTCCTGCTTTCGTTTAAAGTCAAGCAGAGCCAGTGGGGTGTTTCGGGAAAGCAGGGAGGACAAGGGAGAAAAGGGGATCAGGCTGCTTCTTTCCTCCTCCGGCAGAGGGACCTGAAAATGTGCGTTTAAACCTATGAGTTCATATTTATTCATTTTCCTTCACTTTGTTTTCGGCAACTGACTAATTTTTTGCAGAAGGAGCAGCCTAAGAGGAAGCGTCTAACAGTGGTGGTGACAGAGACTGGGGTGGAAGGCAGAAGTGGAGGAGGAAGAGGTGGCCTACGTGGAGTGTCCATTTCCTCCTTCTGGTGGGGAGAGGGAGCGGGAGGGAGCACGTGTCAAGAAGCCCGGTCTAACCACCCTGGAAAAATACCTAGGCTTTTAAAATTGTATTTTTTTCTACACTCTGGTAGGAACACGGCAGGCTGGCCCACAATAAGTACTGTTAACTACTGCTTGGCAAATGTTGAATTAAGTGCATGCTTTAAGGCATGCTGTTTTTGTATTTTGCTGACTGACGGCAGGTACATTCTGAAAGAATTTCAGCGTATGGACTTTAAGTCCGAGACAGACGATGGCTCTGCAAAGCCGAGAGTACAGGTACAATGATTGCAGACGCTGGTAAAGAGTACTTTTAACAGCCCGACGGAGGCTGCGTGTGCCAGCCTGTCCTGCTCTGTGGGGCCGTCTCGGCACCCTTCTCTCAGGCACGCAGCGCCTCTTTTAATGGCTCGTTTCTTTCCTCTGGTTCCTGTTCCCCGCACCAACCCACAGCCCACTCTCTTGTCCCTTGTCCTAAGACACTGTGGTGTGGAACTGGGCAGGGGCTGGGCATGCTGGTTAATGTGATGACCAGGTGGGAACATCTCAGGAGGCAGGAGGGAAGCACTGAATGCTAACATGTACATATGAATATTAGAACTTGCTTGTTAATATGGAGAAATGCAGGCTATTTGTTTAGAAATCTGATTAATGCTCTCTTAATAGGTTTAAAAATGGTGTGTTCTAAAAGAGATGATAAGCCTTCAAAAAACAATGATATAAAAATGAAAAATTTACTTTGAATTTGTTCAAAGAAACAAAAAAGGTCCTTGCTAACTAGCACTGAATATAAATTTCAGTTCTTTTATAACTCAGCTTAAAAAAAAATGCACGGGGGCCGGCCCATGGCCGAGTGGTTAGGTTGGCACGCTCCGCTTTGGTGGCCCAGGGTTTTGCCAGTTCGAATCCTGGGTGTGGACATGACACCACTCATCAAGCCATGCTGAGGTGGCGTCACACATGCCACAACTAGAAGGACCCACATCTAAAAATATACAACTATGTACCAGGGGACTTTGGGAGAAAAGGAAAAAAAAGCAAAAGAGAAAAGTGAAAAATAAATAATAGAATCACAATCTACTTATTAAAAGGAGAAAAACAATCAAGGGAATTCACGCTGGCTAATGCAGATGCTCTGTGAGCCAGGCTCTTTCTCTTCTACTTTGCAACGCGGGAAAGAGCTGAAAGAGAAGGTTGCTCATCGGACACGTGAGGCTGTGACCTCTCAACTCAGTTAAGAGAGGAATGGGGGACAGGGTAAAGGGAGCATCATTGTCATGAAAGCTGTTGGGACAAGGGCTTAACTTTGAGAGAAACAGTGGAGTTGTTAAGTCCAGGGGCCAATCCTGGGTTTCTGACAGCTAATTAAGAAGGTGAGAGAAAAGTGTCATGTTTTTCTCCTTAAAGGTTGGATAAAAGTATGATGACAAGAACTGTAATGGTTGTAGTTAATGAAAAAAGTATTAAATGGCACCAAGTTATTTCTTTAAATTTATGTATACATCATATCATTAAATGTAGTATCTATTAAGAGTACCACGGTTAGTTTGTTTAACATAATTGTTTTTTAAAAGGGTAACTGAATAAAAAGTGTATCAAGTTCATGTCTCTTAATCACATCTATAAATAAAGTTTAACTATTTGTACTATTAAAGGGCAATAAAGTCATAACTGAGGAGCTTGGAGGCAATAAATCTCAGTAAGAGGACAAGTACCTAGAAATGGCCTCTTGTGTGCTAAATTCCAAAGCATCAGAGCTCAGTGGAAGAGCTGCGGAAACGTGAAGAGTCTGTCATTTAGTGAACAGCATTGTCCCAGGGTTTGTTAGTTTGGGTGACGTGCTGTTTGTTAGATGTTAACAGGAGAGGAATCCAGTTGAAGTGTACACAGTTAACTCTTCTGCTATTTTTGCAACGTTTCTCTAAGTCTAAAATTATTTCAAAATAAACGTTTTTAGAAAGTATTAAAGCAAGTGTTAAAAAGCTGAAGCCAAATGAAGCACCCTCAGTCTGAGATGCACTTATTTTGAAGCATAGACTGTTGTATATGAAGTTGTGTATCAGTCAAACAGTAAGTGGGGATGTTTATGAAAATATCAGAATAACTATTTTTGATTACTTAGCATGAACTACTTATTGCAACATATTTAAATTTATGTGTATGATTTCTTTGGTTGGTCCTTGGAAATAATTACGGAAAACTGCTCAAAAGTATACTGATTGACTCGAGTAACACAAAATCATGTTAGTAATTATCAACTTAGTGCAGAGCCAGTCCTGGAAGATCTTAGATTCTTGCATTTCTGAAAGATTTTAGGAAAATAATACCCAAATCTATTTACGCAACATAAAAAAATTTTATTACCTGAGGTACACCAATTTTTCTGCAAGCTTCTAGGAAATTCTCCACATTTCGCCTGCATTTTGCCATTGTTAATTTAGGCTGCAAAGGAAGGAAAATATGGTGTTACTAGCAAAGTTTTAAAAAATTTGCGAACTTTAAAAATACTCTTGCCAATTGCTTCATAGACTCAATGCTCTAGACCTGAGGGTCAACAAACTTTTTCTTAAAGAATCAGATAATAAAAATGTTAGGCTTGAGGGCCATACGGTGCTCAATTCTGCTGAGAGCTTAAACGCAACCACAGAAAATACATAAACAAATAAGGGTGCCTGTGTTCCAATAAAACCACTTACAAAATAGGTGCTGGCCTGGGGACTGCAGTCTGCCACCCTCTACTTCAGACATTTGGCTTTGATTTTTGTAAGGCAAGTGCTAAGTAGAGAAATTTCAGAGGGGTAGTTATTTAATCTTTTTCCATTTTAAAACAACAGACACTAAAGAAAATTTGGAGGAATAAAGAAAATTAATTACCCATAGCTCTGTCATTCAAATATAATCACAACTAACACTTTGGCTCATTTCCTTTTAGTCCTTTTTAAAGAAGACAATTTAAAAAAAATCAATAGCCATTGTTCATAATTATGCTACAGATGCATCATGTCTCTATGCAATGGTAATATTTAATTTTTTTAAACATTTGAATTTTAAAAGATTGGATTAAAAAAATCTTTTTTCCAAAGGATGAAAATTTCCCATAGGAAATTTCCCTGATTACTAACTAGTGAGCTTGTTTTTCTGAAAAGATCTCTAATGACTAGAAACATCAAGTTGCATCACATGACCTGAAGTTGTGATAAAGTTTTTTGCCCAGTGGCTTATCATGGGTTATAATGTAAGAAAGAAATAGGAATCCCATTTCCCAGAATGATTAACAAACTCAACTGTTCAAATTCATCAGCTGGTTCCCAACGTTTAAGCATCAGGCATGGAAGCTAAACATTTGCAGGGAATCTGACCTAGAGTTTTTACAAAAGTCAGCAGATGGACGCCTGTACCATCTCTACAAAAAAAAAAAAGGTTTCACTTCAAAGATGGAACGTAATACTCTGTCACAAGAAGAGGGTAAACACGATAAATACAGAACAGTGGTTGAAGGTACTATAATCTTGGCCTGAGAAGGGTAGCAGTGAACAGGACTGGCTTTATCATGAAAGATAAAAAGGCAACAAGTGGGATGGAAGGTGAGTAAAGATTATTTTAAAATTTCAAACTGGAAAACTTTCAAAAAGGTCCAGAAAGAAGACAGCAATTACTTTTCTATGGAGAGCACCATTTCTTGCCTATGTGAAGTTCTATACCTGAGGTAAAAAAAGTTAAAAAAAAAAAAAAAGTGAAACATAAATAGGAGAATTGTGATCTACTTAACAGAAGGAGAAAAACCATCCTGGGGTTCACACTGGCTAATTCACACCTGAGCGGGACTCTCTCTTCCACTGTTTACCTGCGAAAGAGCAGGGTGTTCACTGGACAAGTGATGCTGTGGTCTTCTCAACTCCTGGCTAGTTCAGAGAGAGGTAAGGTGAGCTGAGGCACAAGAGAAAAGTCACTGTGGTGAAAGCTACTGGGATAAGGGCTTAACTTTAAGAGAAGTGGGCAAATAAAACACAGGACAACTGCTTTTCACTTAGAAGAAATTTTTCATTGGCTAGAAATTCTTTCTCCACAGACCGGTTTCTCTTTCTGATTGTAGAAATGGAAGTAGAAATAATGGGATATTATGGATAAGACTCTAGCAAAAGAAAGGGATGTGGACATTTAGACCTGTGCAAAAGAAGGATCCCTAAACTTCTGAAACTCTATCATTCAGATGCCAACATCTATGGGAGGGCAGAGTGAAGGAGGTCTGACTGCAGAGTCAGAAAAACAACTGTGTTTCTGTGCAAAACAAACGAACGAAAGATAGAGTTCATGTTGCTAAGTTAAAAACCCGTCCAGGCATCACCACCATCTCAGACAAAAAGAAAAGAAAGCTCAGAATAATGATCATAGGGTCTCAGTCAGCATTATCTCTGTGAAGACTACTAGCACCCTAAGACTTAAAAGGTGTCTACGGGGGGTGGGGTGGAAAAGAAAAGAAAATTCCCTTTGAGATTTCCTCTGCTGAGAGATTTCTGATTGATGAAGGGGAAGGGGAGAGGGGAACCATCATGTCTCTCGCCGGCCATTCCTTCCTTTAGCACGTATCTAAATTCCAGGGATGTAGGTCAGTGTTTCACAACTGAGACAACTCCTTCTTAGAGTCTGACGAAAGCTGTGAATCTACTCTTGAGAAGAACACACATGCACACAATTGTAGAGAGTTCATGGAGCCCTGGAAGCCCTAGGAATGCATGAATCCTGGCTATAAATCCCTGTTCTGTACATGTCCAGTAGAACGGCTAGTCACAGGGCCAGGGTGTAGACTCCCTGTCACTGTGGAGTGCAGAAAGACTCAGGACTTTGCCTTAAGTCAAATCCCATAGGAACCTGCTATCCCCAGAAGCTTTTCCAGAGCTTCAGAGGATATAACGCATGGTGTTGGATAGGCCATGTAGAGTCTGTTCTATTTCTATAATGTACAGCCTGATCTGATTGAAATCTCATGCAGGTTTGCAGGAAGAAAGTAATTTCGACAAGAGCATAATCTATACTGAAAGGAAGGAGAAATAAGCAATTTCACTATTCTGGAATTTGAAATGATTTAGAATTTTTTCAAGTCATCTTCCTTGGTGATATGGTTCATTCAGTGAGTGGTCACATCACAGTATCTGTAATGATTTTTGATGTGATTCAATAGTGCACTTCTAACAACGTGACCTGTACTACTTAACACCTATGCCTACTGACCAGCCAAACAGCAATTTATCATCAATTCTCTCACAGTAACAAAAAAAGATGAATTATAACCTAATGGTTGGAAACACGCATGCCTTAGTGTTTCTTTTAAAATGCCTGGACATAAGACCTCCCTTTTATAATGAGGTCATTTTTTGAATTGGGAGAAAGAAACCATGGTTCATACAATACATCAAAGTGTTTACTAAGTTACACTCAGTGTGATTAGCCAGTTCTCAAAGAATTACAATAAATCACCACGCATTAACGTAGCCCCAAAGAAGCTGCTATGTTTTTTTACTTGCATTTAGCTTTAATTTTACATCCTCATCACAAAAAAAACTCTAAGAAAATAGGTTACAAAGCTCTCTGTATGGTCAGAAGAACAAAATATGGGAAGAAATAGTCTAATATGAAGGAGGGCAATTCATATGAAGGAAAAATAGATGTAAATATTTACACTGAAATCTAGTACTATAATAGAAACCCTCATTAAGGCAATATTGACTTATTAATGATAATCATCACAATTTGAAAGTAAGGTTTTTCTTTGTTTTGCTTTTAATTAAAATACTAGACAAATTTCATCTGGCTGATTCAAAGTCCATTTTTTCACCCCCTAATGTTATAAAATTACATATTTACAAGTTTCTTCTTAACTTTACAGTTTATTAACCAAAACGATCCCTTCTTAAAAAATTGTATTTAATAGTCCTACTTGCTTTTAAATGTCAAGGGTACTATTTCATGAAAGACCTTTTTTATTTTAATTAATTAATTAATTAATTTTGGTGAGGAAGATTGTCCCTGAGCTAACATCTGTGCCAGTCTTCCTCTACTTTATATGTGGGACACCACAGCATGGCTTGATAAGTGGTGTGTAGGTCTGCACTTGGGATCTGAACCTGCAAACCCCGGGCCACCAAAGCGGAGCACGCAAACTGAACCACTGAGCCACTGGGCTGGCCTCGTACTTTATTACTTTTTTTTAAAGAGGAATTAATGTTCTTGAAATAACAGATCACTTGTAATTCATCTCTGCACCTTTTGTCCCTGGCAGAATGCCTGGCAATGGACAGGTACTCAAACATGAGTAAGTTTTGTTGCTGGTTTTGCTAGAAAGTTTTAAATGCTCTAATCTCATGCTATACTCATATTTCTTTGAGTGATGAGAAGGTCCATGTGTTTTATTTCTCTAAGAGTTAAATATTTATGAAACAGTTTTCTTTTCCTATATGTATTTTACACTCTTAAGTGGAAGGAACTGTGTTCTGGTGATTGAGGTAAAGAACCTTAGTCACCTTTACTCTCAAATTCCACTTTCTACATTAGCTCCTTGCTACTTCCTAAGTATTTCCCCTGGAAATGAAGAATGAGATTTGTCCTTTTGTTTTATTATTAAAAAATTTTTTTTTGGTTAAGTCGTTTGACAGAAACTGGGAAGAACGCAAAGTATGAATAAACCCTTCCCCTGCTGGCGGTGCCAAAAAGCACGTCAATTCCTGTTCTCTTAGTCACATCTCTGGACCAAAACCAAGACTTTCAAGTCTTTGGGAGCAGAGTTGACATTGGTAGAGCTACTGCTCCTCTCTGCCTTTTCCACACAGAACTGAATGCCTGTTTTCTAAGGTCCCTAAATAAAAAGTGGCTATTTTTCTTAGAAGCAGATGCATGATTCTATTTCTGGATGTGCTAGAGGGAAAGGGCCATCTCAGCCTCTTGGGACTTCGGCAACAAAGTAGCTTTCATAAATGGAAGAATACAAGGCCCTTGGGAGGGATAAACAATTTCCATCTGGAGAAGTAGCAAGATGAATGTCCGGAAGTGGCATCGATAGGCCTAGATACGACTGCAACCGAGTAAGGAATTTCTATCAGGAAGTGCCTGCTAAATAACAGCAAATGACCAGAAAACGAGATGAAGTTAAACCTTTTGAAAAGGTGAGACACCATGAAGCGTGTTACAAATGCACAGTATCCATTCAGAATCATCAAAAGAGGGTGTCTCAACAATCAAATCTACTGTGGGAACCTTGATTAGATCCTGTGTGTGTGTGTACTGGGGAGGGGAGAGGAGGGAGTGGCTATGAAAGATATTCTTGGAACAACTGGGGAAATTTGAATATAATTTATAGATTCAAGTATTGGTGCCTCACCTAGCGTTCCTTTACCCAGGCTCTGCATCCATCCTCACCTCCTACCCCGACTCCCACAGGCTGCTAATGGTTTATAGCTGTCCCCGTCTCAGTTTCAGCCTGATTCCACAGGGAGCAGTGGAGTATGAATCATGTCACACTCCCACCTTGATGCAGGAGAGCTCAGCTCCCATATCAGTCAGTCATTGGCTACGGCCTATGGAGAAGAGCAAGGTGGCCTAGGACAATTCTCTGAAGTATTTAGGGGGTAAAATGTTATGACATTTACAACTTTCATTTTTTATTTATTTATTTATTTTTTTGAAGAATATTAGCCCTGAGCTAACTGCTGCCAATCCTCCTCTTTTTGCTGAGGAAGATTGGCCCTGAGCTAAATTCGTGCTCATCTTCCTCTACCTTATACGTGGGACGCCTGCCACAGCATGGCTTGACAAGTGGTGCCATGTCTGCACCCAGGATCTGAACTGGCAAATCCTGGGCTACCGAAGCAGAATGAGCGCACTTACCGCTGTGCTACCGGGCCGGCTCCCGATATTTACAACTTCTAAATGGTGCAATTAAAATACACACACACACACACACACACACACACACAAATTACAGGCAGAGCAAAATGCAAAATGAGATAAATGTCCGATCTAGGTGGAAGCTGCTTCTTTCAATTTTTCTGAAGGTTTGAAAATTTTCATAATAAACATTTGAAGGAAAAAACAAAAGAGTGTGTCAATCCAAAGCTTGCTCTTTTTTTTGTGGTTTGCTATCCTGATCGTCCTTATCCAACAAGCAGTCTAAAGAAAACCTGCCAGTCATCCCGAATGCATCTTCTCCCTCATTTGCCACCTGAGGCTGGTCACCAGATCACGTCAACTCCACCCTTGAAATAGATTCACCATTCTAAACTGCAATTATAATCATATGCTTCCCCTGAGATTCTCTCAGTGTTTCCTCAGTGTCTACACTGTGATAAACTTCTAACTCCCTGACATGCTACATGAGGCCTTTGTCTCACTGGCCTCTGGCTTGCCTCTCTAGCTACGTCCCCTGCCATCTGCACCTGCACTTGTGCAGGATCTATTCTGAACAACCTAAGAATTCCTTGAATATGTCATGATCTTCCCAAGAGCTTCCTTATCCTTTGAACCCAGGAATACTCCTCCCTCTCTGTACTGCTGGCAAATTCCTACTCACACTTTAAGAATTAGTTCAAATCTGCCTCCTCTGGGCAGGCCTTCTTTCACCCTCTAGGCAGTTAAGTGGTCCCTTTGTTGTATTCCCACAGCACATCTCTTACACGCCTCTCTCTCTTTTTTTTTTTTTAATGATTTTATTTTTTTCCTTTTTCTCCCCAAAGCCCCCCGGTACATAGCTGTATATTCTTAGTTGTGGGTCCTTCTACTTGTGGCATGTGGGATGCTCCCTCAGCGTGGCTTGATGAGTGGTGCCATGTCCACACCCAGGATTCGAACTGACGAAACACTGAGCTGCCTGCAGCAGAGCGCGGACTTAACCACTTGGCCACAGGGCCGGCCCCTCTTACACACCTCTCTTATAACATTTATCACACTGCTGTAAGTTATTATTTATATGCCTATTTTTTTTCTCTAGTAGAAGTGAGACCCTGGAAGGCAGGGACTGGACTATTCATATTTGTATCCCCAGCATTCTGCACAATGCCTGCCACTGTACTTAATAAATGTCTGATAAATAGCTAAGATTTTTTTAGCATAAGGAACTTACTACAGCTGGTGAGGGAACGTGAATGCTCGGGACAGATCGAGGCCGCACATGATTGGCCAAATGGCAAAGAACAACGCCGTCGGTTAGGGCTGCTCCCAGATCACAAGGTAGAGATACTTTCAACCGGTACTCAATATGCTGAAAGAACAGGAAAATGTGCACTAGATTAATTAAAGAGTGGCTGACACATAGACCATGATGGAGTTACAATGGAATATATTTAATTAGAAATCAAGGATAAAAAGCAAATAAGTACCAAAATCCTTATTTTATCTTTCTATCCTAGGTCAATAACTTAAGGAGATCCAACACATATGTATGGCAGCCAGGCCACAGTGGTAAAAAGTACCACAAAAGAAATTCATTTACAATTTTCTGATTAAAAACCCCAAAACTGATTCTCTTTCAATTCCAAAATAAAATACTACATATAAGTGTGATATGTGTATGTATATGTGTACATACATATAAATTATTATTACTCTTACACAAATTCTTTACAATACATGGCAGAAAAAAATTTTAAATGAGTAGATAGGGCCAGGATTGAGCTTTACAGAATAACCCATCTTATTTTCTTAGTAAACAGTTGAAAAGGATTTCTTTAATAGCAAAATTTCTTTTACATTCATCATACAATGGACAATACAGCACACAATGGGTACTTGTTGATTCTATTAAAAATTATAAGTCAAATGAACAAGCGATTGCAGGACTATGGGCTATAGCGGTAGCTCTGAAAAAGTGTAATTCAAAGGTAATGTACACACTTTTCGCAGTTGATCTATTAATTCCAGCTCTTCTTCTCTCTGTCTCAAATTCTGTCTTATCATGGGATCTGCAGAGTCAGTGGTAGGTGCAGGAGATGAAAGAAGGGGTGAAGCATGACCTAAAAAAATATTAATACGTAAGACAGAAAGGTGATTGCCAGCGCTGGTAAAATACTCAGAGCTTCCTGCCCCAGTTTCCTTGCAGTCTAGCACACTCCACTTCTCAACTGACTCGCTTAAAAAAGTTATTGCGGAAGTTTTCAAATATGCACAATAATAAGCAGAAGAGAATAAAAAACTACCAAATGTCCATTACCCATTTGGCTCAACTACTTTTGTTTGTTTAAGTACATCCATTTAAAAATGTTTTTATTGAAAAATAACAAACATACAGAAAATTACACAAATCATAAGCAAACAGCTCAAAAATTATCATCACAAAGTGGACACAACCAGTTCAAGAAATGAACATTACTAACATCCAGAAGCTCCTCTCACGCTCTTGCCATCAGTACCCAAACATTGCTTCTAACACCACAGGTTCTAACTATGTACTTCCTGACCTCTAATACCACAGACCAGTTCTGTCTATTTCAGAACTTTCTACAAATGAAACCATATATGTATGTATGTTTTTGTGTCTAGCTTCTTTTCATCAACATTACGTTTCTAAGATTTATCCATGTTGTTGTGTATATTAATTTGTTCATTTTCATTGCGTATATGGTATCCCATTGTACAAATATACCACAATTATTTATCCGTTCTTTCATTGATGGACATTCAGTTTGGAGCTATTATGAATAATGTTGCTATGGAGATTTTTGTACACTATCTCTTGGTATACATGTGTACGTATTTCAGAAAGCAGCACTGCTACTCATGGGACATACAAATGGTCAACACTAGTAGCTAATATAAACAGTCTCCATTCGAATCTACAATCCCGCCAGCAGTGTGGCTCTGATTTGATTTTAAATCTCACTAAGAACGCATCTATCAGTTATACTAAAAGTCATTATTTTGGTCTTGAAGTGTTTGTTTTTACCTCCAGTTAACTTCTTTGGGGACCAGGTAGAAATTTGTCATATTAAGTAAAAAACCTGAGACTAAGTAGATTTTTTAAAAATTACTGATTCATTTTTTTGTTAGAACACAGAAAACAGCTTTTAGCAACAGAAAAATCTGAAAAAGAGCTCATTATAGAGAAGAGGAACATTCTCTAAAGCCCAGAAAAAGTATTTTCTTTGTTCAAACACTAGAACCTGCTTTTAGGTGGTACTAAGAAACTTTCTAATTCAAATACGTTCAAACAAGATTCTCCTGCTTTAACGTCAGTGAGATCACAGAGAATGCAGAGTTTAAAGCGTTTGCTAAGATGACATCTCAGGGCAGAAGTTTAAGAGCATGTAACACTTAACGTCATTATTAAAAGTCGTCGTTCCCCCCCCCCCCCCCGCCCCCATTTTAGTCCCTACCACCGACCTTTATTCGGTTCTGCCCTGCCGCCTGCTCGGAAGAGGAAGCTTTCCGGGCGCTGGGGCTGGTGTCTCTGGATAGCAGCAGGGAGAGAATATGCAGGGGGATGATGGACTAAATCAGCACGAGAAAGCAAAATAAGATTAAAGGAGGTGGAAAAAAACTGAATACAAAAAAAGTTCAGTAAGTGGCAAACAAAGAAAAAAATCAAATTAAACATGGCAATGATATATAATGATAATTTTGTTTATTAATACAAAATCCGGTACAGAAAAGTAACCCTGAAAGCAGGACAGCTGCTTGTATGTATTTTTAATTGTCAAGTTATTTTTGTTATATCAATAAAGACAGAATGAGGGGCCAGCCCAGTGGCGCAGTGGTTAAGTGTGCGTGCTCCACGTCGGCAGCCCAGGGTTCACAGGTTTGGATCCTGGGCGCAGACCTATGCACTGCTTATCAAGTCATGCTGTGGCAGGCATCCCACATATAAGACAGAGGAATTTGGGCACAGACGTTAGCTCAGGGCCAATCTTCCTCAAAAAAAAAAAAAAAAAGACAATGTTAATAAATAGAATACAGTCTCTGGCAAACCTATAGCCCTGCTAGCTCATGCTCATTTTTTATATCAAATGGTTGAGTAGCTGAACAACCAGCTGAATTAAAAGATGGAAAACATACAGAAAGTTCCCAATTTTGCATCTGATTTCTCACCTCAGAAAACGGAGCCACAGCTATCTAAAAAGAGATTTATTAGGAAAATCCTGGTAAAGAATTATAATCTTGATGTGTGTATCTTTGCGTCTATTACCTGTTTCTGTTGTAGATGAGCTTGACACAGCATTAGATCTGTCATCATTCTGTGAAGAAGTAAAGATATATCAGTAATTATTATTTGAGAAGAGGTATTTTCCACATTTATGGTAACTTTGGGATTATAAAAGAAAACAAGCATGCAACTCTCCTTCAAAATTAAGTTTTAAAATGAGAATTTGGTGTAATAAAATAATTTTATATATTTTTTTAAGACCAAACTTTTTATTTAGTTCTGCAGAATACAAGGTTTATGTAATACAGTCTCTAAAGACAGTCCTACTATATAATAGGCCTTTCCTATGACTACTTAAAATGATCACTCTAAGGCAGAAAATTTATTGAGAAATACATAGACAAGAATAAAATTTTATTTTATGACAGTATTTTTCTGGTATAGTTTCTAAAGTATTTTCCCTCCTCTGGAGAATAAAATTTACTGTGTTAAGAAGTGATAAAGGGAAATAAGATATTTAAAGATGATTGATAGCTGTATTTCCAGACTAGTATTTAAGTCCAAAATGTTTTTAATCCATTGACCGAAGGAACTGTAAAACGGAGGAAGAGCTAGCTCAACTGGTATAAAATTTACCTAAAAAAGGAAAATGTGGTTAAGCTAATTTAAAAAGAAGTGTTGGCTGGTTGCATTAAAGATGATGAAGACTTGGCAGGGGAGCAGAAGCAAGAAAAGCTGGAGCAACAGCGAATTTCCAGGGCCTGACACCTAGTTACACGCAATAGTTTAAATATATTACAACCGTAGGAGATGATAACTAAGACACATTTCTGAACTAAGAGAATGACTTTAAAACACACACACACCTACACACACCTACACACAGACATATATCTGCTTCCACACTTTTTTCTCCCTTTTGGTTTCAATAGTTTCAGAAATCTTTTATTTCTAGTTGGAGTTGAGTCAGATAAAATTAATGATGACAGGGAATTTTAACTGCTAAAATAAATGAATAAGCAGAAGCCATGCTGTTGAGAAAATTCTTGGACTGATTTGGAAGACAATTTTGTGGTAACGATTCCTTGGTTTGATACTCTGAGGCAGAGAATTAAGACTTACAAATAAGCTGCACTCTCGAGTGAAGCAATGTATTACATCTCCATTAGTGAAAAAGACAACATGTTCATCAAGTTTATAGATGCCAATAAACTAAGTTTAGGATGTTAAGAAATGAAAATTTAACAAATTTAATTTAAAATAAGAGCAACAGGAACTAGCAAAAGGAATAAACTGCTAAATGAGGCAGAAGCTGGGCATCATTATAAGGAAACAAAAGACTATCCCTATTTTCAAGGAATATGAGAATATCAGGAAGGAGAATGCTAATTAGCTAGACAAAGACCTGTTCAAGGACCAACGGTACAAACAGAAAAACGTAAAAAGTAGAAATTATTCCAGATAAAGGGGAAAGATATTTTTTTAAAACTTAAAAAACTTCATTGGAGTTAGACTAGAAATTTAAGCAGCAGATATAAGGGAAAGATTTTTTTTTTAAAACTTAAAAAACTTCATTGGGGGCCGGCTCTGCGGCAGAGTGGTTAAGTTCACGCACTCCGCTGCGGCGGCCCAGGGTTCAGATCCTGGGCGCAGACATGGCACCACTTGTCAGGCCACAATGAGGCGGCATCCTACATCCCACAACTAGAAGGACGTGCAACTAAGATATACAACTGTGTACGGTGGGGGGGGGGGGGGGTTGGGGAGATAAAGCAGAAAAAAAAAAAAAAAAGACTGGCAACAGTTGTTAGCCCAGGTGCCAATCTTTGGGGAAAAAAAAAAAAAAAGGAAGATTGGCAACAGTTGTTAGCCCAGGTGCCAATCTTTAAAAAAAAAAACTTCATTGGAGTCAGACTAGAAATTTAAGCACATTAAGGAATAAAACAAAGTTAATAGGCAACTGTATTAGATCAGATGGAAGACACGAAATGACTTACAGTGAATGGCAGCAACCCTTCAGGAACACAAGATAATAAACAGTTGGGTGTAACGAAGAACAAAGCCAGAATCGAGGGGACTTGTAAAATGATGACCTTTAAAATGTGCTTTTATTGAAACCATAAATCTAGTGACTTGCATGCCAGGATGCTAAAATAAGTTCAAATCGCTCTGAGGACACTGACTATATCCGAGAACTCTTGGAGAACTGGAGAGCAAAATCCGGAAACTGACATGAACTCAACTTTATGCCTGGTTAAGCAGGAAAAGAAATAAAATCATGCATAAATACAGTGTATACCTGCTGTAAAGTAACTAGGATACCAAAAAATACAGAACAAATCTTTTTAAACTAACCACTTGACACTGCAGCAGGTCTGCCAGACAGAAAGGCAGCTCACTGCACTTTCAGCATATTCAGCTTGGCCTTTCTCAACTACGATTCTGGGAGAGAATAAGCCCCACTGCCCTCAGGCATCTATGGAGTGTAATGAATTAACTGCTCTTAGAATGGGAGCAGTTACATACCTTCCTTGAGAGAATTTTGAAAACAGTCCCTCAAATCATTTTCTATGTTGTTGTTCAAGTAAGGAAACTTGCTGAGAAAGGCTGGCAAAGGGTTAATATAGAAGAGAATTACGTTTTTTCAGGAGCCACCTAGGTATGTGAAGCATCTTCAATAAAGACCAGAGACAAGGTTAATGAGGTTTACAGATATTATAAAGTTGGGGTCAGCATTTAGAAGGACATGATGCAAGAATATGAAAGTATTCTAGTAAATTACAGAAGTAAAAATGTTCCAAAAGCAAAATTAAGTATTTAGGAAAACAAAGGATACAGGGTATGGAAATTAATTATCATTTAGGAGTATAACTAAAACATGTGACAATTATAGTGGATACTGAGCAAAATGAATACCAAAACAGAAAAAGCCAGCCTAATGCTCAGAATAAGACAGATGAGAAACCTTGTTCGTGCTCAGCGCCAGATGGCCCTAACGAGGGCTCTATTTCTAGCTGGGGACTGTGGAGCCAAACGGAAAGGCAGAGAACTGGCGAAAGTGCATAAGGATGCACAAGCTGGGAAAGGCAGGTAAAAGAACCAGAGTGTATTTAGGGAGAAGACAAGGGTGGCATCATAATAGTTTTCAAATATAAAGATTCTTACATAAAGACTGCTAACTAACTAGAAAATCGCCACTCTAGAAAGAACAGAAGAAATAAATGTAAACCACAGGAGGACACATATAAATCAGACAAGGTGAACATCTTCTTGACAGTCAGGATTATTAATCATTTCTTATGTATCATATGATAACAAATATGGAATTACCACCCCTAGAGGCCTTCAAAAAATAAACTAGCACAGGTTCTTTATTTAGGCTCGCAGGCCATATGATCTCCATCACAACCAGTATTCCAACTCTGCTGTTAAGCGTAAAAGCAGCTACAGACGATACATAAGCAAATGGGAGTGGCTGTGTGCCAATAAAACTATTTACAAAAACAGGTGTCCTGGGGGCCATAGCTTGCTGACCTCTTCTGTAAGAGGGTTTTGGCAGTGACAATTTTGGCGACTAGGACTCAAATAATTTTGCATGCACATTAGACAATGGAGTTAATTTGATATTAAATATTAGCCCAAGTAAAATAATTAATCATGACAAAAAAAAAATCTTAGATGGGAAAATTAGGACGACATTTCAAATAGAATCTCAATTTTAAAAATTAACTCTATGTTTCTGGTGTAATAGAACTTTCAAAAAATTTCAAGTGAAATTAATGTTAAACTCAAATAGTTTTACAAGCTCAGGTATATTTCGTGTAATCCTACATTTCAGATTGCTGTCAGACCAACCCACTGGAAAATGTAACCCCTCCCCTGCCCACGCCCTCCCCAAAGCTCCTGGTGAGTTACAACAAGGGATACCTTAAGAGGCGTGAAGGCAAAAGGATGAGGCAGGGCAGCAGCACAGCCCACTTGACTCAACCCTGACAGCGACTACATTTCAAGAGAAAGAGAAGAAACAGAAGGCAGCATTTATGTTAGCAAAATGTCAGGCAGGCGGCAGGCAGGCAGATCTGGTCAGTGAAAACAGAAAAGGAAAGGTCACTGACAAACCTTCAAATGGTTTACTAAGATATTGATAGGGCAGAAAGAGAATACTTAGGGGGAAAAAGCCATAATTTATGAAACAGTTTTCCCATCTGTATAACTCAAACTATTTCAATACCTCATAGCACATTATTCAAGAAATGAAAGACAAGATTTATTAAAAGTTATTTTATATAGAAATAAAACTGAGAACATCAAAATTTTTTAGCAAAACAGCCTTAGAAACTAATGAGTCCTGTGCTGTTCCTAAGACAGGGGAAACAAATCCAGTCACAGAGCTCATTGTAACTGAGCAGAACTGGCATGAATAAGGACAATAGTTTTTTAACGTTAACCCAAAATTAGATTTATTATAATTCCAGTTAATGGCTCTGATGTGAGAAGACAGGACATGAGGATTCTGCACCACACCTTACGGAAGAACGAGCATTTCACTTCCGCCTCTGTGAAAGTTCAAGTGACCTATAGGAGGGTAAATGGAATTTTCCTTTTCTTTGAATCCTTTATCCTTTCACCAACCTACATACAACTACTTAGATATATTAGAGATATAATTAGAGATAGTAAGTGTTAGAATCTATTGTATGATTACAGATAAAAGCTGCTCAAAATATGACAATGTTTTCATTGGATGGGGAGTGAAAATCAGAGAAGACAGGACGTTGACAAAGGGCATTGGATAAGACTGTACCTATTAAAACAACAAAATGCCAAAGGCTTAAAGATATTCAAGCCTTTATAAGTTAAATCATTAAAAAAAATTTAAACTAGGACCACAGACATCTGAATCATGGGAAAAATGAACAAGAACACATGTGGGTGCTTAGAAACAGGTGTGTAGATGGTCAGTAAATAAATACAAGTGGGGCTGGCCCGGAGGCATAGTGGTTAAGTTCGCACACTCTGCTTTGGTGGCCCAGGGTTTGCCGGGTCAGATCCTGGGCGCAAGACCTGCACACCGCTTATCAAGCCACACAGTGGCGGCATCCCACATTGAAGCACTTACAACTAGGATGTACAACTATTTACTAGGGCTTTGGGGAGGGAAAAAAAAGGCAGACTGGCAACAGATGTTAGCTCAGGGTCAATCTTCCTCACCAAAAAAAAGCATATTAAAAAATATACAACAGTTGTATTTTTTTTTATGAGGGAGATTGACGCTGAGCTAACATCTGTTGCTAATCGTCCTATTTTTGCTTGAGGAACATTGTTGCTGAGCTAACATCTGTGCCAATCTTCCTCTATTTTGTATGTGGGACACTGCCACAGCATGGCTTGATGAGTGGTGTGTAGGTCCATGCCCAGGATCTGAACCTGCGAACCCTGGACCACCAAAGCAGAATGCACAAACCCAACCACTATGCCACCAGACCAGCCCCTACAACTGTATTTTTAATGAGTGTTGATAGATAGCAAGGCCTTTTGTTTGTTTGTTTGCAAAAAGAAGCATGTAACATACACTGCAACATAATCTATCTTAAGGCAGAAAAAAGTGAAAAAGGAAATGTATCAAAGAATGAGACTGTGACAACAGCTATACACTGTCTGCTTCACCTATTTAGACTTCCTGGGCCTCCTTATAACCAAATGCACTGGAATTACTGTCAGTTTCAAATATAAAAAGGCTAAAAGCCACTATGTAGGCAAAGAAGGAAAAAAAAGAGAGGAGGGAAGGGGAAGTGAAATGAGCCTGGATACTCTCGGGCGCCTAGAGATGGGATACGCATGCAGCCTGGACGGAGATGAAAGCACCCCGGACTGAAGGTGGCCCTAAGAGAACGTTAGTGCAACTGATATTAAATGATACTAACCCTTATTTCAAATCCTGTATTTCAAGGTCTTTAAATCAAATTCAACATTTACCTTGCTATATCATCAGACTGTCTCATCATGAAACAACTTAGTGAGGAATTATTAGATGCACAGCATTTACATATTCATTCGGGAAATATCTATTGAGCACCTAATATATCTTATGAACTAGGACAGGGACCGAGTATACCTAGGTGAGTACAACAGAGAATATCCCTGTGTGCCCATGAAACTTACAGCCTAGTAGTCTAATGGGGAGAGACATAAAACAAAACACACCTATGTATGTAAACGTACTATGAAGAAAAAAAATAACTGGAGACATAAATTTGATTTGGGCATGGAGTATGCAGAAAAGCCATTTTAAAGATGTGTCATTTAAGCTGATACCTGACAGATGAGTAGGAATTAACCAAGGGGTATATGCAGGGAGGGAAAGGCATTCCATGCAGACAGAACAGCATTTGCAAAGGTCCTGAGGTAGGAAAGGGCTTGCCATGTTTGAAGAGCTGAAAAAATGCTGGTATAGCATGAGGCCAGAGACAAGAGACAGACAGTAGCAGAGTGCACAGGAGCTGGTAGGCTGTGTTAAGAAGTGTGGACTTATTCTACTGTATGAAGCCACTAAAGAGTCGTTTTGAGAAGATCAGAAGCCTGACTTAAAATCTGATTCTTTTTGCACAGTGTTGGACACTATTTGGCATAAAAAAATATGTGAGACGCGGTTCCTGCTTTTAAATGCCATCTAATTTAGGTCAGACAAGAATACTGATAACTAAAATACAAGGGTATGTGTTTTGAAAATGCCTGAAAGCCATTTCAAATTTCATGCTAAGGGGATTTTGTTGTTGTTTTTCCAAACTCCACGTTTTCCTTGACAAAAAAGTCTGGGCACTCAAGGGGCTGGCCTGGTGGTGTAGTGGTTAAGTTCACAAGCTCCACATCAGCGGCCCCGGGTTCACAGGTTCAGATCCCAGGGATGGACCTAAACACCGCTCATCAAGCCATGCTATGGCAGCGTCCCACATATAGAGGAAGATTGGCACAAATGTTAGCTCAGGGACAATCTTCCTCAAGTAAAAAGAGGAGGATTGGCAACAGATGTTAGCTCAGGGCTAATCTTTCTCAGCAAAAAAAAAGTTTGGGCACTCAGGCTTATATCACTTACTATATGTGTTATTAAATCTGATCTTCAGTTTCCTAAATTGTTTTCAATTACAGTATGGAAGGCAATACAGCACGGTGTTTAATGCAGGTTCTGAAATCAGCCAGATCTAGATTTGAACCCAGCCTTGCACTTATGCTACATGACCTTGGACAAGTCTCATTCTAGACAAGACAGTCTGTGCCTCAGCAATCATTTGTAAAATGGTGATAAGTTTAACCTTAACTCTTAAGGTTGCCATGAAGAGTGAATGAGATAATTCTGGTAAAGTGTCTGGATCATCACAGGCTCTCAATATTTTTCTGCATTTATTTAAATTATGATTTGCTCCTCATGCCAATTAACTTCCACTAAAACTCCAGAGGCTGGTGGTTGTATTTATCTACAAAACTGCCCAGTTAAAATGTGCTTTATGCATCTCAAAGGAAATGATGACTGCAGAACACACAGAAATCTCGACAATGGAAGTTTATGTAGTAGAAACAGCATCCTGAGGTACGGGGTTCACACAGCAGTGTGCACAAACGCAGCAGTTACGAGCACATAAGACAGGAACTGCTACAGAGGCTAGACTTTTGAACTTCAAGTTTTCAACACTACTTTGAAAAAATAACATAAAACATGATGGGAAAAGCAATTATGTCAACAGAATTCTCTTGCAAGGCTGATAAAAGACTTTCAATAAGCATGTTGTATTCATTTTCAGCTGATGAAACAGGCAATAAAAGTAAACGAGTGTAAAAATGATCAATAGATAGCATTTCAAGTTAATGTTTCCCTGAGTTTCAAAAATGGGCATGGAGGGGCGCTGGCCCCGTGGCCGAGTGGTTAAGTTCGCGCGCTCCGCTGCAGGCGGCCCAGTGTTTCGTTAGTTCGAATCCTGGGCGCGGACATGGCACTGCTCAACAGACCACGCTGAGGCAGCGTCCCACATGCCACAACTAGAAGAACCCACAACGAAGAATACACAACTATGTACCGGGGGGCTTTGGGGAGAAAAAGGAAAAAATAAAATCTTAAAAAAAAAAAAAAAACTGGGCATGGAGGGATAATCTTGAGCTCTAAGCATTTTTTAAAAGTTTGGGATTTTCAGTAGCTTAAAATAGATAATAAAATAGGACGCCAAATATACAGTTGTATAATTCGCGTCATGGAATAAGAGAATCCATTTAACACACAGGTGACTCATGGGCCAAATTAATGATTAATAAAGTAGGTGCCCCTAGCATTAGAAATGACATTTAAAAAAGTAATCTATTATGGCCTTTCCTCCCAACACACATACAATATGGTTCTCAATGCAAATGTCTTACTTTTGGAAACACTAACAAAGATATTTGAATCATAGCTGCAGAACACTGGGACACTGGGCAAATCATGAACAGTTATGTAGGGAAACCGTTGCAGCTATCTGTAAAGCATTTAATAATGATGCTCATCGTGTTTTATGGTACGTACACCATTTCTGAATGAAAAGCACAACAGCTACTCTCCAATCTCTTCTAGACATAGCAATGTAAACTCTGTTTTGGGCAAGGCTCTTACCACTAACAAGGCACTATCATCAGTGTGCTGAGACCTTCTGGATGGGAAGGGACACTGGAGAGGTGGAGAAAAATGAAGCAATGTCAAAAACAAACTGCACACACGACATATTTCACAAATACACAAAGAGACATATTAAGACATACTTGTGAAGATGCTGACATACAAGACCGCATTCACAGTCCTTAGAATCCACGCATCATAATAGCTAATAAGTTGATTCTGAATAATGATTCTCTTCCAAAGAGCTTAAACAACTTCAAATATGGTCTTATTGCCTAAAGACTTTCTAAAGCAAGGAGGGAACAGGGATTATTCTCTGTTCACAAAACAGTAAGCTAAAGTATAGATGTAGCAATAACATAAAGAACTTGTGGTTACTTAATGAGCCAGTGACACAGTGAAAACACTAAACCCAAGAGTCATGATTTCTAGTCGAAGCACCTCTTCACTACCTTTCTCAGACAAAACAAGAACACAATTGGAAATTTTAAAACTGTACATGTTATTTTTCTGAGAAGCTTTCGTGTTTAGATAACGAATTACTCCAGAATAACCATCAAGAAAGAAACGTTGGGGTAAAAAAGGAAGAGTGTATTAACTTATCAAACTTTGGTTGTCAAAGGTTTGTACGGAATTATTACCATGTGAAGGAAAGACAACAGAAAATGCTTGAGCGAATCTCTCAGGTATTACACCAATGCATAAGTTCTCATATAAACAAACAAAAAGTGGTTATTATATGTCCAATAGATTAAAAAAAACCTTTATAATCGGTCACTTAAAACAACACATTTTACCATTCTAGAAACACTTGTGCTGTAAAAACACTGCTGAAAATCAATGCCTGTAAAGCCCAATGTACTAGGTTTTCAAATAACTTATTTTACAAAAAGCCAAGTCAAAATTCACATGAAACAGTGCCTTTGCATTTTTAAAGGAAGTAATGATCATAAACTAAAAAAATGAGAAGGCAAAGAGAAAAGAAAATGGCTAATGAGAAAGTCAACAACGTACAAATACTCATTTAGTAAGCTTCATTTCAACAGACCAAAACAGGTGCGTAAACTTTTAAAAGGTTATGCAATTAATTTTACATGTTAACTTGTAATGCATATGTACTACTTAATATTATGAGACTAATGTGCACAAAATATAATCAATAACATACGCCCTTAGGAAATGAGCACTGAAGCTGAAACACTTTGTAGAGTCTTTTTTGTTTAACACGACACCATTCTCCTGTGCCAGATACAGCTCTCAGGACTCTATATAGCAGGCTTTGAGAACGCATGAGGGAGATGATACCTCTGGTGGGGATGGGGAAGGGAAATAAATAATCTCCAGATGGATGTGTACAGATTTAAAAACCCCCCATCTACAGACTCTGATAAACTCCCTGGCCTGTGTCTTCTCCTCCCTAAGAAGTAGAATTTTGTGAGGGGGAAAAAGTAAAATGGCAATACTTATCACTGAAAACACATGATAGTCACATGCAAACATTTCATTTCCATTGCAATAATAAAAATTCCAAAGAGAAGGTGATTACACAGACTTACCTCACCATCTAAGGCGGGTGGTTGTTTTTGTGGACTTTGGGATGCTTTTTGCTATACACCCCCACCCCCCCAAAAAAAGGGATGTTGGTTAGAATCTGGAACACTGGAAATGATCAATTCTATTTACTAAAATAATCACTCACATTAACATCTGTATCTCCTGTGTATAGCACTTTCCTAGATCTACATGTTAGAAGATATTGCCCTTTCCCTTAAATAGCTTATAGTTTAAATGACGAAAAGCGATAAACTGACAAACGGTATTTCGTGTATCTACAAGCATCTAGAAACAGAAATTTTAAAAACTATGTTTTTATACATACATGCATGCAAACACATTCGCAATCAGACCAGTGACGGTTCACTAGATCCTCTCAATGAAAGCACTCTCTCTCTCCTTAACGGCTTTAAATATCACTCTAACGCTAACAGCTTTAGCTCTCTCCTATCAGCCAAATTTCAGGTTTGCATTTTCAACTGCCTGTGGAAACTCTCCACCTGGAAACCCCACTGCCACCTCACGGTCAACATATCCAAAACCAAACTCACAATTCCCCATACTAACTGGCTCTTTTCCCCCATTTGCTAGTTTTTGTTATGACGTCAAATAATAATATGGTAACATCTGTATCTTACAGGGTGTTCTACAAAGTGTTTTTAGACACAGTCTCTCAAGTGTACACCTTTTGCTCTGTGAGATAAACATCATAATCTTACTCATTTAAAGACGAGAAAATTGTGGATAAGAAAGGTTCTATGATATTTGCAAGGTCACGAAGTTGCTAAGTAGCATACCTGAGATTTGCCCCTATGTCTTCTGACTCCAAATCCTACTTTTTTCCACAATGCTAGATTTGCATTAAAACCATTCTTTCAGCCTCAAAAGGTTGCTTTGGGACCTTATTATTTTTTTTCACGCAACTTCAATGATTTATTCAACACTTACCAAACATCTATGTATAAGACATAATGATGCTTCTCTTGAAAACCCTCTTATAGTTAATTAATAAAATCCATTGTGGTGGTAGGGGATGCAGCACTCACCATACTAGTAAAAGAACTGAGTGCATCCATAATAATTCTAAAATAGTTATTATTTCATAGTTAAATATTACACATATTAAGGAAACTCAAGGCACAGAATGGTTCAGTAACTTTCCAAAAGTCAAGCACAAACTGACTAGCAAAGCCGGATTCCAATTCAGGTATTTTGGATTCTATGCTCTTACTACTGTGCAACACTGCCTCTCCTTAGGAACCTTAGAGACCATCTACTTTTAAGCCTTCATTTTCTACCCTAGTCTAATTATTCCAATTACTCTCTATTTCATTTTCTTCATCTTTCTTTCTAACATGTTCTCAACATGAGAAGGTTCGTTTTTCAGAAGTATCTTTTCTCTCATGTTTTTCACCTAGTTAAGATGTTAAAATTGTTCTCTTCTGCCTAAGAGATCAAGACCAAACTCTAATTTGACATTTAATCAAGACCGTCTACAATGTGATATCTCTTACTAGCTGAATGACTTCTACAGAAGGCAAGCTAGATAAGTTAATTTACGTAGAATGCATAGAACAGCACTAGGACACAGTGTGTTAGTCATTATTATTTACTTAGAGGCAGCATAGCATTGTGGTCATAGAGTAGGGTTTAGAGCCAGGCTGTCTTTTTTTTTTTTTTTTTAAAGGAACTCTTTATTTTCCATCAATCTTATTTCCATTTTCTGTTCAGCCTGTCTTGACTAGAAAACTTGCTCTGCCACTTACTAGCTGAGTATTTAAGCTTAGGCAAATTGTTATCCCCTCTGAACATCAGAGATCATCATCATACGCCTGATACGTTTGAAAAAAAATAAGAGAATTTATCATGTATATGGTACTTACAGATGGCCTTTGGCTAGAGTTATGAAACACAAGAAAGAAAGCGTCTAGAGGACAACAGAATAAACAAGACAGACATGGTTCCTGTCTTCATGGAGTTTACAGATAAATGGGAGAGACAGATATTAAACAAACAAAAATAGAAATAATTATTTAATTATTAAGAAAGAAATCCAAGGCGATTTCAGAACAAAAAGATTTAACTACCACAGGCAAAAAAAATGAACAAGGTTTAGATGCAACTATAGAGGGTGTAAAATGCTTAAAAAGGAAGTATTAACAGGGGTGGTTAACTGAGCAGATGTGGAGAGAAGAGAAAGGAAAGAATCAAAGATGACTCTGAAGCATTAAGCCTGTGAGTCTTACAAACACTGGCAGTCGCTCTAGTGAGGAAGTCAGAGACAGGCTCAGAGAACACAAGCTTACATTTGCATGGCACCTGACGCTTTACACGGCACTTTCATGATCTTGTTGATCCTTATTGATGCCCTAGAGATTGAGGAAACGGCAGCTGGACAGTACAGTGATATGTCTAATGACAGATTGCTGATTAAGAGAAGAGACTACAGGACTGTCCTAAGAGCAAGACAACTTCTGATGGTCCTCAGGCCTATCTGCACGAGGACAATCAATCTAACAACAAGCAAGAGACAGTTACATTACTTACTCAAGATTCCCCAGAATGAGAAAACAAAGTTGACATTTTAATTAAGACACTAAAAGCTGACAGCCTCAGCAAAACGAATAAGCACTTACTTCTAAGAAACTTAAGGAGTATCATCCAATGAATTCAAAGGACTCACCTTGACAAAGTCCAGGACGGCATCTCTCTGCATCTGCTTGGTCCTTATCTTCTCCTCCTCATACTGCAGGGCAGCAAGCTGGGCCTCTCTCCGGGCGCGCTCTACTAACTGTTCTCTTCTCCGGTGCACTTCCAAGTCTGTATGTGACAACTGCAACAAAAGTATCATTTTGCACATGCAAGCAGGGATACAGATCAACTTATCAGTATTCCTTATCAATTCAGGGAACTACTGCTGACTCAAGCAACTTTTACTTTGCCTCTCGAGTATCTTTAAATGTGTTTATTGCTAATCTTTTCCCATCTTTGCACTGTGTTCGTCTATGTACTGTAAAGCCATCATGTGGGGAAAGATTTATTTTCTGTCTGGCATCTAAAAACACTGTTAGCAAGTATCAGGTGCACATGTTATATTAACTGTATAATCAACCAGACAGGTAACAAAGTTTACAGATATCTGGCAATTAATGGTATTCAAGTATTATAAAAGAGGAAAGCCATCTTAGTTAAAAAAATCAAACTAAAACAGAAAAAAAAAATTTACCTGGCTGTGACTTGGTGATAGTGACAAGAGAGAAGATGGCTCAACTGGAACTCTGACCCAAAAAAGAAAAAAGAGAAAGGAAAAACTCTTTGATAAGACAGATGGACATATAAAAGGTAAGTGAAATTTTATTGTTAATGCAGCTTTCTATTCATCAATAGGTAAACTGTCTAGTCAGCACTGAAAGACTAACTGCACTTTGTAAACTTGAGCCCAAGTCATTAAATTAAGCTACAGGAACACCTGATGTCTCCAACTCACGTTTCACGTGATGGTATCACTGATCAAGCTACAGAAAGCTAACAATGGTCTATGTTGGCCAGCGTGACGATACAGTTATTGGAGATCACTTTTCAAACAGTATCATTTCTTTATAGCACACATAACTATTATCTTCTTTACTACCATGATTGAAATAAGACACACGTAGAGATCATTTCATATACAAACCATTTTATCAACAGAAATCTGGAATACTACAGAACCTGGTAACTGTACTTGAAAAGCTCTTCTACTCCCACTTTCAAGTGATGAAGCAATTTTAATAACAAAAGTAAAGATTCTGTTGATTTTTTTTTTTTTTTTTTTTTTTGGTGAGGAAGATCAGCCCTGAGCTAACATCTGTGCCAATCTTCCTCTATTTTGTATGTGGGACGCTGCCACAGCATGGCTTGACAAGTAGTGTGCAGGTCTGTGTCCAGGATCCGAACCTACGAACCCTGGGCTGCCGAAGCACAGCCCGCGAACTCAACCACTGTGCCACTGCGCTGGCCCCTGCTGATTTTTATTTTTAAGAAAAAGATGAAGCCTGATTTGATGTTTACAAAATATAAGAGTAAAACTTGCTTCTCAGTTTTATCAGTGTTATTTCTTATAATTATGATATATAATTATAATTCTTATAATATTTATCTTTTTCCTGAGGTGGATTTAGTGTTTCAAGTCTCTGCTACTCATCTGTGTCTCTAAAACTAACAGTGTTGGAGCTGTGATCTTTTGATAGTAAGGAAATGAAATTTTAAACTATGATTAGCCTGTCAGGTTGATTTAAATGCAGTAAATCAGTGTGTTATTAGGGAAATGAAAACCAAACTCCAGTAGTTTCTTATTACCTACTACTAATAATACAAATTCTTCAATCTGGCATTCAGGACTCTCACTCCATTTAGTAACATACCCACCAGAGGATCTTTTCTCTAGCAAGATCTCTTCAGTTATTATACATTAATTCCTTACTTCAAGCCTTTCCAAAGATCTCAACCTGCGGAGATTTTCTTCTTAGAAAAGGTCTTTTTTAGAATCTTATTTTTCTCTAAAATTGAGACTTTTCCCTTGATGTACATGTGTAATCGATACTTCTTTTGCATTTATCAACTATGACTCGCATCATTTTTTTGGACAATGTTTTTCAGAGGCACATAGAAGCTAATATTCCCTAAGCTCTTACCACATACTACACATGCCCTGTGAAGGACTTTCTACACACAGTGTTTCTCAATTACTCCTCACAACAATTTTATGGATTAAGAACGATTATAATTCTCATTCTACAGTTGACAAGCTGAGGCATGGAAGTGAAGTAACTTTCCCAAGGCGATGGAGCCAGTAAGTTGTGGAGCTGGATTTGAATCCTTATCTTTCTGATTCTACAGTAGTTTGCACTCTCAACTACTAGGCATGCAGCCCACGAGAACTGGAAGGGGCCTCAGAAATCCTGGCGTCCAAGCCACTAATCTTACAAATGAGAAAACTGAGGCCCTCGGAGGTTAAGTGATGGCTTCTTATTGGCTGAGCCTGGATACCTGACTTGTAATTTAGTGCTTCTGCTACACCACATTTCCCTGCTCTACAGCAACAGGATCTAGGAAGGAGACAAGGGAAGAGCACAGAGATTTAAGAGAGTATGAGTACACATATAAAAGAAATTACCTGAGATGGCAAAAACTAAGCTGTGAAAAGTTAAAGATGGAGGCAAAGAGGAAAGCACAGCATATGAGAGAATAAAAGCGGCAGTGAGGAAGACATGAGAACTGATGGTTCCCCCAAGCCAATCCCCAGAGGCTATGCTGGCCCATCACAGCTTTGTTACTCCTTGGTGTCACCATGCTCCTTCAAGTTGTATGACCTTTTCACCTATGAATATGTTTCTCAATGGGAGAGCCAGTGACATTTCAGGTAATTTTTTTGTTGTACGAGATGTCCTGCACATTTTTAGTAGTTAAGCCTTAATGCTTGCCAGTAACACCAGGAGTCATTTTGATACCCAATTCCCACAATACATAAGTACATTTTCAAATATCCCCTGGGGACTGATGCTATTCCCCGTTGAGAAACACTGGTCTACCTTATACTTTAATGAAATTTAAAAATATAGTACGTTAAGACAGCAAAAACTTAAGCTGCTCTATTGTTTTCTTCCTCTTCACATTTTTTTTCTTATATTGGTTCCAAATCTTTGAAGTATTCACAAAATTCTTTTACTATTTAAATTCCTAGGCATTAAAAAATAAGTTTTGAAAGAATAAATTATGTTTATAATTTTCTTAAGGTATGGATTAAATTACTTAACTCCCTTAGACAAGGTTTTTAAAAAAAATTTTATTTATTTATTTATTTTCAAGATTTTATTTTTCCTTTTTCTCCCCAAAGCCCCCCATACATAGTTGTGTATTTTTAGTTGTGGGTCCTTCCAGTTGTGGCATGTGGGATGCTGCCTCAGCATGTTCTGATGAGCAGGGCCATGTCCACGCCCAGGATTCAAACTGGCAAAACCCCGGGCCGCGGAAGTGGAGGGCGCGAACTTAACCACTGGGCCACGGGGCTGGCCCCCTAGACAAGGTTTAAGATAATACTGAAGCTGGGAAAAAACTTCCTTAAATTTTTACTAACCTTTGCCAACATTTATCTTAGCACTCCTAGTCAGTAGATTCTCAGTTAAAGTTTTCAAGATAAGAGGAGGAGAGCAGAGTGGTAGGGTAAGATTTTTAACTGGGATATATGCAATAAAGAATGAGACATGAGTGAGTCCAGTACCATGTACTAGTCTGGGAGGAGCAACATGGGGAAGTGGTTAAAAGCATGGACTTTAGAGTTAGTTGTGACTGAGTTTGAATATAAGGCCTGTCACTTAATAGTGAGTGACTGTGAATATAAATGGCAAACTCCTAGGTCTGAGGGCACAGGCTCAGATAAGGAAAGATTCTCCTAGTGCTGGCAGAGCAAGAATTTCTAAAAAGAAGTCAAAACAAAAATTCTGGATTAAGGTCTGGTAGGCAGACTTTTTGGTCCCTATGATCTTCACCTCCTGGTGTTACTCGAGCGAACGTGTCACATGTCAAAAAGGACTTTGCAAATGAAATTAAGGTTACTAATTGGTTGACCTTAAAATGGGGAGATTATCTAGGTGGGCCTAATGCAATCATGGGAGCGCTTAAAAGCAGAAGAGGGTGGGGGTGGGGATTGGCGGGAGAGGGAAGTGGAGGAAGGTGGCAAAAGGTACAAACTTCCAGTTATAAGATAAATAAGTACTGGGGATGTAACATACAACTTGATGACTACAGTTAACACTGCTGTATGATATACACGAAAGCTATTACAAGAGTAGATCCTAAGAGTTCTCATCACAAGGAGGAATTTTTTTTCTTTTTATTGTGTCTATCTGTGATGACAGATGTTAACCAAACCTAGTGTGGTAATCATTTCACAATTTATATAAATCAAACCATCGTGCCCTACATCATAAATTTATACAGTGATGTAGGTCAATTATTTCTCAATAAAACTGGAAAAAAAGTTGAAGAGGAAAGCAAGAGGGTTTGTGAAATGCAAAAGAAAGGGAAATCTGAGAGATTCAACATGTGAGAAGGATTTGGTTAGCCACTGCTGGCTTGAAGATGGAGGGAGCCACGAACCAATGAATGTGGGGGAACTCGAGAAGCTAAAAACGTTACCCAACTGACAGCCAGCAAGGTAATGGGGATCTCAGTTCTGTAACTGCATGGCACTGAATTTTCCCAACAACCTGTATGAGCCTAGAAGTGGGTTCTCCTCCATGGTCTTCAGACAAATTCCAGGACAGCCAACACCTTGACTTCAGCCTTGTGAGACCCGAAGCAGAGAATCAAGGCAAGCCTGCTCAGACTTCTATCCTATTAATGGGTGGGTTTTAAGCTGCTAAATCTGTGGTAATTTGTAATATAAGCATTAGAAAACGAATACATAAGCTAACTGAACCCAAAAAAAGCTGGCTTTCACTTTGAGGGTTCCTACTAAATCTTGGAGATCTTGAGCTTTACTTATGATGGATGCAGGAGGCAAGAGGGACAGGAGATAAAGCGTAGGTCCTCCCAGAGTGGGGAAATGCAATAGGAAACCCCCGCGTGAAACTGGAATCTCAAAAGACCACACCGTCAATATAGCCACACATGGCAATAAAAAGCCTTTCTGAGATAAATTTCAAAGATATGAAATTTAACTAAATCCCATGAACTAACTCATAAGACTACAAAAGACCATGTTATAAGATTTCTTTTAGTATTTTCCCCATATTTTCTTTATCCATCTATACCTTAGTCCCCTAAAGAATTTTAATATCTTGTCCGGTGTAAGTAAAGAACTATGTCTGATGCTTTCTACATAGTAAATTTACCGTTGTTTATGAATAGGCATATCAAGTCTACTGCTTTAAGACTTCACAGAAACAGAGAGGAAGCAAAGAACCAAAGGCTGGGAATTTTTCAACTATTGTGATACAGTTTATGGCAAGAAACTTTCTGGAATTCAAGTACAAGAAGTAGGGCTCTAGATGGTGAAGCTAATTTTAGAAATATTCTGTGAGGCACTAAGTGTAGTGAAAAGATCATATTAATTGAGATAGGAATGAGGATACATATTGTTGTCTTTATCTCTCTGTTACCTAATCAAAAGTTCAGGTAAAAAAAATTTCAGGACTTCCGAAATTCATTTAGCCCTCTTTATGCATAAAGCCAGATATATCACCATAAAATCTCATTACTAATAGGCATCTTCAAATCAAATAATTGTAGTGGTAATAGTTTAGGCAATCTGAATTTAGAATCAATAAATCAATTTTACTACTTTTTCTATTACATGAGCACAAAGACACATTGTCACTCAGCTCTAAATACATGCTATCTAAAACACATAGTATCTAAACATCTTCGTTGTACAAAGATCTGCGCAAAACCAAAATCATTTCATGCTCTTATTATTGAGTTTTAGGACAAAAACTAGTAAGTAGAATTGGTCTTTCAGACCTGTTTTGATATAAATATCTTCTCATGTCTTCTGTTTTTTGAAACTCCCTCATGGGTACAGGCTTTATTGGTGAACCCTAGGGCAAAAAAAGCAGAAATAAATCAATTTAACATATGTATCCAGGATACAATGATTCCACAGTTCACATTCAACTTGGCATTTAGGGATCTGTATATTATACTAAAAAATATTTTAACAGACTCTTCAAATGTGAATGTTTATGTTTAAAAGCATTATCGGCTATATTACCGCTTTGGTAAACAAAAACACTCATAATGACCATAAAGTGATATGTACTACATGGTAAGATGTCAGAGCTGGAAAGGATCGTGGAGGTCGTCTAGTACAAACTTCCATCAAGAACAGGAATTCCTACCTACCCTATCCTGATTTTGCTAAGCTTCTCTTGCATATTCCCAAAAACAGAAAGTTCATTGGGCAGATTACATTTCTTTACTTCTTTATTATCACAAATTGTTGCTTCTGTTAGTCATACAAATAGTCCTGGGGATGTTGGTAAAATATCAAGATAAAGCAAAAAGTAATTTTTATTTATGGTAAAACACGTTATCAATTAAAAGAGAAATATTATTGGCAATTTAATTTACTTATAAACTAAAGGGTAAAGGTCATTTCAAAAAACACTACTGAGGCAAATTAAACCGGCTTAAACGATATTGACCACATACTGAAAAATAAAATTATAAATCAAAAGTAGAGGCTTATAGGTTATCATAGCATATATTTTGTCAAATGAGAATCCATAGAAAGAAATACAACCTTATTTAAACACCAAAAATAATCATCAAAATGGTATTCTTGAAGGGAAAAATAAGAAAATAACTTATCCAAAAAAGATATCAAAATCAAATGTAAACAATTTATAGTCTACCTCCAAGAAACAGGTACATCACACATAACTAGAAAATCTTTGGTGAGTTACTTCAAGGGGTAAAGCTAACTCCCTTAAAGTGTGGGCATGAGAATCATATAAAATGAGATGCAATTCTAGAATCCTGATGAGAGAACAATTATTCTAATTTCAGTGAATATAGCTTTTTTAAATAAAAGTCTCTCCTAGTATGTTAACATGAGTGACTTACCACCCTGGTTTTACAATACTGCAATTATTTAAAATTATTGCAAGAGGTACTTGAAATTTTCATGACAAAATGAATGTGACATTGGTTTAATTTTTAAAATAAATACAAGTCATAACCTATTTTATCATAATACCTCTAGGTATGTAACAGGTATTATAATAAAATTAAACAATAGCAGAGTGTTTAAAATCTCAAATAGATTAGTTTCTAAACAACTCATTTTTCGTGTTCAAGAATATAAAAAAATATTTATTTGCTGTTCCATCTAAAATACTGTTCATCATATTTTTATAGATAATATATTTTAGAAAGCCTGATGACACAGAACCATATAGACTACCATATATAATAGGTAGCTGGAATTTAGAAAACAAAATAGCCAATATGATAGATTAAAGAAATAGTACTAAAATTTTTCACCAGTCATATAACAGCCATTTTCACTTTTAATAGAAATACCTCATCTATTTAGCCTAATTAACCATAAACTGATCAAAGAGAAAGATCACAATAAAAGAAAAAGGATTCCCTTTAAGATTATAATGCGCATTGTTAACTTAAATTTTACTGGAGAGTAGTTGCCCTTTGCTCCATCAGGGATGTTATGGCCTGAATCATATGTAGTTTCATTAATCACCTGGTACACTGCTCTCTCTGGGCTGCAAGGCTTTGATCTGTATAACTTTATCCAACTTTAAATACAAGAGTCTCTTCTGAACACCAACAAAAAATACTGTGTTCAAAAGCCTTCAGATAGGAAAACCGAAGGATTTTTTTTAAAGAATGGTAATATCACTCTATAACATGTCCCACTTGAAGCGATTATTCTTTATTTCTAAAAGGCTAAATACATCATTCTTCAAAAAGGCCCCAAGTGTTTCTCAAATAACCCCTGCTCAGAGCCTGGGACCAACTCCAGACATTAACATCACACACACTGAAGTGGAGCCATTTTATTATGCTGACTAGATATATTGAAGAATGCTATTTCTACTTGAGACCCTTGGGGAATTGGCAGAAATTGTGCAGTGGGCTGAATGCTCATTTGTTTTCTAAGGCAACTCAATGCTCCACTACAAGAGACACCCAAGAATTTTAATGGCAAACAATTTGTATTCTGTGTGACTTAGCATAAAAGCTCCAATATAATTAAACTCATTATAAAAATTCTACAGTTGTTTGTATGTTGCTCCAAAAGTCAGCAGTTTGGTTCAATTCTTAATTATTGATCAAGCTATGATACATCAGTTAGTAACAATAAAAAAGCACTAAGAACAACAATAAAAAGCATCATATTCCTTTGCATTTTCTTCAAAGACACAGGATACTCTCAGGACTCCTTTTATTCTGTCTTCAAAATTCTGAAATGTCTTTTTATTTGAAAAATAAACCTAAAGCCTACTTAAGACTACTGTCTGATTTTTAAAATCTGAAAAATTCAGTAATAAAACTGGAACTAAACATAATAAAACAAATAATTAGGCCTAAACAAACAAATCACTGATACGACAGAAATTTATACTATCATGAATTGTTTTTACTAGAGGATGAAACATATTTAGGCTTAAATGTGTTTCCTACCTCATGAGAGATTCGCCGTTGTTCAATATACGCCATGAACTGTGAACTGAGGCTGTCTGCGTCCAGGCCCTTGGGCTGTCTCACCTCGTCCTCCTCTTCCTCTGCAGCACAGCTGTCAATGTAGTCAATCTGATCCAGATCATGTTCCACTGTCCGCACCATACACACACCAGAAAATAATATCCAAGTCAGACAGCCAAGAAAACATATTAAATTGCATTCTTTCCTTTTCCCTAACATTTTCTATTCTGGAAGTAGGAGGAATGAGGAGTTTAAATTATGTACGCCTTTATTGTTTGGTCCACGGCCACTCACAAAAATAGGCTCCAAAAAAGTCTTAGTCCTAATTCACTAAAAAATGCAGTACATGATGGTAATTATTGGAATATAGACTGCAATATTTCTTTTTTCTTTGGATAGCTCTTTACTGTTTTAAACAAGACAGTTTGAGTTTATGAGACAAAGAGAGGAAGAAAAGTTTTTAAACATTGAAAGGTACATCTTCTTTTAGGTTTTTCCCCACGTTTTACATTTGGGGCTCAATCATATCTCTTCAAAGAACTGGGAGGCAGAAAATCTAACAGTCAATTCAAAAGAAAAGTGAAAGGGTAGGAGGATAGTGAACTTGGAGATAAAGAAATAGATACTAACTACTGTTTCCCTTCCTGTAACTGTTGTCCACAACTAGAACAAACAAAGATTTTCCTATTTAGAAAATTATTTTCTAGAGGTCAGCATTATAGGTATTTTGAAGCAGTTTGTGGTTTGAAGGAAATCAACTGAGGAGTTTTTTCTTCTCAAAAATGCTGTGACTGAGGAGAAACATATTAATAAGATAGAGCCACATCAGTATTTCCTCTAGTAAGTTTGGGAATGCCCCATTATTTTTCATGTTTAAAAAGTAACTATTTTTGGGGGCTGACCCCGTGGCCAAGTGGTTAAGTTTGCATGCTCTGCTTCGGCAGCCCAGGGTTTCGCCGGTTCGAATCCTGGGTATGACATGGCACCGCTCACCATGCCATGCTGAGGCAGCGTCCTGCATGCCACAACTGGAAGGACCCACAACTAAAAAGACACAGCTATGTACTAGGGGTCTTTGTTGAGAAAAAGTAAAAAGAAAATTTAAAAAAAGTAACTATTTTTAAAAGATACTTAAAATGGCACAGTAGAAAAAATAATTTGCTACTAAGATGATTTCTCCAGAGATGTATTAAACCCTAGCCATCACTGTATCTTGTTCTATAGACTACCTACAAGCTGCACTTGCTGGGAAAATTGAACTTGGAAAAAGCTACTTCTCAGTTTGGTTTTCTGATTCAATTATTTCTAAATAATTCCATAACTGCAACTAATATAAAAATGAATTTTGAGTTATTAAATAATAGGTAAAAGGATAAAAAGTTTATGAAAGAAACTAGGTACATAAATGCATTTTTTTCAACGTGCTACAACTTGTGTGACTAAATAAATGGTTCATTTTACGACTACTTTCCAAGAAAGTAACATCACTTTTTCATACTATCTAAACCAGGGCTGTCTAAGAGAAATAGAACGCAAGCCACAAAAGTGAACCACATATGTAATTTTAAATTATCTAGTAGCCACATTTTTTTTAAGTTAAAAGAAAAGATGACTAATTTTAATAATGTAGTTTATTTTATCCAATAGATCTAAAATATTATTACAACATATAATCAATATAAAGTCTTATTGATATGTTATATTCTTTTTTTCATGCAAAGGCTTCAAAATTCTATGTGTATTTTATATTTATAGTACATCTCAATTCAGAAAAGCCACATTTCAAATGCTCAATAACCACATGTGGCTAGTGGCTACCATACTGGACAGCACAGATCTAGATATTACTGTTAGTCTCAAAAGAACTGATGGGAAACATATCTCATATGAAAGCAAGATTGAAAAGAAAACTACTGAAATGTGAATGGAATGGTAAGTGATAGGAGTTAAAAAGGATATAGGATGGTAAGGAACAAAAAGACAGCAATTTCACTTAATTGAAATCATCATTCAGAGATGAAAGCTCTTCTCAGATAATATAATGGATTTCTGAAAAACCAAAGTCATTTCTCTCTTACAGCTGGCCCTTAAAATTTAAACATTAGGATCTGGTAATCTAAACTAAAGCAATACTGAATGAAATGCTAAAATCAAGAGTTTGCCTCAGAAGCACAAAGAAGCAGAAAGAGATCTGTCTGTTAATAAACTATAAAAACAATTACAAATTAACAAAATTTTTTATTAATATCAATTACAAATTTTTAAATACCAGATTAAGAAAACTCAGATTCAGATGCCCTTGAAGAGTACAATTCCAGATGAAAGAAAAGGTAAACATCAAGAAATGCACTGAATTCCTGAAAGAGGTCAATTAATGACCACAGAGAGAATCTTATAAAAGGAGAATAGTATAGTCATGTGCCACGTAATAATGTTTTGGTGAATGATGGACCACATATATGATGGTGGTTCTGTAACATTAGTCCCATACAGCCTAGGTATGTAGTAGGCCGTACTATCTAGGTTTGTGTAAGTACTGCGGGGAAGGAAGAAACTTCCCCCTAGCCTTCTAGGTTCTTCTGGCTGGTCTAAGAATTAAACTGACATAAAACAGATTAACAGAAAAACAGACAAAAGTTTAATAACATATATACATGGGAGAAACCCAGGAAAACTGAGTAACTCACCAAAACGGCCGAAGCCTTCACCTTAAATACCATACTCACCCAAAGACAACAGAAGACGTTGGGGGTGCAGAGAGTCAGGAACTTCAAAGGGAAGGCAGGCAATTCACAGGAAGGTGAAAAGGACCCAACATTTGGAAAATGACTGGCCACAAAGAAACAGAAGAACACAGAGAAGAACCAAACAAAAGGCTTTTCTAGGTTCCTACCAGTCTACCACCTAGTTGATGTTATGCTAAGGTGATAGGTCACTTCCTGAGACAGGTTTTCTTCTCTGAATTCTTTTAGGCAGTTAAGGGGGAGCTATCAAGAGAAACTTTCTGAGTCTTTTAAAAATATAATCAGCCTAAAATAATCCTCATGTTAAAGAGACACGTTTTGGGGTGGCAAACTTTGTTCCCCTTCAGTACATTCTATGATATTTGCACAATGACGAAATTCGCCCAATGATGCATTTCTCAGGATGTATCCCTGTAGTTAAGTGAAACATGAGTGTCCTTCAAAAGAAGACTGTGGTTAAATCCAGATTAACAAAGATCTATTCCAGGTGAACTGTCTTTAATAAAGTTTCTTTCCAAAATAAAAATAAGAGAGAAATGTATTTGGACTGCAAGCCTGAAAACAGAAACTGATATCCCAATGGAAAATAATTTTTTCCACTCATATGAGAAGAGCAAGTCTTTAAAAGAAGAGTTGAAGAAGCTACAGGTACACAAACAAAAGGAGTGGATGTGAAAGAGACCACTTAAAGAAGTTATAGTGATTATAAAGACTTTGGATGTCATCAGGAACTACGTTTACCTCCACCATTTGTTACTACTAAACTGCTGCGATTCTCTTGGTACTGGCTTTCTCTTCGTAGTCTTTGTTCTTTTGTAATTTCTGCAACTCGAAGAGGCAGATCTGAAAACTCATCTGTAGGCTTAAAAAAAAGTAGCAGAAATATTTTAAAAAATCATTTCAGATGTTTTTTCATTATTTCAGATCATCATTTCACATTTAATATAAACTCAATAAAATTTACATTTAGGAAGAAACAGCAAAAAAGTCTGGAGATGCAGTGTGGTGACAGTTTCTCAACAATGTGAATGTACTTAATGTCACTGAAATGTACATAAAAATGGTTAAAATGGTAAATTTTATGTTATATGTTTTAGCACAATTAAAAAAAAAGAAATAGAAGCATATATATGACCCTATAAAATTTACATATGTACATGAATGTAAAGTATCCACATATATGTATCTGTACGAATACAACCACAACTACGTACATACCCCCACACATAAATACACAAACTATTCCAAATTCCAAATGTGCTGTGGTCTAAAACTGATTTGCTCTGGACTCCCAATGAACCAAGTTATAAATGGTAGGTTAGCAGTCTTGCTAACAAAAGCTTATTTAATCGTTTAACCCAATTTGTTGTATAAAATATTATACCTTAGTAATTAAAAAAAAAAGAAAACATACTACCACTAATAATTAAAAGAGAAAAATGATATAATTAGCTAAGGAAGTTACTTCTTTATTTTGAGCATGTGGATATTCTTCACTAAGGTTCTCTCATTGCCCATCAACCTATAGTCCTGTTTTCTCACCTTCCAGCACCCTTCTACCACCTCTGCTCAAGATCTCCCATCCCCCCAAATTTCAGGCTTCAGTTGTAACTGATTCACTTCTGAATTCCCTTTCCAGAATATAAAACTATTTATACAAGACAATGAGGTAACAAACATGTAAAACACATATGGTAAAAAGACAGTAAAGAAACATAATACCACTTTTGATGGTAGGAATATGCAGGATTTTTCTCCCTCCTTTGGCTTTTCTATATTTATGTAATAAGAAATTGAATCCAATTAAGACAGTTTGCATTTTCATCATTTTATTTTCTCTTAATCAGGAGTTATAATACACAAAATGGACTAAACACTTACTTCATTCCCTGACCATCTCTTATCACCACTGTCCACACTATTGAAACCTGAATCAAGGGCTCCATAAGGGCGACTTGAGTACAGTTCTTCATGGCTGCCAAAAAGAAACTTTAGTTGTTACTGCAAAGTTTGATATTTTACAAATTAACATTTGAAATAAATCAGATGCAATTTTACCAAAACATTTTCATGGCATTTAGGGACTTTATTTAGAACTAAATGGGAATTCTTTTAACTTTTTAATATGAGAAATTCCAAATTAAAACAAGGTAAATAGTATAACAAGCCCTTTAAGGGTCCAGTTTATTTATTACTTTTGAGAGGGAAAAATAAAAAACTGAACATACTTACCAGGAGCCAAAACCCAAGGGTCTCCTATCATAATCTGGCAGATCTGGAGCAATCTTACAAGCTTGTATGTTCAGGTATTTAAATATGTGAATTTTGCCTTTTATACATATCTAAAGAAAGTAACATTAAAATGCAATCAAATTATTACTCATCTGAAAAATATGCATCCCTTTTTCATAACAATCAGCTTTTTCCTTACTGTATATTAGAAATAGAAGGCATTTCTATTATAAAGTACATACAGTAATATTAAAAATCTAATACTCGAGCATCATGGTGGAGTGAGCTCTTCACTTAGACTCTCCTCCCTAAGATACAAGAAAAAGGACATTCATAAACCAACACAGGACATTCACACAACAGAAAAAACATCAGAGAGACCCACACAGTCATATGTCTGAAGGTGGAAGTGCTATGCCACCTGGAGGAAGTGGAAGGAGATAAGGGGATCTCCTTTCCCTCTCCCAATGGCAGCAACCCAGGGCATGGGACCACGCGTGGCTCTGAGAGGAGAGGGACAGCTCTCTTCAGGGACACCTTTGCTCTCCAAGTTCCCTCACAGCCCATGGGAAAGTTTCAGCATACCAGGAGAGCAGACAGCAAGGGCAGAGCGACTATGTCCCTGGGATCATGCAGGCAAAAGTAAGCACCCCTCCCTCTGCCTGGTGCTCCAGTTAAGCCAGTTGGCTAGAGTACCTGATTAGAAAAGCAGCAGCTGTGAGCAAGCAAGGTGGGGATCGCAGCAGGCTCAGAAGACACAGCTCCTGACACCCACCCAGGGGCAGCAGGTGGGAGATGTGACCAGATACTACCACTATGCGGAGGCACAAATACACGCCATCAAACAGTATGAAGAAATATATTAATACTCCAGACCAAAAGGAAAATGACAAGCCAGCAGAAATTAATCCTGAAGGCACAGAAATTTATAATCTAAATGACAGAGAATTTAAAATAGCTATCATAAAAAAACTCAACAAGTTACAAGAAAATACAGATAGACAGGTCATGAAATCAGGAACGAAATTAATGAACAGAGGGAATTCTTCCCAAAAGAGACTGAAACTATAAAGAAAAACCAATCAGAAATGTTGGAGATGAAAAACACAATGGATGAGATAAAGAAAGACCTGGACCAAATAACAGAACTGATATTACGGAGGAGAGAAGTAGAAGTATGGAGGACAGAAATATAGAAATGCTTCAGATGGGGGAGGAGAGAGAACTAAGACTAAAAAAGAAATAAAGAAATTCTCCGAGAAATATCCAACTCAATTAGGAAATGCAAAATAAGGATTATAGGTATTCAAGACGGAGCAGAGAAAGAGAATGGAGCAGAAAGCTTGTTGAAAGAAATAATAGCAGAGAATTTCCCAAACCTGGGAAAAGAGCTGGAAATACATGCGAAAGAAGTCAATAGAACTCCTAATTATATCAACCTGTAAAAAGATCTTCTCCAAGGCATACAGTAGTAAAGATGGCAAAACTCAATGAAAAGAAAAAACATTAAGGGAAGGAGGCAGAAGAAAATAACTTACAAAGGAACCCCTATCAGGCTTTCAGTGGATTTCTCAGCAGAAACATTACAGGCTAGGAGACAGTGGAATGATATATTCAAAAGTCTGGAAGACAAAAACATCCAGCCAAGAATACTTTATCCAGCAAAAATATCCTTCAGATACGATGGAGAAATAAAAACTTGCCCAGATAAACAAAATATAAGGGAGTTCATAGCCACAAGAACTCTCCCTACAAGAAATGCTCAAGAAGGCCCTAATACCCAAAACAAAAAGAAAAGGGGTTACAAAGCCTTGAGGAAGGAGATGAATAGGTAGACAAAATCATAAAATTGCAGCTTTCTATCAGAACAAGTTAGCAATACTTAATTATAACATTAAAGATAAAGGGAAAGAAAGCATCAAAAATAAATATAATCTCGTCATTTTAACCACAAACTTACAACACAAGATGGAATAAATTGTAACAATAACTTAGAAGGGGAAGAGAAAAGAGATGGAATCGGCTTAGTCTAAGGAAATAAGAGGCTATGAGAAAATGGACTATCACATCTATGAGATTTTTTTATACAAACCTCATGGTAACCACTAAAGAAATAATTAGAACAGAGACACAAATGATAAACAATGAGAAAACTACCACAGAGAATTACCATGCTGAATTGGTAGTCCAAAATACATGGGACAAGAAACAAGGGAAATGCAGAAACACCGGAAAATGAGTGAGAAAATGGCAGCATTAAGCCCTCATATATCAATAATAACTCTAAATGTAAATGGATTGAATTATCGAATCAAAAGACACAGAATAGCTAGATGGATTAAAAAACAAGAATGAACAACATGCTGCCTTCAGGAAACACATCTCAGCTCTAAAGGCAAATAGAAGTGCAGAGTGAAAGAATGGAAGACGCTACTCCAAGCTAATGGCAAACAAAAGAAAGCAGGTGTTGCCATACTTATATCAGACAAAGCAGACTTCAAGATAAAACAGGTAATGAGAGACAAAGAGGGGCAGTGTATAATCATAAAAGGGACATTCCACCAAGAAGACAAAACACATATAAATACATGTACCTAACACAAGAGCACCAAAGTACATAAAGCACCTACTAACAAACCTAAAAGGAGATATGAACAAGAAAACAGTAATAGGAGGGGACTTTAACACCCCACTTACATCAACGGATAGATCATGCAGATAGGAAGTCAACAAGGAAAGTGTGGACTTAAATGTAAAACTAGATGAGATAGACTTAATAGATGCATATAGAATATTCCATCCAAAAACAGCAGAATACACTCCTCAAGTGCACATGGAACATTCCCAAAGATAGCATATACTGGCAAACAAGGCAAGCCTCAACAAATTTAAGAAGATTGAAATCATATCAAGCATCTTTTCCTACCATAATGCTATGAAACTAGAAATCAACTACAAGAAAAAAGCTGGGAAAGGTCACAAATGTGTGGAGACTAAACAACATGCTACTGAACAACCAATGGATCACTGAAGAAATTAAAGGAGAAATCAAAAAATATCTGGAGAGAAATGAAAATTAAAATACACCATACCAACTCATATGGGATGCAGCAAAAGCAGTTGTAAGAGGGAAACTCATAGCAATACAGACCCACCTTAACAAACAAGAAAAGTCTCAAATAAGCAAGTGTAAACTACACCTAACAGAACTAGAAAAAGAAGAACAAACAAAGCCCAAAGTTAATAAAAAGAGGGAAATAATAAAAATTAGAGCAGAAATAAATGAAATTGAAACCAAAAAAGGGTAGAAAAGATCAATGAAATAAAGAGCCAGTACTTTGAGAAGATAAACAAAATTGACAAACCCTTAGCGAGACTCACTAAAAAAGAAAGAGAGAAGCCTCAATTAAATAAAGTTAGAAATGAAACAGGAGAAATTACAATGGAGACCACAGAAATACAAAGGATTATAAGAGAATACTAAGAAAAACTATATGTCAAGAAATTGGATAACCTAGAAGAAATAGATGAATTCTTAGACTCATACAACCTCCGAAAATTGAAACAAGAAGAAATAGAGAATTGGAATAGACTAATCACAAGCAAAGAGATTGAAAAACTAATCAAAAACATCCCCCCAAATAAAAGTCTAGGACCATATAGCTTCTCTGGAGAATTCTACCAAACATTCAAAGAAGATTTACTACCTATCCTTCTCAAACTATTCCAAAAACCTGAAGAAGGCAGAACACTTCCTAACTCATTCTATGAAGCCAACATCACCCTGATCCCAAAACCAGACAAGGACAACACAAAGAAGGAAAATTACAGGGCAATCTCGCTGATGAACAACATATGCAGAAATCCTAAAAAAAAATACTGGCAAACTGAATACAACAACACATTAAAAAGACCATACACCACGATCAAGTGGGATTTATACCAGGGATGCAGGGATGGTACAACATATGCAAATGAATCAATGTGATACACCAAACTAACAAAATGAGGAAGAAGAATCACATGATCATCTCAAAAGACACAGAGAAAGCATCCCACAAGATCCAATATCCATTTATGATAAAAACTCTCAACAAAATGGATAGAGAAGGAAGTACTTCAATATAATAAAGGCCATATATGAGAAAGCCACAGCCAACATCACAGTGAATGGGGAGAAACTGAAAGCCATCCCTCTGAGAACAAGAACAAGCCAAGGGTGCCCACTCTTGCCACTCTCATTCAACATAGTACTAGAGGTTTTGGCCAGAGCAATTAAGGAAGAAAAAGAAATAAAAGTAGTACAAATATGCAATGAAGAAGTGAAACTCTCACTGTTTGCAGACAACATGATTTTATATATAGAAAACCCTAAAGAATCCGTCAGAAAACTATTAGAAATAATCAATAACTACAGCAAAGTTGCAGGGGTACAAAATCAACTTACGAAAACCATTTGCATTTCTATACTCTAATAACAAACTAACAGAAAGAGAACTCAAGAACAAAATCCTATTTACAATCACAATAAAAAGAATAAAATATCTGGGAATAAATTTAACCAAGGAGGCGAGGCACCTATACGATGAAAACTATAAGACATTATTGAAAGAAATCAATGACATAAAGAGATGGAAAAATACTCCATGCACATGGATTGGAAGAATAAATATAGTTAAAATGTCCATACTACTAAAGTAATCTATAGATTCAACGCAATCTCACTCAGAATCCCACTGACATTCCTCATGGAAATAGCCAAAAGAATCCTAAAATTCATATGGGGCAACAAAAGACCCCCAAATAGGTAAAGCAATCCTGAGAAAGAAGAACAAAGCTGGAGGGATCACAATCCCTGACTTTGAAATATACTACAAAGCTATAGTGATCAAAACAGCATGGTACTGGTACAAAAACAGACAACAGTACAAACAGATCAACAGAACAGAACTGAAAGCCCAGAAATAAAACCACACATCTATGTATAGCTAATCTTTGACAAAGGAGCTAAGAACATACAATGGAGAAAGGAAAGTCTTTTCAATAAATGGTGTTGGGAAAACTGGACACCCACATGTGAAAGAATCAAAGTAGACCATTATCTTTCGCCATACACAAAAATTAACTCAAAATGGATCAATAAGTTGAAGGTAAGACCCGAAACCATAAAACTCCTAGAAGAAGATATAGGAGTATACTCTTTGACATCAGATATAGAAAGATCTTCTCGAATACCATGTCTACTAGGACAAGAAAAACAAAAGAAAAAATAAACAAGTGGGACTTCAACGGACTTAAGAGCTTCTCCAAGGCAAAGGAAACCAGGAACAAAACAAAGACAAGCCACCAACTGGGAGAACATATTTGCAAATATATCCCACAAGGTGTTAATCTCCAAAATATATAAAAAACTCACACAACTGAACAACAAAAAACCAAACAACCCGATCAAAACATGGGCAGAGGGTATGAACAAACATTTCTCCAAAGAAGGTATACAGATGGCGAACAAGGACGTGAAAAGATGTTCAACATCACTAATCATCAGGGAAATGCACACGAAAACACTAAGATATCACCTTACACCTGTTAGAATGGTTATAATCACCATGACAAAAAATAACAAATGTTGGAGAGAATGTGGAGAAAAGGAAACCCCCATACTCTGCTGGTGGGAATGCAAACTGGTGCAGCCACTATGGAAAACAGTATGGAGATGTCTCAAAAAATTAAAAATAGAAATACCATATGACCAAGCTATCTCACTACTGGGTATTTACCCAAAGAACTTGAAATCAACAATTCAAAGAGACTTATGCACCCCTATGTTCACTGCAGCCTTATTCACCGTAGCCAAGAAGGGGAAGTAACCCAAGTGCCCATCAACTGATGAATGGATAAAGAAGATGTGGCATATAGACATACAATGGATACTACTCAGCCACAGAGAGAGACAAAATCGCCCCATTCATAACAACATGGATGGACCTGGAGGTATTATGTTAAGCGAAATAAGCCAGACAGAGAAAGATAAACACTGTATTATTTCACTCATATGTGGAAGACAGACTAACACATGGACAAAGAGAAGAGTTTAGTGGTTACCAGGGGGGAAGGCGGTTGAGGGGTGGGTACAAGGGATGAAGAGGCACATTTATATAGTGACTGACATAATAACGTACAACTGAAATTTCACAATCTTATAAACTATTATGACCTCAATAAAATTTTAAAAATCTAATAGTCACTATAACAAATTAGATTATTTGTTATTTTAGGTGTTTAAGTGATTAAAAAAATAGGTTTTTGTTTTCTAGTCACTAATAAGTTTCACTAGCATATAAAGTAATTTACGATTACAAACACTGTTAGAAATACCAAGGAAACTTATCCCACTCATTAATTAGGCACAATCAGGGATTTAGAAACATTGCTCCCCTATAGATTATATTGGCAACTTTTGCTTTTAGGAATCCAATAATCATGCACAATTATGTTTTGAATCCTACTTTCTGTAAGAGAGAAAATCAGGAAATTATTAAATATTAAAGTTATACAGATTTCTGTTTCTACCTGTTAACTTCTGTCCCAGAAGTAAAAACATAAATTCTTTAGGATTATGAGACTCTTCCATAGTTACAAAGCTTACTCATAAAGTTTTATAGTTGCCAGACAGAGGCTTGTACAAGACCATCAATCGACTGCAGAGTAAAAAAAGCTACAGTGATGGTGCAGCCACTATGGAAAGCAGTATGGAGTATCCTCAGAAAATTAAAAATAGATCTACCTCTACCATATGATCCAGCTATCCCACTGCTGGGTATTTATCCAAAGAACTGGAAAACACAAAGGCGTAAAGATACACTCATCCCTATGTTCACTGCAGCATTATACACAATAGCCAAGACTTGGAAGCAACCTAGGCACCCATCAAGGGATGAATGGATAAAGAAGATGTGGTATATATACACAATGGAATACTACTCAGCCATAAGAAATTATGAAATCCGGCCATTTGTGACAACATGAATGGACCTTGAGGGTATTATGCTGAGTGAAATAAGTCAGAGGGAGAAAGTCAAATACTGTATGATCTCACTCATAAGTAGAAGATAAAAACAATGACAAACACACACATAGCAATGGAGACTGGATTGGTGGTAACCAACAGGGAAGGGGGGGAGAGCAAAAGGGGTGATTAGGCTCACATGTGAGGTGATGGACTATAGTTAGTTTTTGGGTGGTGAACATGATGTAATCTACACAGAATTCAAAATATATTACAATGTACATCTGAAAGCTATACGTTATAATCCAGTGTTATTGCAATAAAAAAATAAAAAATCAAAAAAAAGAAAAGGAAAGAAAATACTTAAAAAACTTAAAAAGAAAAGCTACAGTGAAAAATAAGGGCTGGTAAAAATGTTTTAGATTGTAGGATGTCTAGAAGCTATATGTAAAGCTACCTTGTAATTACTTTATTATTAAATAGTTTCATTCCAGTCACTGATAAATGAATGAGTAAAATGACTAAATGAGGAACTTAAGATTTTAGAAAACAGGAAGGTACAAAAACAATGGTCATAAGAAACGCATTGATAATCTTTAGTTCTGAAAACCAAGTATTTTTATTTGTCTCTAGCATGCACATTGTATACATTCAAGTTTTACGAGAAAGAATTAACTCAAATCTTAGAAAAAACTTTAACGAAGAAACTCTCAACTTAAAAAAAAAGTCAGCTTAGTGAAAGGAAAAACACTTCTGGAAACATTATCCATCTTCTATCCCATTTATTCAAGGCTTCCTGTGAATACACGTGTGTAAATTTACTTTAAAAGAACTTAATTTTCAACAAGATAAATGCATATAACTCAAGTTAAATTTCATCCTTTGTCAAAAAAGTTTACAATATACTACCCATCAGCTGTGGTCTACCTGTGCGGGGGGAGACTGTAGTGGATTGTTTTCTAGGGTGATGACCTGTAGGTGCCTGAGGTTCCGATAGCAAACGGGGATCGTCGTGATTTTATTGCAGGAGAAGTCTAACCGTATCAAAGGCAACTCTGCCAGCTCTGCAAGGAGATAAGATGGAAACAAACAATTAACAATAGTTTAAAACTAGACCATTTTTACAGGAGCTTCTAGTTAAATATAGTAGATTTAACATAAGTATTTACCTCCATTCTTTCTTGGTGATTGATACAGCAAAGTGGTATAAAATGAAATCTAGTTGCTTGCAGATGGGAATACTAATGAAAAGTAAGCTGTTTGATCCCTCACAGAACTACAGAAGTCTCAGAAACTGGAGTCCTGATTCCACAGAAAGGTGGGGCTAACAAAGGGATTAGATGATAGTCTGTATAAAGAACAAATTAGATGCCTAGGTCCCCAACCCTAACTCTCGAAGTTAGGGCACTACCCCTCTCCAATCACCACAGTAGTCAGCCAGTTATTCTCTAGTGAAACTGAATGGAAAGGCTCTGACTGCAGGGACCCCAGGGATAAGAGAAAGTTAGGATGAGCTGCCAGTTGAAAATGGAGGATTTAAGGAAATACTTAATGGCAAGACCTCCATACCTTCCTACCCAACCCCACTCCACCCCCAGCTCCTGAATGCCAGTAGTCAGGAATACACACAACAGTGTAGAAGAAATGAAACATCTTTCTCTGGAGAAACTATATAGTCCCATATAAAAAGCCTTTAGATACTGATAAGGAGTTTCCCCCAATAAAGTACCCAGCTTGCTGCTTCATTACCATTATACAATTCCTGCCCAGTAGACCTGGACCTTCTAATCAGCTCTATACAGGCTGTATGATCCAGACATTAGGAAAAGCCGCCAACATGTAAGACAAAAATCAAAACACACAAACTAATCGAAAAAAGGAACTCAGAAGAAACAGGTAATATACAGGAAACAGAAGAAAACTCTGAAAAACCAGAACATCTCTAATTTCAGAGATAAGATAATGAATTACTAAAACAAGACAGGGATGTTTTAAAAAATCAGAATAAAAAGGATTCTTAGAAACGAAAAATATTACGGCAGAAATTAAAAATTCAGAAGAACAGTTAGAACATAAGTGGTTGGAACTGTTTACCATTTGGTAAAACAAAATGACAAAGAAATGAACAATAAAAAGATAAGAAAAATCATAGGGTCAATTAAAGGGGTCTAATATCCAATTAATAAAAATTCCAGAAAGAGAGAATAGCGAAACTAAAAGACAGAAAATTATCAAAAAGATATCAGACAATTTCTCAGAATGAAGGATGTGAATCTCTGGTTTGGAAAGAGGTTCACCAAGTATCTAGTACATTGGACTAAAATAACTCATACCATGGCACATCAACATAACATTTCAGAGCAGTAGAAAAATCTTCCAAAGAGAAAAAAATTGGTCACAAAAAATGGACTAGAATTAGGAACGGCATCAAATTTTCAACCATTAATATTTAACATTGAAAGCTAAAAGTGAAAAAGGACTTGAAAACCTGAGAGAAAATAATTTTCAACCTAGAATACATAACCAAACAAATTACTGATCAAGGGTGAGAATAGAAAAAAGATATTTCTTTCCAAGTGAAGTCTCAAAAAACTGTTTTCCCATGACATGTTCTCAGGAAGCTACTAGAAGATGCCCTCCAGCAAAACAAGGGAGTAAAGTAGGAAAGAGGAATTATCTTTCAGTTATACCTCAATAAAGCTAAAATCAAAAACAACAAGTAAGAAAGAGGAAGACAGGGAGTCCAGGAATAAGAGTACTCAACACAGAAGAAAGCAAGCTGGGCAGCAGTAACAGAGAACCACCGGCCCAGAATGGAAGAGAAGGAAACAAGGCTCAATGAAGGAGATATGCAGGGGGGAAAAAAAGAAAGGTAATCTAATTGGTTTGACTAAGAAGGCTGCTGGAAAAAGACGGAGGAATTAGTCATAGGTACAGAAAAAAAAAGCAAATTAAAAAAAAAGAGAAATTATTAACTCTAGAAAAACAACAACAAGAACAAGATGAATAAGAAAGAAGATGAAATCAGAGTACGTCACTTGCATTGGCAGGGAACATTATTTTTGTAGCTACAACAATGTAAACAATGAATAACGATTTAATCAGAAATTGTGATAAACTACACCAGGAAGATGGAAGGAGGGAAGGAAAGGTATGAGGGTGACAGCGTAAGGAAGTTAAGTTCTCATCTACCATAAGAAAGAGCTGACATAAAGTGCAAAGGCTGATAAATCCAGAAGAGCTGTAAAAGCACATCATTAGAACCATGGCAGCAAATACAAGTGGAAAGAGTCAACGGAGCTGACGGGAGATGCTTCTGGCCATTGAAACTGGGGAGGGGGAATGGTTGAGGCAGGGGAACGCTATTATTTATTTTAAGCTTTTCAATACTGTTTGACTTTTTGAATGTTGTAATATATTATTTGATAAAAACTGAAATTAATTTAAAATCGAAATAGTAAAAGACAAAAGATGTAATATCTTATGGACCAAATTGTAATGTTAGAGACCACCAATTAATTAACATGAACTTCCACACTAACTTGTGTGCATGTTGGAATAAAGCTTTCCTGCCATCTCAGTTTAACTGAATATGCTGAGATTACAAGATAAATTGATAAAAAAATTTGAAACTATTTGTGTGACTCAATTTTCTTGATAATACACATTCAAAACAAGATACAGAAATAAATTAGGTGATAAAACTATTAGATTGCAATTGTCATCTGAAACCCTGAATTTTCATTTTCACCAAAACCCCAATGTTTTCATCAATTGATTTCATATTAAGTCAGTATCATTACATTAGTAAACCTTTCAAGACCAACCACAGTAGGTGGGCCCTGAGTAGAGGGGTAATCCTAGATAGAAATCTTGGGTTATAAGGTCCTATAGTTGTGATTTTGGTCAGTCCTGCTGAAGGCCTTCATTCACATTCCTGAGGTGGGAGAAGGCAGAACCAGGAGGAAATGAGGAAGGCTCTGAAGATAAAAGGTGTAACTTTTACTGGACAAGCCTACTGAGAGGAAAGAAATGTAGGATTTTAGGTAGTGTGGTTGCAATAAGTGTATAAAAGTGGACTGGAAAAGTCACTTTCTGAGACACTTGGGGTCCAAAATGTCAAAGCTACACCAGTATGTTAGAACTAAATATCATACTGGATTCAAATTGGTGTAAAAATTCGGATTCTACAGTGAACCAAAAGCATCACTGGTTAATTCAATATTTATTGTATAAGAGAAGTCACATTTTGTAGAAGAACCTAGAGAATCACTGTCATGAAAATACTTTCTCAAGATTAATTATTCTTGAGATATACATTCTGAAATGCTTATAGATCAATTTCTGGAAGACGTTACAAATTAATTTAGCAGAGAGGATAAGGGAAAGTGGATGGGAGTACAGAGGAAACAAGAGTTCCCATAAGCTGATGCCTGATGTAGCTGGGTGATTCATTGCTCTCCTTTCTGTATGAAATTTTCCATAATAAAATTAAAGAAATATATATTCTGATCTAATAAAATAATGGTTCTCCCCATTTTCACTTCCTCTTGTAGCTTTTTCTTTCATGAATTTGGATTTTTAAAAGATTGACAAATAGTACTTGGTTCATTTGTTTAATCGTTTTTATCATTCAAATATACATATACCAGAGCTTACAGTCAGCCTAAGATAATGAGTCTCCCAGTGCAGTCTCTCACTCCATTCATTATTCACTCTACACATCACCTTCAACCAGTTAATTAGCCTCTATCTGAGTATTTTCAGCCAGTGAAGGACAAAGTCATTAAGTTCAACTCAAGGCCATTTTTAAGTCAGTGCTAATTGCAGGAATGTTTTTCATTATACTAAAGTATCCCCCTATCAAAAACGTTATATGTGCCAGCCCTGTTGGCCTAGTGGTTAAGTTTGGTGTGCTCCGCTTCAGCAGCTCAGGTTGGGCCCAGGCACAGACCTACACCACTCGTCTGTCAGTGGCCATGTTGTAGTGGCAGCTCACATACAAAAGGAGGATTCACAGTGGATGTTAGGGCAAATCTTCTTCAGCAAAAAAAAAAAAAGTTACATTTCTCCTAAGTAGTTATGCTTACTGAAACTTCCAGTGACCCTATCCTGAGTTATCGAGTACATCAGTTGATAAGATCTAAAAATACAATCACTGGTCAGTAGTTACTAGAGCTTTTCACTAAAGAGTCTAACGTTTAAAACCTACAATGGAACAGATAAAGTACTAAATAAACCATTATATTTCAAACAGTGGCTGTAACTCATAGGTTTTTATCTTGTGCCCAGTCTGAGAGAGCTTTAACATAAAAAGACAAATAATAAAAAAACAACCATTTCACAGTTTCTCACCTTCAGGCAAACGTACTAAGTGATTTCTTCTTACGTTAAGGTCTCTCAAAGCCTCCAAATTACCAATTTGGGAAGGTATTGTTTGAATTTCATTGCAGCTCACATCCTATTTCAAAAAGATAACAAGTAAAGAATTGTTCTAATATTACAAACCTGCCTGCTTTAAACTATCTATAAAATGAGGTTGGACAAGATCATATCTATAGTCCCTCCTGGCTGTAAAAAGAATTATGATGCTGTGTCCAAGAATAATTCCATAGTTAGTACCAGCATTTAATTTTAAAAACGTACAGGCTTTTGACTTATTCTATACATTTTACACAGATCTGCATTAATTTTGGGAGCAGAACTAAAACTAAAAGACTTAAAATGCAGACAGAAGGCCTAGAATATCAGATGAGATGAAAATGCTGGTGAAAAGGTAAAACAGAAAGAGCATAACAGATCTATTCAGGACAAGAGTTTTATTTTATACTGTTCTAATGAAACTGGAAGAAAAAATAAAACAATGATAAAAATTATAACAAATTATTTCAAAAGAAATTCTATTTTCAAAATACCAGTTCAACTGTCCAAAAATATAAACTAAGAATGCATTGAAGATGACTCAAATCATTCTTTATCAAACTGAATGTGAGAGAAAAATAATAAAGTTGACAAAAATTAAAGGCCCTGGAAAAAACAGATACTGCTCTACTAGCATCTCAGCAACTGGTTCCACTCCATACATTAGGTAGGCCTTCTGGTGTCTTCGTAAATAGCTTGATTCCACTGGTTCTCAAAAGAGACTGACTCCAGGTTCCAAGACTGACAGATTCAGAATTCCATAAATCTGAGACCAGTCAGAACAATTTGTAAACCCACATGTAGCAGCAGGAAGCTGCCTAGGTTAATAAAAGCTCCAAGGTGCCACACTGACACTTAAAATTCCTCCAACATATGAGTAAGAAGAAAATATTAATAGATTTACTATTAGAAAAGACCATTTACCAAAAACTTCAATAAGCTTCAGACATTATTTTTAAATTTTCCCAAAATATTCTTAGAAAAAATAATGCTATTTTGACTTTCCTACCAATTAATGACTGAAGTAGAATCAGAAGCTAGGCTTCTTAATCCAATGCTCTAGGCATCAAAGTTAAAAGGGTTCTGAAAGAAGTTGAAAGGATAGGAAACGAGGTTGAGCCAGAAGATAACAGCATCTACAATATTTCTCTCAGAAAATGAATATGTTGAAAGACAACAGTTTACTGTCACTAAAAAATGAAGGGAAAAAAGGAAAGAAGCAATAAGGATGCGGCAGAAAGACCATCAAGTGGGAATCAGGAGGTTTAGGATGACAAAGCCTTACTTTGCCACAGCTGTTAGTATGACTGAGGATATCAATTCACCTCTCTTGCAGAAGGCTATAAGCACCTTCTGTGAGACATAGCTACCTTTAAGGATTCAGGATTCAATAAGCAGAAGCAAAGTTTAAATGATTTGAAAATCAGAATTTGAATCACAAGTATAATTTACTTCTAGTTCATACTATCAACCCAAGTTCTGAAGAAATGCCAATAAACATACATTTTGGAGTTTATTTCCTAGATCTACTTGGCTCTAAATAAACAGTGGCCTAGTATCTAGGCTCTAAATGTAATATATTTGTGGATTTTTACATGTGACCTTTTATATTCATAAACCACCTGAAAAAAAAAGTGGGATTAATATGTGGCCCAATTAGATTGTACGTGTATTTATTTTCTGTTTATGATGTCCATCTCTGTTCATAAAGCTACATGGAACTATAGTCCCAAATCTCAATGGACATAACTGTATTTGACCATTTCAGGAGTATGAAACAGCTTTGGAGCTAAAGTAGACCGGTCTCAAATTCTATTTCGGTATGGAATCTTGGGCAAATTATTTAACCTATCTGAGTGTTAGTTTCCTCAGCTGTAATATGATGATAATTATAGTACCCAATTCATAATGCTATTGTGGTGATTAAACGAGTAGTCTTATTCCCATGCTTAGAATATAAGTACTCAAGAGTAACAAGGAGTGGTAGGTGAAAATTAAGCTTCTTAGAAACTATAAGGCAGTAATAACAGCTTACTTTAGAGTGGGAGATAGGTTCTAAAGATAGCATGCAAGGCAAAAAATAAGCCCGACCTTTGTAATGCTCATCCCCTGATAGGAGCTAATCAAAAATCAGAATATTGATGCTATTAAAATTTAATTTGAAAAATTCAAACACATTATTAACTTATGCCTCAAAAATTTAATAACATAGAAATCACCCTATATTGCTTAGAACCTAATTTTAATGGCTTTTTTCCATTCCATGCGGACCTATTAAATTTGTACTTTCAGGTCTTCCTTAATTCTGTGCCGAAGCACTTGAGTATGGATCGATCAGGAAAACTTCATTATCAATACTTGAAAATAACACCTTAATAATGGGTCTTTATCATATAGAAGAACATGACATGACTTTGGTTATAATACACTACATGTGGGACAATCAAAAAATAGAATATTAACTTACAAGTTCCGTTAAATGTCTGAGATGTCCAATTTCTTCCGGAAGTGAAACTAATTTGTTATTACTAGCAATTAAGACTTTCAATGGTAAATTACACAAGTGTACTGGCAATGTCGACAGCTGGTTCCGACTAAATGGATAAGTAGAAAAAGAGAAGAGTCAGAGCCCACCACTCAAGAAAAACAGTCCCATCTTTCCCATTCTCTACTCAGTAAAATAACAAATATAAGTCCTGCAAAGAATAAATGGGATATTAGATTTGAGTTCTAGCCTTCATTGCCTCACTTGTCAGCTTTGTGGTTTTAGGCACAGTATTTAATTTATTAGCATCTTACGTAGATTCCTCATCTGTAAACTGAGGATCTTAATATCTCCTATACCTATCCTACAGGGCTCTTGCACCACAAAACTCCTTTGTAAATAATGAAGTGCTATATAACCACAACATATTATTTTACTAATGTTAAATTTATATTAAAAAACAATTTAAAAATAGGGTAGATAACCACCATCCTCTCCTCTCCTTTTCAAACAAAAGTTATAAACATACGAGTGTTTGTAATCTACTTTCTTCATCATTACGGTATTAAAACCAAATGTACACAAATGATCCAAATATAGTTCTACGGAAAACAAGTAACAGGTTGTGATTTCAAATATATCTTATCTACTGAAGTACAGGTAAGGAATCTTCTATTTATACAAAACATGCAAATCAGAACTAAAGGTAAAATAAAACACATCTATCACCAGGCATAAAAATAAATTAAAATTTTACTTACGTAGATTTAACCTCTTAATCTTTAGGACTAATTGCCCCCCATTTTCAAGATCTTTTACTGATTTAACTAATATAGATCAGGAGCTTTTAAAATTTTTTAATCCAATAATAATTCTACTCCTAGACATTTATCTTAAAAAAAAGAGAAAAATAAACATTTACACACAAAAGTCTCTACTAGTCTCTACTAGTTTTTGTCATGGCAAAAAACTGAAAGGAACTAAATATATGAGGGAAAATGAGTTTTAGAAGTATATTCACTGTACAATAAAATGATTACGTATAAAAATATTTCCAAAGGATATTTCATGACAAGGGGAAAAACTCATTTAAAAATTTGACTGGAAAAAAAGAAAAAGATCACCTATAATTATACAACTCAGATATAACATTTTGATGAATTTCCTTTATATTTTTATACATTTGCTTATTTTCTCCAATGAATATTTATATCTTTTATAATAAAATAATTCCTGTAAAATGTGCAAAAATGGAGCTGAGTTGAATAAATGCACTTACACATTCAAAACTTAATACACAAAAATATACAATCGCAAGAACCAAAGTAATTTCAGATCTATTCTCATTAGATGAAACATTTGAAAACGTAACTGGAGAACCAGTGCTACAAGACTGCTGCAAGCCTATTAGGCTAGTTGCTATTGGAGTTTGTTAATTATTGCTAAGTCAAAGACAAAGGGAGAAACTAGAGGAACATAGGAAATACAGAAAATTTAGCCTAAGAACATGTATAGACACTGCTGATATAAACAGATAACGTAAATTTTAGTGAAAAGGAAGAGAAAATGGAAAAGACCACATAAAACAAAAAATTTTTTGAAAATCCTTACCTAATATTTAAGTATGTTAGAGCCTGTAGGTTGAGAATTGCCTCTGGTATATACCGAATACAATTTTGGTATAAGTTGAGAGTCTCAAGAGAAACGAAGTGACAAGCTTCAATGGGAATTTCTGAGAGGCGATTTCGTGACAGATCTGAAAGAAAAAATAAATTAAGCTTAAAACCAATCCTTGGAACTTATTTTATTGAAATGTTAAATAAATAAGGAGGTTTCATGATTGAATTTCCAAGAGTTCCTATTGAGGAGACTGGTCCAGAGTAAACATTCAAATATTTCTTAATTGATTGAAGAAACCATTTTTACATATGCCTCCACACCTGTTGCTGGGAAATGCTGATTTCTTGTGGATCTCCACATATACTAAAAACTATTATTCTTTGCAAGTAACGCAAATTTGAAGGCACATCTGCCTATAAATTACATCAAAGATCACACTAAGTACCAAATATCCTAGCAAACAAACAGATCCTAAAATCCAATTTCCCAAAAGCACAGACAACGTTCTGAGGGGGTTTTTATTCTTTTTCTTTTTCTTCTCCCCAAAGCCTCCCAGTACATAGTTGTATATTCTAGTTGTGAGTGCCTCTGGTTGTGCTACGTGGAATGCTGCCTCAGCATGGCCTGATGAGTGATGCCATGTCCGCGCCCAGGATCCAAACCCATGAAACCTCAGGCCGCGGAAGCAGAACGCTCAAACTTAATCACTCAGTCGCAGGGCCGGCCCCCTGAGGTTTTTAGAAAAGCAAAGCAAAACAAAACAAAAAAATATTGTCTCGTCTTGACCAAACATATAAGTGTTACGTCAAAAGGACTCAAGAACCATCTTTGCTCCCACTGGCCAAAGATGAGACAATTTGAGCTTCAATAAAGATAAAAATTGCAATGGATTGAAACCTATCACATACATCGAATTATGTAAATTTATGACACCACTTCCCCCTCCAAAAAAGATGAGAATCAATTTATTATCTTGTAAACTGGTAAAGGGGAAAAACTGAACACTTACTTTGCCTTCCCGACGAACTTGTAAAAATTAAATTAATAAACAGAAGCCTCATTAAACTGGAGTCGAGAGGGAAAATCCTGAAAGAGATCCCGAATTACAACCAGGAGACCAACCTGCTGACCAGTTGTATGATCAGGCCTGGGCAATCACTAGGCGACCTCATCAGGCAATTGCTAGGAATTTCCCAAAGCCTGTTGACTGGAACAAAATTCAGGCTTGTGCACAAAAACCTTATGAACTTGTTCATGACTACTAGAATCGACTTTAGATTGTGTTCAAAGAAAATTCCGATCTTCCTTCAGGTGTTGACTATATGTTTATTAACAGGCTGAACCAAGACCTCCTCATTCTAGTAAAAAGGACCAGAATGGAATGGGAAACCACGTCCTGTCCAGATTTAGTTAATCTGGCAAATCAACTCTCTCACACCCTAGATGAGTCACCTACAAGAAAGACCGCTGAAAATTTAATCTTCAACTCCAGCAAATGAAGGCCCCTACATGAAACCAAAAACCTCCTAGTTTCTGCTATTATTACAAAAAGCCAGGACACTGGAAAAGAGATTGTTGCCAACATCCTCCAAATTCTCAATGATGGGGCTCCAAGGACAGGGGCTCATCCCAATCCTCCCTCTTAATCCGATCGGAGAAACATTTCTCCAGAATGGAGACGAAACTCTCTCTGTGCAAACTGGCAGCAGAGCCATACTCTTGGTGCTCAACCCCACCACTATAAAGCAGCCCCTGATGTGGAGTACAAAAGCAGTTCAAACAGTGGGTCTCTAAAAACCTCAAAAGGTTCCTGTCTCTGAACCTAGTCCCTTTTGTTTAGGCCCTTTGAGAGAGACACACCCTCTTCTCCTTAGTTCCTCTGCCCCAATCCATTTATTGGGCCAAGAGTTCTTGGAAAAGTATCATGCCGGAATTTCTTTCTCCTGAAAGGGGGAAATAATTCTAGAATTTGACAGTAGCCATCAAAACGGCCAACCAGGTGAATTAAATGACCCTTTGACATTTTCTATTTGCTCTGTGACAGTACTAGAGCTGATTCTGGAAACACTGATCACTTGTCCCTATTGAATCAGGAACCACCTCCTTATGGGCAAAATATTCAACTGATACTGGTAAAATTCAGTGTATCTCCCACCAGCAGTCAAACAGATCCCTCAAAACCCTTCCCCAGAATTAACTAACATCCTACAAGTAAAGAAGCCCCTCAATGTAAAGGCCCATAATATAAGATTACAAGGCTTAAGGCCTCATTATCCCTTGAGCAAGTCCCTGTCATACTCCTACTGTACCTGCGAGAAAACCCAAGGGCCCAGGGTGGAGGTTCGTCCAGGAGCTCTGAGCAATGAACACTGATATCCTTCAATACCCTGCTAACCCTCATATGCTACTAACATCCATTCCCACTGAAAGCAAATTCTGTACAGTAACTGATTTATGTAGAGTGTTCTTTATCACAGGTGACAAAGACAGTCAATACCTTTTTGTCTTCACTTGGGAAGAGAAACAATTCACCTAAACAGTAATGCCTGAGGGTTTTACTGAGAACCCCTCTTATTTTTCACAAATTCTGAAGCTGATCTAGGTGATATAAAGTCCCCTAGGGGTTCTAATTTGTTGCAATATATGGATGATTTGCTTCTTTGCTCTCCCTTCCAAGTCTCCTTACACGAAGACAGCCTCCACTTGCTAAAGCTTTTAGCCTTACAGGGACATAAAGTCACCAAGCAGAAATTGCAGTTTGCCCAAACCCAGGTTTGATATTTAGGGCATCTGATATCGGGACAAGGACTACACCTAGACTCAGATAGGCCTGATGGTGTCCTAAGTTTCCCAAAACCCAAAACTAAGCACCGATTGCAAAGTCTTCTCAGGCTAGTTGGTTACTGCCGAAAATGGATTCCAAATTTCTCTCTTATAGCCAAACCTTTGTACGTTTTACTAAAGTACAACAACCCAGACCTGATTTTATGGAAAGAACAAGACAACATAGTCTTTAAGGCCTTAAAAGAGAGCCTGATGAACCCACCTGACAACCTAATTATCCCTTTTTCCTCTTTGTATATGAAAAGGAAAGGAACGCCCTTGGGGTACTCACCCACAAACAGGGGGAGCACCATCAACTCACAGGGTATTACAGCCAGGAACTGGACCCTGAGGTGCAGGTATATCCCCCCTTGACTTAGAGCCATTACTGCCACTGCCCTTTCGATTACGTCTACTTGAGAAAACCATTGTGGGATTCCTTTTAACCATTTTTGGACCCCATGCTGTGGAAGTGCTCCTGAATTCTCATCACATTCAACATATTTTAGTCGGCTGCCTCAACTCCTACAAAATCCTTTTGTTAACTGCTCCTCACATAACTCTGTTGCACTGTAATAATCTCAACCCTGCTACTCCTCTCCCCTCCGTTACGGAGGACGTCCCTCATGCTGCTTAACGCTGACGGACCACATCCTGACTCCTCCCGATGACCTGCAGGAAACTCCTTTGGGTAACACCGACTTCTCATGGTTCACCAATGCCTCTTATTTAAAAGGTGACAAGGCAAATATTGTGCTGGATATGCTATTGCAACTCCTTTTGATAGAACTGAGGCAGCACTTTTACCTACGGCTACTTCAGCCCAACAGACTGAATTATAAGCTCTTAGATGGGCTTGTACTTTAGCCAAGGGCAAAACTGCCAATATTTATACTGACATCAGATACGCTTTTGGCGTAGCTCATGATTTTGGAATGCTGTGGAAGCAATGTGGCTTCCTTACATCCAGTGGAAATAAAATTGAAAAATTGAAAACACAGGCCCCTATTTTCAGGAATTATTGGATACTATACTTTTACCTGCTTCTTTAACTGTTATTAAGATCCTGGGACATTCTAAACTTGACTCTCTGGACGCTAAGGAAAATCACCTTGCTGACACTTCCACAAGGAATGCTGCCCTTAAAGGAACCAACAATAGCCAAACATCTGTCATGGTCCAAAGGGATATTTCCCTAACTGATAGAAAAACTGACCAGAAAAGCCCTACAATTGGCTTCAGAAAAGGAAAAACAAGGTTGAAAATGAACAACTGTTGGTTTGATAAAGAGAGAAAGCTCTGGTTTGGACCTACTACCAAAGACTCTAAAATTCCCACTCCTAACAACTGTACATGCATTAAACCATTGGTCTACTGACAAAATAACATTCGTAAATCAAAAAGTGCCTACTTCACTTGTCCCACTTGTCCAAAACACAATCCAGGGAAGCCTGTTCATACTGCTCCCGGACACTTTAAGTTGCCTAGGGGACCATTTGAGGTTTGGCAAATGGATTTTATACCACATCCCACAAATATAAATACATTTGTCATGGCTTGTATGTTTTCTAACTGGACTGAAGCCTTCCCTTGCAGACAGGCTACTGCCTCTTCCGTGGCTAAAGTCCTTTTGGAAAGGATTATCCCTACCTAGGGGACTCCTCTTGAGCTTCGGAGCGATCATTTTACTGGTCAGGTATTTCGACAAGTCTGTGCTGTCTGGCTGATTTTACAACACTTTCACTATGCTTGTCACCCTCAATCCTCTGCTTTAGTCAAACGCACTAACAGCATTATTAATACAGACTCAATTGGCCAAGCTCATAGGGACTCTCCAAATACCTTGGCCAAAGGCATTGCTGTTGGTCCTTCTAAATCTCAGACCCACCCCCTTTGGAACTCATAAACTCTCACCCTTTGAGATAGTCACAGGACGCCCAATACACTTGGCTTCTGTCTCTTTTGATGCACAACTAATAAAAGGTGATATACTCCAACGTTTGCAAAGGCTTAACTGCTTGTATTAATAATAGCCATGTTTTGGTAGAGCAATCAGGTGACATACTCCAATGTCTGCAAAGGCTTAATTGCTTCTATTAACAATAACCATGTTTTGGTAGAGCAATCTTTTCACAGTGTGCTCCAGGGAGATGAAGACCTTAAGCATCATACCTTGCAACCTGGAGATTTCATCTATTGAAAAAGATACCTCCAGAAGGACTCTCTTCAATCATGCTGGGAAGGCCCCTATCAGATACTTTTAACTAACCATTGTGCCACAAAACTCCAAGGAACAGACTCTTGGATTCACAT